TAAGCGGGGCGGGGTGGTACGTTAAGATTTCGAGGGTGGTACGTTATCGCTTCCCCTGACTTGCCCCAGAAGCACGGACAGCGGGTGCCTGGTCGCTGGAATCAAATCGAGTGACCTTCTTACAAATAATCTTCTTTCTTCTTCTTTTCTTACGATGCCGATGTCCTACCTCGACGTTCCCATCCTCTCTCAATTCCTGTGCGTCGTAGAGTCGCGAACAGGCATGCCAGCGCAACCACTCGACGCGCCCTCCCAGGGCTCCAACAACAGCGACAGCGACGCCCATGCCGATGCGCCCAAGAAGCTGCCGAAAGGCGTAGTCCTCGGTCCAGACGGGAAGCCGTGAGTGAATCCCAGCAAACCACCAAGACTCGCGCACTCTCTCGCGCGCGCAATCAAACCACCAAAAAGGAAGCTGACCGCATACGTCGCCCGCCCTCAGATGCCGCTCCTGCACCTCCGTCTCCTCATGGTTCGCCATGGCCAAAGAAAAGACCAAGAACGACAGCGCTCCCACCACCACCACCTCCTCCTCCAGTCCCGCCGCCGCCGCCACCACCACCGCCGCCACCACGTTCTCCTCCTCCCAACAACCCCCCGCCGACTGCCCCCCGGACATCGCCGACCTCGGCCGCTCCTCCTGGACGCTCCTGCACTCCATCACGGGGGCGTACCCGGCGCGGCCGTCGGCGCAGCTGCAGGCCGACACGGCGCGCTTCGTGCGCACCTTCGCGCAGCTGTACCCGTGCTGGACGTGCGCCGAGGACTTCCAGCGGTGGCTGGCGGCCGACGGCAACGCGCCGCGCGTGAGCTCGCGCGACGAGTTCGGGCGGTGGATGTGCGAGGCGCACAACGCGGTCAACGACAAGCTGGGCAAAGCGGCGTTCGATTGCGACCGGTGGGAGGAGAGGTGGTATAGCGGGTGGAGGGATGGGAGGTGCGATCCTTGAGGGGAGATTTGTCGGAGGGGGGAGAGAGAGAGGGAGAACAAGGGTTTTCAATTTTCTTCTTCTTCTTCTCCTTGGGACGGGCGAAAAGGAAAAAACAAACAAACGGAGGCGATAAGGAAGGAAGGATGTTTTGATTCTTTTGTATCATGTGGGTCGGCGGCTACTCTCTGCTCTGTATATGATTTTGCTTGGGATGATTTCATCACATGCATACGAAATGGCGTTAGGCAAAGAGAAAGGTGATGGCTCACGAACTAGACATGTATGGGTTGGTAGACGAGGCAAGAAATGGTTGTATCAATAGCACGAAATGAGAGCTGTAGTCTATACATTCAACAACAGCATGAGGCAACGACAAGCACGTTTTCCGTCGATTCACATTCACGTCCAATGCAGAGTACAAATGCAGTCTATCCAAGTTTCATTGACAATCAATCGGTGTGAAGATCCCTATCTTTGAGGTAATGCTTTGCAACCACTCGCTGACGATGATGCGAGACCATAAAAGGCACCCTGAAAAGAAATTTCTCCATCCGTAGAAGACATCCATCTGTGTCTTCCCAAAATAGAGACCTGAAGAGTTAAGAAACCCATTGTCATCGTTTCTACAACAGACCCTCTGAACTGTGATCATGACGGCCCCTAGATCCATTCGCCCACACATGATCGGTCATTGATAGCCCGGTGAAAGACGTCCTCGTGTACGTAAAGCGCTGTCGTTTCGGCATCTGCCATCTATCAATTACCGCATAATCTCCTGGAAGATGAGCACTTTGAGATAATTAGCATCCGTGCATCTATGGATAGATAGGACTTCACTTACTCTTCAACTGCTCCTTGGTCAAGTTGTCCTTGTTCTTATCGAAGTCGAAGAACTCCTCGGGGATCGGGTCGGCCGTAGGCTCATCATCAGGATCGTGGTACGGCTCGAGGTACGGGTGCTTCAGAGCCTCCTCGACGGTGATGCGCTTGACGGGGTTGAAAGCCAACAGGCGCTCGAGAAGGTCCAGAGCCAAATCCGAGCTCTTTGGGAACATTGCCTTCCACGGGATCTTCTTCTTGAAGGGCAAGGAACGGATGTATTCACGGGCACGGCGCGACTTGATGCCGTAGTAGTCCTCCATCGTGGGCGTGCCCAGAACGTCAAGGATCAAGGTGAGCTGGTGGTGGTAATCCTTGCCGGGGAAAAGAGGCTTTCCGCTCAACATCTCTGCCAAGATGCAGCCAACACTCCAGATATCAATCGCCTTGGTGTACTCCTTGAACGTGAGCATAATCTCGGGAGCGCGGTACCAGCGAGTCGCCACATATTCCGTCATGAAACCCGAGTTATCCTCAGTCGACGCAGCAGAGCGGGCAAGACCGAAGTCGCAGACCTTCAGGTCGCAGTTTGCGTTCAGAAGCAAGTTGGACGGCTTGAGATCGCGATGAAGGACATTGGCGGAATGCATGGCCTTCAAGGCACGCAGCGTCTGGTAGATAAAGTACTGGCAGTGGTCGTCGGAAAGTTCCTGCGTTCTGATGACACGGTGCATGTCCGTCTCCATGAGCTCCTGCAGGAATGGTCAGTCTCGCTCCAGCGATGTCAATTCATGTATGACTGACCTGGATGAGGTAGACCTCGGTGAAGGTCTCGTAATTCCTCGGCTTCTGGATGTCGAGAATCGAGATGATGTTCTCGTGGTTGAAGTAACGCAGGAGTTTCATCTCACGAAGCGTGCGCAGACAGAACATGGAGTGGTCGAAAGGAGTGATCTTCTTGATGGCAACCTTCTGACCAGAAGGCTTGTGCAGTGCGGAGCTGAGCAATGCGTCAGTATTCAGTCAGGCAATGCCGTCTCAGCCATGCTGAAGGGAACTCACCAGACAACTCCGTACGCGCCCTCACCGACCACATCCTGGATATCGTACTGCTCCGAAACGTTGAAGGAAATCTTCCTCGAGCTGCCCTGGGGCTGTGCGCGCGACATGGTGGAAGAAAGCGTGGATTACGACTATGCAGAAGCTGTGACGTGGGGCAGGTTAGAGAAGTTGGAGCTGTGTAGAGGAGAGAAGGAAAGCAGAGAAGATGGAAAGGAACAAAAGGCGCCGGCCTGAGCCCTTTTCAAAAGCCTGGAGATTGAGGTGGGTCCAAGCGAGCGAACAATAGCAAGGCGGCAGCCATTGTCTCTATTGTGTTCACTTCGCAGGTGAAAGTGAAGACAATGAAAGTCAGGCGGGTTGCATGCTCACGGGCCCCAGCGACGGGCGCGCCGCTCCACAGGGAGCTCAGTGCTTGCGCCCAACAGGCGCATAATCCAGAGAAATGGAAAATTCAAGGCGGACGGCCCATCCAGTGAGCAGCGTCACCGCAACATACCTAGGATATCGTGTGCGACGTCTTTGTCCGTGGGTGACACAATCCGCCAGCAGGGACCAACCAAGGGACGCTCGTCCGACTGATCTAGACCGGGCCAACACTCGCTGTTCCACGACCAGCCGTGAGAGGGTGCGCGAGACGTTGCCGTCGGGGAGTGGTCGAGGGTGCGGTGGGCGGCTCGGCGGGGGGGGCTGGCGAGGTCGGGAGGGCGAGTCGTGAAGAATCGGAGCGGGATGCAAGCAGCCGCGGCGGGCGAGGGGCGCGGGCGGTGGGTTCGTGCTTGATGCTCGGTGGTCGCGGCGGAAATGAGGTGAGGGACGCAGGCGGCGGGGTAGACGCGCGGTGGGCTCGGTGGCTCTCTGGCTGCTAGATTGGGACGGGCGGTCAGCGCAGCTGTCGTTGCGCGCCAGTCTCGGGCGCTGGGAACGGTGCGGTTTATCTGGCGCCGCTTGGCTGCGCACAACTCACCAGGGCGAGCGTAGACGGCAACGGGTGCTCAGGTCGTGGGTGGGCACCAGGGGCCGGGCTGCGGGGTCCAGGAGGCGGGCGCGTCGCGGGTTGAACAGGCGAGCTGACGGCGTGCGGGTGAAGAGCCAGCAGGTTGCAGGCTTGGGCGCGGCAGCAGCTCAGCTAGATAAAGACGGGGCGCTGCAGACTCGAGCGGCCACGAGGGAGAAGCATGGAAAAAGGCTGCCCTATTGTTAGCATTGCGGTGGGGTTTGACAGCCAATCCGGCGGCATGGGTGCGGCCGCCGAGAGGCCTACTCCGTAGCCGCCATGCGTGCCGCGCCCTCGATTGGCCCAGCAGCAGGAGCAGCACCTGCAGCGCCGGCCCGCGAGTCGCTGCTGCCAGCACGCCTCTGGCCGCCCGTCGCTGTCGCACCAGCAGCAAACGCGCAGGCCGCCCGCTGCTCGCCGGCCAAGCGATATAGGGCCGCACATGAAACTGCCCGTCTTCAGGAACGCCCGCAACCATCGTGCCTGCGTTTGACATCTGTCGCAGCACGACGTGACGGGGCTAGGTCCCGCCGCCTGAAGCGCCCCGGCCCTCGCCCTCCGCTGCTGTCCGCCCGCCCTGGCCGCCCTGGCGACACCGCAGCCGCCATGCAGCGGGACGGCAAGCATGAGCTTACTTCCAGAACACCGACCGCGCTCGGATCGCCCGCCGTGACGCCATCGAGCGCGCCGCAGCCCGAAAAAGACGCATCCGAGACACCAAGATTGCCGGAAGGAGATCATAGCATGACGCCTGCCCAGTGATCGCTCCTAGGCCGCGCGCGCCGCTCCACCGCGCTCCTCCCCCATATGGGCGCCCGGCTCCAAGCATGGCTAAGAAAAGAACGTCGTCGTCCGCTGCTGTCGTATCCTCGCGCCTCGGCCTCTGCCCGGGCGAGCGCCGGCCGCCGCTGGAAACACTGGGACCAGGGCACCCCCCCTCCTGGACCCCCAACGATCCCCCCAGCATCGCATGATTGACTCGATTGGGGCTGTAGCGACGTTTTACAAGTCTCATGGCCCTGTCTCGAGGTGGAGGTTGCGTCAATCGACAGGGGAGATCTGCTTGCTCGACTGATATTCAGGGACAAACACCAACACTTGCCGTCATTCTCTCCACCTAACGCTCCAGTCCCCCTTGGCGAAGCTCGATTCCACCACCTTCCCGAGCATCACAGCCTCGCACTTCTTCCTCGTCTCCGTCTGATCGTCGTCCGCCTGATTGACTGCGAAACCAAACGCCACACCTCTCCTGGCAGCACACCGGACCATCTCCCTTTCATGCGCTCGCTTCTGTCCCTGCTTCCTCTTCTCTAGCATCTCATCTGTCTCGTCTGCCCGCTCGGCCCGCCCTTTCTCTCCACCCACGCTACCATTGACCTCAGAGATGCCTTGTGCCGGCCGGATGCGCGTGCCGCTCCTGACCGCCAGCCGCGCCAACAAGTCCCCATCCGTGATCATAGTCCCCGCATTCTTGGCATCGCCTGCAGGGTTGGCCTCCATCGCGACCCTGGCGTCGTCCAAAACATTCGGGCCGTCCGCTGTGCTAGCATCGCTGGCAGTAGCACGCTCTTCGTCCGAGACCATGTCCACGCTTTTCCATTCTTCATCATCCGCCGCTCCACGCCGAGCTCTGTTTCGCCTCCTGCCATAGACTTTTTCTGGATCGAAGTGGTCCCCAAAGACAGTGTTCTCGACGGCGTCACAGGAGACAAGGATGCGGGGTTCGCCCTTTCTCTTCCTTGGCCCTTTCTCTTTGGATTTGGCTCCAGCACCGCTGCCTATCGCATTCGGTGAGCCCCCCTCCCCATTGAGGAGCCTGACAAAAGTATCTTCGATTTGGCGGTCGAGCTTTCCGGGCTTGTGGCTGCGGCAACGACTGGAGCAGTACTTGGCGGGAGTATTTGCGGTTTCTTTAGCGTGAGACTTGCGCTGGCCTTTGCATGTGAGTCAGTAGTGGCCATGCCATATCCATTTGGCTATAAAGCGGGTCTCAGCGGGAATGGGAGCAGAATACGGGTATTGTAAGCACTCTGTAGATTGACACCCCAATCGGCATCCACAAGAACCAACATCGTGCTGTGTCAAACGTAGAATGATTGTACAGATGCATGAGTGGGCGTTCCAGTGCATACTCACTGATAACCCTTCCACAAGATCTGCAGTAAGGCGTTGCTTCTCCGCCGGGAAGCAGATAAAGCGGCGGGGGCGTGGGCTGCGATTTAGAGGGCCGCGACCACGAATCCATCCAGCTCATCTTGGCGAGTTGTCTGCAACGACAGATATTGGCACTCGTCAGTCGAAAGCGAAGCCGCAGAAATCGGACAGCTCGATGGCCAAAGAACATGGGAAGTCAGAGGTGGTGGTGCGCAGCGCAGCCCACATTCCCAATTGCGTAGTCGGCGTCCACCGTTTTCCCAACATCCCCGGCGCGCATCAACAACGACGTCATCAGTGCGCAAGGCACACACACACCCGCACGCAGGCACGCGCGCGGGCACACGCCAGGACACACACCCACACCTGCACGTCCACCGTCACGGGGACGCCGAGACACACAACAGCATCGATCCGCGGATTCGCATATTAACGGTTCAAAAGGGCCACGTTGTTTGATCACCCTCGCATCGACACCAGGCAATATAACAAGACTCTCCACTCTCGTCGCGCAGCTCACGCCACCACAACCGGACCAATCTCCACCCTGTTCCGAACCCGAGCCCGCACCCGACGCTCTCTATCCACAGGTGGTGATGCTCCGTCGCTTCCACCTCTCGTGTCATTTTTTCCCTTTTGCTCCAGTGACGATCCCCTCTCTCACCTCACCAGAACTTGAACAAGGATAGTCAATTGGCCTTCCCCATGGGCGGGTACTCCTTGCCTTCCTTGGTGACCTTAGGGTCGCAGGTGCACCACTCTTCTTTGGGAACGCCGTCGAGGACGGCGGGCACGTGGGAGCCGCCTAGGTACATGGAGAACCAGGGATGATTGTGTTAGCGGATTGACATGACAGCAGCAGCGGCAGCCACGTGCTCCTGCGCAGGGGTGATAAACAGGGAGAATCCTTGAGACGAAAAAGGAAAGATACAGAAAAAGGAAAAAGCGAAGCGGCAAGGGCGGGTAAGCCCGTTGACACAGATCTCAATCGCACGTTTGCTCGTGGCGGGATTTTGCGGGGGGAGGGAGGGAGAGAGGAAGAGAGGGGTATCGCGTACAGCCCCACCAAGTAGCCTTCTCTGCACACACAACACAACACATGTTAGCTGGAAACAACGCCCTGGAATCCTCCACCTTCGTGAACAGTGTGAAGGGTGCAAGGGTCGAGAGCGCTGGGGAGGGAGTCACAGAATCTGCCTGGGCAGCGGATGCGTTGCTCGGAGGGGTGAGTGCACACTTACGGCAAGTCTCGCAGCTAGCGCTTTTGCACATGTTGCTATGGTGCTGGAAAGATCTATATCGTGGGTTTGAGATGCGTTTTCGTTTCCGTCTTATTTGAGCCGATGGTCTTCGGATGCTGGTGATTGGAAAGATGGGCAAGAGCGATGGAGGTGGAGCGATAGATATACGATCTCCCATCCGCTTCGGCGAATTTTTTTAGTTGATCCCCGAGGTCGCCGTTCGCAGGCTCCGAAAACCACCCAACTTGAGATTGGAGCGAAAGGATGCTGTCCGATAAACATTTCAGAGCCTCAAACCTTCAAGGTGGAGATAGCAGTAAAAAAAAAGGTGCACTTTTGTTGAATTCATACGCCAAAACCCAATGAGTATCAACTAGACCAGACAGATATCTATCTATAGTCTTTGCCCATAACGGCACGCCAATCTCGACCGGTAACGCCCATTTTATGCCATGACCTCTATGCCTTTCCAAACAAGAGTACCCGTCATCTAGTCGTCAAAGGTGATCTTTGTTGCCTGCTTCATGTCGGTGGTATCCTTGAAGAAGGCACCATATGCCTCATGGCCCTTCTTCTTGACGGTAGTGCCGAACTTCATGAGCTCTTCAGGCACCGGCTGGTTGGCACCCTTGAGAACGTTGACAAGTCTAGACCTGGTGTTAGCTTGCATCACGGAAGCTTTGGATCATGTGACTTACGCTCCAGCCAACGGCTTGTCATGTTCGGTGAAGAGAGTAATGGCTTTACCATCTTGTCCCGCACGGCCCGTTCTGTAAGGATGTGTCAGTAACCTTTGCGTACTTCTATCGTAGAAATAAGAACTTACCTTCCAATGCGATGAACGTAATCCTCTGCAGTCAACGGGAACGTCACGTTGATGACGACCTTCACGGCGGGGATGTCCAATCCTCTCGCCGCAACATCCGTGGCAACCAGAAGGGGAATCTCGCCCTTCTTGAACTTCTCCAAGCTGGCCGTACGCTGTGCCTGGCTAAGATCGCCGTGGATGCCGCCAACCCTGAAGCCCTTGCGGCGGAGAGTCTCCTCTACACGCGTGGCCTCCTTCTTGTATAGACAGAAGATCAGAATGCGGTCATTCTTCTTGCTGCCCGCCGTGTGCTCCTTTAGGAGCTGGGAAAGTCTGAAGTCCTTATCCCTCGGCTCGACAACTTCCACGGTCTGGCTGATGCGGGTGTTGGCGCGAAGCTCTCCAGTCGGGTTGTCCCCAATGGTGATCTTGACCGGCGACTTCATGAAGGTGGATGCAAGCTCCTGGACGGATTTCGGCCAGGTGGCGGTGAACATGAGCGTCTGGCGCTCGTTGAGCGGGCGAGTGCTGCTAATGATCTTGCGAATGGCATCCTCGAAACCCTTGTCAAGCATGCGGTCGGCCTCGTCCAAAACGACATAATCAGCCTTGCTGATGTCCGCAGCACCCTCATCGATAAGATCGTTGAGACGACCAGGAGTGGCAACGACAATGCTCGCCTTCTTCAATCCGATCTTCTGCTCATCCTTGGGGACACCTCCGTAGATGCAGACGGACTTCAGACCTGCTGGCTCCGCGATCTTCACCAGCTGTTCGTGGATTTGGGAGGCCAGCTCGCGAGTAGGAGACACGATGACCGCCTTGACACCTTTGCCCTTGGGCAGGCGCATGATGTGGCGGACACATGGGACACCGAATCCGAGCGTTTTTCCTGAGCCGGTCTCGGCCACACCAATGACATCCCTACCAGCGAGCAGAGAGGGCCATGCGGCGGCTTGGATAGGAGTGGGGGCAGTGAAGCCTTTGAAGGGAGCACGCAGCGATTCGTCAGTGACAGGAAGGTTGTTGAAGGTAATGATTGGGCGGAGCTTCGTGGCAGTGCTGAGGGGATCAGTGACAGCGATAAAGTGCTTTGACATGAAAGCATCGATCTCCGACTGAGGAAGAGCAGAGAGAGCGGGATCCTCGACGTATCCAGACGGAGCTGCGTCCGCAGCTGCAGCCGCAGTGCCGTTAATCGCCGGAACAGCCCCGGAATCCTCGACGCCATTGGTTGCCTTCTTGGCCTTCTTCTCCTTCTTCTCCGATTTGTCCTTCTTTTCTTTTTTGTCCTTCTTGTCTTTCTTTTCCCTCTTTTCCTTCTTCTTCTCCTTGGATGACTCCTGCTCAGTCACATCCTCGGAGGTGGTGGGAGCGTCGACCATGTCGACATCTTCGCTGGCCACACCATTCGCCTCCGCAGCCTGCTTCGCTTCACGCTTCTTCTGCTTCTTCTCCTCCTTGGCCTTTGCCTTCTCCTCCTTGCGACGGGCCTTCTCCGCCTTCTTCGCGAGGGCGGCGGAATCGGCAGTCTCCGGTTGCGAGTCGGTGGTGTCGTCGGTCTTTAGCTTCTTCGGAGACGCGGCGACGGTGTTCTTCTCTGTGAACGAATAGACATGACAGTTAGCATTGATTCAGCGGACGCGCTGCCAGCGCTCCTGCGGTCTCCGGGCTCCTGCGTGCGCGTGTTGCTCCTGCGCCTTCCATGCGCCTGTGAGGAGCGACTGGTCGCGCGGCGGGTTTGCTTTCCTCCCGGTTGCGGCACAACTCACCGGCCTTGACAATGCCAGCTTGGCTCGCCGTGCGCTTGCCCATTTTGATCGGTATGCGAAACCCGTGGGTATAGATTGGGGCGTGCAGTGCTGGGATGCAGCAAAGTTTCTCAGGGAAAAAAAGATTACCAGGGTCTGCGAGGGTCGGCGTGGTTGATTCGCCGACACCCGCGCCTCCGGTGGAACCAACGACATCCCTGCGCGCTTATTTTTTACATTCGAGCGGAGCCGCTCTGCAGATGCAGTTGTGGCCTTTTGTTGCGCACTTGTCTGACTGGTGTCCATTATAACGATGAGACTATGAACAGGCATCTGCGGGGGGCGATTCCGAAATGGATGAGGTTTTTGTCTTATACGACTGGGCCAGCCAATCATGGGGCGTGCTTGGCCTATAAACGTATCAAAGGATTTTGGTTACGGCGCTTACGCTGCCGTGGCGGGGCGCTATGTCAGCAGCGGAGATAAACGAGCAGATACAACCAGACAGGGAGAACAGTCTGTGGGCGCACGTCTAAGACAGCGCTTGCCTTCCAGACAGGAAATGACGCGCGCGTAGCCATCGCGGGTGTTTCCAGCTAGCGCCCACTTCCCGACTCCACCCTCCACTCAGACAGAACTAATCATCAAAAACTCCACAATCCAGTCACCTGCACGTCCCTCTTCATTGCCCGCCGCCGGCAACAGCTCCCCTGCTAGAGCCTTCAGGACCAGCTCCTTCACCGCAGTGCACGACTCAGAATGTCTCTCGCTTTGCACGAGCGGAGAGTGCCCTTGATTGTAGCAAAGTGCTTCATTTGTCCGTTGTGCCAGGGTTTGTTTTCTTTTGACGAGTGCCACAGGAAATTGTCCAAAAATCGTCCGATGGGCAGGCAGGGGTCCTGCCTAGACCCCTCCGATTACCTGCTTCAGCGCCGCCACGTCGCAAAGGAACGTCTCATTCACTCTTCTCCTTTCCCTTCACGGCATCCACCCCAGCGCAACTCTCCCGACCTCCTCCGGCATCCTCGTCGCCGTCGGACGGGCCGCCCTCCAGGTCCAGTCCCGCATGCACGGCTGCGGCCAGCGGATCTAGGTCGTTGGGAACGCAGGTACCTGGACTGCCGTACGGGCCAAGGGAAGACTCGGCTTTGCTGTCGAGCTTCTTTCCAACCTTCACGACCGAGCCCGAGATTGCCCTGTTCATCTCCCTGGCCGAGTCGGCAACGGCCTCTGCAGCCTCACTCGTGGCCTTCGCTACCTGGGCGCCCGCAGCCTTCACTATACGGCCCGGTGCTTGCGTCGTATCCTAGACCCACAGCCGATTAGACCATGTTCCTTCTGCTCGTCGGATATGTCCCCTGTTACCCGTGGTGTCGCATCGCGTTTCGTAGACGGACTCAGTCCACTCGCTGCTGTCAGGACGGAGCGGATGACGTTCTCGGCCGTGGACATGACGGCGTTCTGGATCCGTCAGCGGTCACATTCACGGTTGCGGTCCACATGGAGGATTGTCACTCGCCTCATCGTTGATCACACTCGGTTCGGCTGTGTGACGAGAAGGATCCGTTGGGCCCGCGCCCGATGTGTCGTCCGGCGGGCGCTGATCTGCTGCGGATGCGGTCGACTTTCTCTCGTGCTCGCTCATGTTGGACTGCGGCTGAGAGGACCCTTGCAGAATCGGACGATGACGCGCGCTGGTATCTTCAGGTCGGTAGAGAGATTGGGCAGCAATGCTTATGTGCCAGAAACGAAGCTCAAGGATGCAGGCGCGAATGACTGCCGGCTCCGGGAGGCGAAAGGGCCAGGAAAGCGCCAGCTTGGGCTTCGCAGCTGCCTACTTTGTCGAACAGAGCAGCTCGTTTGCAAGAGCAGGTAAGACAGGAAGCGTCGACATCAGCTGCTTGCTGCTTGCCACCGACCAGCTAGGTATGCTAGGTTGCTTCCATGCCGCGAGAGCATGTCGGATGCTGTGTCCGACGGTTGCAAGCAAGAAAGTAATGGCCATGTTGTGAGGCGAGCCGCCGAGCCTGCCTGGAATGTCCATGTCCACAACAAAGGCTTGGCACCAGCACGATGGCAATCCGGAACCCGATACCAGGTAATCGCAACGACGAAATAGCTCGAATGAGCTTCTGGCTCGGACATAAAACGTATTCGCTACTCGCTTTCGGTTTTTCCAGGCTGGCGGGTGCGCTATCACCGGCATCCATTGTGGCGTCATTGTGCTGCTCCTTCACGGTCCTTGTTAGCTGAGAAACCGGAGTAGCTGGGATGTCACCTAGCAAAAGGCCATGTCGATGCAGCAAGCAGTGGTCAATGCCTACCTACAATCGCCGCCCTGTGCGCAAGGAAGCACTAACGTAGTCGCCTCGCCAGTTCCCCGAAGCCTTCAGGCGAAGCGCATTGCCCGTTTGGCGGCACAATTACTATAATTGAACATTACAAGATGATCCGGCCCAGGGAGACGGTAGGGACCAAGGTCCAATCAATCAAGATCCGCCTGCAACACCTAATCAGCAAATTTTTTTCCAACGAGTCCAGACCAGATGCGGGGCGGGGGGACTGACTTTGGCTGCTGCCAAGTGCCGCTGCAGGTCTGCACGTCCATGCGTACCCTGATGAATTACATCAGCTAGGGGCTAGCTCCTGGAGCGGAGTTCCTGGCAGAGTGTTGTGGTGTGCTCGTGCAACTTGTCCATATTCCCACTTTTTCCTCTCGCCATGTTTTTGCTGCTGCGGCCGCCGTCGAGGTTTAAGCGAGGTGCTCTGGAAAGGTGGAGGATGTTGTAAAGGAGCGGTAAGAAAGGACCCGCTTTCCCCTTGTTTACCGCTTGAATCAGCCATCTACGTCTTCTCACCGGTCCCTCTGTCTACAAGCCACGAGGAGGAGGGAGCTAGTGCTTCGAAGCGGAGGGCGGGAGCCTATGAGAGGGCAGCATAACCGAGACCGGACAGCGAGTGTACGCAAGCTGCATGTTCGTTGTGTGTCAAAAGTGCTTATTCCGCAGGTTAGCGGGTCGCATGATCCCCACAGGACAGGCACAAAGGTAGGACAAACAGCAGGTGCATGGCGGCAGAGGGGGAGGGGGGTTTGCACCTGGAAATACACAGGGCGAGGTTGTACAATCGGATACGAAGCACAGGTTGCTGCACATGCAAACGTGGGCGCAGGCTGGTACCTGGTAAACACCCCCGACACTCGTCATCCCTCTGCAATCCCCCTTGGTCTGTCTCGGCGGAAGAGCCTGTCCCGGCCTTCCCGGGCCATCACCCGCAGCGGATACAGCCGGCGAGTAAGCCAGTTGGATCTGCTGTTTACAATACCACGCCGATCGGTTCAGGGCGCACCGCCCTCGGCCCCCGGTCGACGGCCAGAGGAGCCTGACGGCGCAGCCTGACACTGCGGATCGGCCACGGCTGAGGGCGGCAAGCCACCTTTGCGTCAATTTCTAGCTCGCGTCGGCCATGGCCGCGCGAAATGTCGCATCTGACGGCGCAGGCAGTGCAGGCGGAGCCGGGGAAGAGTCAAGGATATGGCCAGGCTCGTACCATGTGCGGAGCCTGCGATGATCGACGTGTCGATGTGCAAAGGAGCGTGTGGACGGCCGTTTCCGGCAGGATGCGAGCAGCGTCGGGCTTCCAGAAGGTAATATACGGCGGCTGCGTGGAGGCCAGACGCGTGGCTTATAGCGGAAGCGCGAGGCCGAGACAAAGCCGGTTAGTGATACAGGGCGGCGCTGCTCAGGGCGTCCAGCGTCCAGCGTCTAGCGTCCAGCGGCGGGTGGCTTGTGGGCTGGCGTGTGGGCTGGCTTGTGGGTTCGTTGCTGGCCGATGCATAGGCTGAGGACGGGGCGGCAGCTCAGTCGAGCAGAACCTGGGACTCAGGCGTCATCGGAGATGATGGTTTCAGAGTCTGCACCGGTGGTTATACAGCAGCAGCGGTGGATATGCGGTGGGTCGTGGCAGCGAAAAGAAATACACAGTCGCGGCCGTCTCGTGGGCGGCGGCGTGCTGGAGCCACGAGCGATGTGCAGCGGTGCTGCTGCAACGGTCGGACTTCCGGGCCCGGGGGCGGCGGGCACGGCGGGCAAGGTCGCGGTTCGGTGCCCGCGGGCATGGGCCCCGCAGCGGGCGGGCGGCGTGTGCTGGTCTGGTCGAGTGATACAGTGGAGGCCTTGGCGTTAATCTAATTGTCCATTGCAGTGGTGAGGGCAGCAGGGCAGGGCGCGCCCGCGCGGCAGGAACGCGGGCGACGGCACGATGCTGATCCGCCGTCAATCTGCGCGGTGGTGAGGGATTAGCCGCGGCCAGGCATGCTTGATGCGCATGAGCGCGCAGGGCGCCAACGGTCGGCGGCGCAAAGCTGGCGGGCGACTCATGCAACTCTACCCCGGCGCCCATCCCCACAAGCTCGCTTAGTCGACGCTGGCCAGCGCTCGCGTGGCTGCCACCGCCACGCCCGCCCGCCAGCCAGCACCGCGCGAGACGTGACGCCTACACCGAGCATGACTCTCGTTGTTTTGCAGCATGGATTCAGGGTCCCAGAAGCCCTCCCCGGCCCCGCGCAGCGGCAAAAGCCTCCAGCTCCTCCCAAGTCCCAGCGGCCGCCCAGAATAAATAGTCCTGGCTGCCGGAGCCACCATGCTCTATACCTCCTGTCATCACTTCATCTCGGGCCTCCTCGTTCCAGCCAGACCCGCCGCCGGCCTTGCCAATTTGCAGCATTCCCCAGCACCGCCCTGCAGAGCTTAGGCCCGGCGCCCCAAAGCCTCCAGCCACCCGCGCCTCGCCCCGACAGAGCCCTGCCAGCAGCGCCGCTGCCGGACCATGTGCCAACTCCAGGCCTACCCGCCCATCATGACTCCCGTCACGCCGTCCTCAGATGTCAGCCCGCTGTCAGCCGAGCCAACAACCACCGCCGCTCTCTCGCACGCCCAGTACGCCCGCGCCGGCGATGCCTTTGCCCTCAACCTCGGCACCCTGCCCGACGCCAGCAACTTCCTGCTGAAGACGAGCCTCAAGTCGCCGCACATGCCGCTGGACTCGCCCGCCTGCTTCCCCTTCTCGCCCATGAGCAACACCTTCCTCAACGGTTCCGGCAACTACAAGAAGCGCTCGCGCAACATGTCCACCACCTCGAGCGCCGAGCGGGACTTCCACTCCGCCGCCGACTCGCACCCCACCCCGCATCACCACTCGGCCTTTGCCAACGGCTCCTCCAACGGCGCCTCCGACCTCCAGAGCTCCAACGCGAAGAAGCGCCCCAGCGACGGCACCATCGACTACCCGCGCAGACGCGCCACCATTGCGGTAATGCTGCCCTCCTTCAACCCCGTCCCCGACCCCCCTGAGACTGACTGACGGTTCCAGTGCGAAATATGCCGCTCGCGCAAGAGCCGCTGCGACGGCAACCGCCCAAAATGCAGGCTCTGTACTGAACTCAACGCCGAGTGTGTCTACCGCGAGCCGGGCATCAAGCTCGATGCCGGCGACAAGCTGATCCTCGAGCACCTGGACCGCATCGAGGGCTTGTTGCGCACCAACATGACCCCTCAGCAACCCAGCAGCATCTTCGGCGGCCTTGGCCCCTCAGGCTCGCCGGCCGCCAGCAACAGCACCAGCGAAGACGTACTGATGCGCCAAGGACCTGGCGCTGCCATGGGAATGCTGCCCTTCAACGGACTCGGGACGTGGTCGGCCTCCCTGTCCAACATCTCGACCATGCCCAAGATCCACACCACCCCGGCCTTGCACCTGCTGCAGTGGCCGATGATCCGGGACCTGGTGTCGCGGCCCTACGACCCCCAAGTGCTGCTCCAACTGGAGATGTCCCGCGAGCCGCTGCACTTGAACTCTTCACAGCGCCTCGATTTGTCCAACACCAACATCTACGTCCACGCATTCTTCGACAGAGTCAACGTGTGGTATGCCTGCGTCAACCCGTACAACTGGCACTCGTATTACCGCATTGCTCTCTCGAACGGCTTCCGTGAGGGTCCCGAGAGTTGCATTGTCCTACTCGTGCTTGCTCTGGGCGCCGCGAGCAATGCGGGCAGCATATCGCAACAGCCGCGAGATAAGGACCCACCGGGCATGTCTTACTTTGCTGCCGCATGGGCCTTGCTTCCCAACTTGATGACCAGGAACAACACCATTGCAGCGCAATGCCACATCCTGGCTTCCGCATATCTCTTCTACATCGTCAGGCCGCTTGAGGCTTGGAACCTGCTGACGAACACGAGCCTGAAGCTCCAGTTGTTGCTCAGTGCGCCAGGAAGAGTACCGCCGCAGGCCAAGGAAATGAGCGAGAGAGTCTACTGGAACACGCTGCTCTTTGAAAGGTACCAGCACCTGGGAACCCTTCTTGTCAAGCGAGAAAACTGATTTGTCTTTCGTAGTGACTTGCTTGCTGAGCTCGACCTTCCCCATTCGGGCATCGTCCAGTTCGAGGAAACCGTGGGCCTACCCGGAGGTTTTGAAGACGAGGGTGACGAGCCGGCCGCTGGCCGCGACGAGCTGTGGTACTTTTTGGCGGAAATAGCGCTTCGCCGGCTTCTCAACCGCGTCAGCCACCTCATCTACACCAAAACGTCGACCAACGCGTCCATCGCATCATTGGAGCCCTTGGTTGCCGAGCTCGACTTCCAGCTCACACAGTGGTATGAGGGCCTGCCCCTTCCGGTGCAGTTCCCGCACAGCAGGGTGCCACTGTCGAATCCCGTCCAGACGGTGCTGCGTTTGCGATACTTTGCATGCAGGACCATTATTTTCCGGCCATACATCCTCGCGGTGTTGAATGACGAGTCGGCCGCTATGGATCTGGTGGTGCAGGAGAATTGTCGACGATGCCTGGAAGCCTGCATCCGCCAATTGGAGCACATCTCCGCACAGTAAGTGACCCGTGACACGCTTCGCAAAGGAAATCAGTCGCATCTGACCCCTGTCTCCAGTCATTCCGGCCACCTTCCCTATCTGTGGCAAGGCGCACTATCGTAAGTGATGGAACCGTCCATTGAAGGAATGTCACTTGAGGCTAACATTTTCCTGCAGAATCGTGTCGCAAACCCTGCTCGTCATGGGTGCGACTATGTCGCCGTCGCTCTCGGCACTTCTGCCGCCGCCACCAGGTATGGACATCACCTCGTGCATTAGCCCATTGCGCATACTGACGCTTGAGCACAGCCATGGACGCCATCATAAACGACGTGGTAGTTGAGATTGAGCGCTACGCCCATCTGGCGCCTAGCCTCCGCTTGTCGGCCGAGATCATTCGCGAAGCTGAAGAACGACGCCAAATGTTTCTACGATCTGCGGGTTTGAAGGTTTGATGAGGGATGTGCCAGACGCACCTCGTCAATAAAACCCACGGTTCAACGTGGACGCGGACCTTTCATCTCCTGTCCCCATACATACTGAGCAAAACACCCCGCCCCACACCCACGATGCTACGACGTAAGCTAGCCTTGTTGCGCCACCTCCGCGTACAGGTTTCGCGGACCCTCGTCTTATGACACCCATCTTTCACCCGTCCGTCCAATGGGCATTTTGGCTATGAAGCCAATTTACCCGTATGACGCGATGGGTGCGGCTCTCTCATTGGATACCCCGGACGCCACTCCCACGAGTTCCTCTATTTGGCTTCCAGATGCAGCCCTAAGCCCGGCGGCGAGTCCGATCTATACTATCCCGACTGGGCACTTGGGCGAAGGGAAGAGGAGGAATCATTGGGGCTAGGCATGTGGAAGGCGGGGTGTTGGGGGCCAGCTGACACTATTGAGATGGTGCCTGGTGAAGTCGATGCAGGTGCTTGTGCCGATCGAATTCTTCAGGTCCCTGCTGCATGCATGTGTGCAGTCTGGATTTCTTTCTGACCACGGGTTTGCGGCTGTTGCCAGGAGGTGCTGGGATGGGGGTGGCCCGGCTATTTCCAAGTCGCCCTGGTACCTTGTGCCTGGAGGTGAAAGGGGATTGCGGGGTACAGCGCGCTCACCGCAGGCTGTTCTCCACACACGCACGCACGCACACACACACTCATCACTCGGGACCCCTGCTCCTTCCCTTCCATCACGGTCGATGCAGCAGTGGGGATTGCGAGCGGCTGCGCAACTCCGCCCCACAACTTTTGACATCCCTTACACATATCGGTGAAAGCGAAGGATCATGAGGCCCCTCCTGATTTCCTTTTGGCTTCGGTTCTTTCTTTTCACCTTGCAATTTCTTTTTCTCTTCCTCTTTGTTTTACTACTTCCAATCTTACTGTGGATTCTTTATGACAACGAATCACACAAAAGTAACGAATGATGCAATCACACTTTTACACTTCGAATTATACCCACGTTTGAAAAAGCTTCTTGTGTTTGTAAATAAACAAAAAAAAAAAAGGAACTCCGGCGTTGAAATGAAAGGGGGTGGGCCACACCAGATGTCCAGTCCTGCTTGATCCCATCCACGCGGAACAGCCGGATCTCTCAACAATCCAACTGAGTCGTGATCCTGAAAAAGTAGCGAGAGAGAGTAGGCGAGGGGGAGAGAGAAAAAAAAAAAAGGGCACCTTGAAGGAGCGGTCGGTTCCCACTTTTTTCGTATCTTGTAACGTCCACATTACACGAATCAGAAACCTTCCGCTTTTGAGTATATGAGTCGTGTAGCTACGCACGCGAGGCCAGCTCGAGAAAAATAGGGTCCAGGGTTCTAGACCTCTTGAATCTTTTGTTTCTGGGCCTTCTGAGACATGCATTAGATAGCAGACGCTTGAGTCCCCCATCTCCCAGTGATCCATCTGTCTCCTCCTCTACCCCCACCGCCCCCTTTTTTGTTGGGGCGGAGAGGTGTATGTACCCGTCCGTTTGCGGAAAGGACATAGCACACCATTCAGTTCCAAACCGTTTCGTCGTTGATCCACGAGATAAATCAGGTTTTCTACGAACTGTGACTGTGGTTGCTTGGGCGGTGTGGTATGTGTGTACGTTGCGTGTTGGTTCAATAAACATGATGCCGAGATGACGTTTCCGGTGCTATACAAAGCAAAAAAAGCAGGGCAGCTAGATGATAATAAAAAAAATATGACGCAAAATCAGGAGAGAATGAGAGTAGTAGAGGGAGATAAGGTCGGCGACTGAAGAGCAAAACACAACCCCATGACCAAACCCGACCCATGACCAAAACACAGCCCAAGCGGGATTAAGCGTGGCAGCCGGGCATGTGTTGGCAGGGGCGACTGGAAACAAGAAAAGCTTCTTTACCCTTTTCTCTTCCCCCTCCTCTTTCACTTTCCTATTTCCCTCACGTTCCTCCTTCTTGCAGCTTGAACGGTAAAGCGGCAGTTGAAGGAAGGGACGGAGCACACACGCCATCTTAGCACACTTGACGGGTCCTCAGAAGGGAAAAGAGACGTGACATCCCACTCTTTCCTACCGAGTTTCCCAAACACACGGCACTACTGCTAAAAAGAAAGTGCCGAGATGAGTGGTGTGAGACACAAGGGGACGGAAAGGTCATTCCGAAGAAGGATGGATACGAAGGACTACCACTGCTGTGACGAGGGGAATGGGGCAAGGCTGTGCGAATGTCATAACTTCGTTAAACGGTCGAATTGTTGTTTCGATCGTGAACAGATCAACAGTTATCTCGTGAGTGCGTGGTAGTCGGGGTGGGGCAGAAGGGGGGTTACGTAGTAAGGAGCCAACGCAACCAAGAGCGGCGCTAAATGAAGACACGCTCCGCCAGAAGTAGGTGTTGCGGCCGAGTAGAGAGGAGAAAAAATCGCGATGAGAGATAAAAAAAAAATTTCGAGTGGACGTGAGTGAGGCCTATCCACTTGGCGATTATAGCAGAGCTGTCATTATGCCGATCGCGGGAGCGGCATGTGGAGAGAAAGGGAAAAAACAAGCAAAGAAAGTGGACAATGACAGGCCTCAGCTGCGGCCGGTGGGATAGGACCTACCCCCGGAGGTGTGGGTCGCTGCTTGCCGCTCGGTGCACACCCGGGCGGCGCGGCACGCTCATTTTGTCCCTGCTCTACTTAGCGTTGCTGGGGTTGCTGTGCACGCCGAACTGGAAGCCTGGTTTGCCTCAAATTAAATTGTCGAAGGTTTCTGGAACATGCTGCTCAGAGCACCTGGTTGGAGGGGAGCATATGCCGAGCAAACCTGGGACTCGGCCTTGTGCCGGGGCCTAGGGCGGAGGCACCGTCTCCGAGTGTGATTTGGGTAGCAAAGAGAAATACAGGAAGAGAGGCCGAGAGGAGAAGCAAAGTCACGGTTGGGCGACACGCGCGCGCGAATGAGGGAGGGGGGCAAGGGAACGATCAGGTGCAAGGAGCAGGCCGCAGCTGGAGAACAGAAAGGAGGGGCGACAAGGGAAGCGCGGAGATGTGTTGGCATGGGTTCGTTGACAGCCGTCGTTGCCCAGAGGAGTCGCAGTGGTCGTTGGGTGTCTGTTCGCCGGGTGCTTTGCTACTTTGGTACGGACCTGTGCGCGCTCTGTGCACATCTCGTTGAGCAGTCGGCGCACTCACCGTTTGTACCCGACGATTATCATAGTAGCGGTGACCTATACGGTGGATTTTGCGACACGTGCTTTGGGTATTGGAAGTCGTCTGGACTTCTCCTTCAGGATCGCCCTGCGTGGGTCGGGCTCTGGGCTCAGCAGGGGAGTCCGGAGGAAAAGGTAGCGAGCCAAGGTGGGGTGGGGTGACACTGAAACGGCCGCAGCTGCCGGCGTGTGCTGCGTGCTCGTCGTTCGGAGAGCGCGCTTCTTGGGATCTGGGGTGCATAAACCATTTGCTTAAGCGCTTGCCTGCAATGCACGCTTACCATTGCTTCTCTTTGGCATCAGCACACCCGTGTTCGGACCTCTTCCGCACTCCGAGATAATCTGCGTGGCGATACGCGAAGGACTGGTGGTATCTCGCGGTACCTGCAATTTCCCGGTGGCGGAGGGGCTGGCGGTGCGCGAGTAAAATGGTTGCTAAGTCGCGCTGCTGCCGCTTCTGCATCCCTCAGTCCAACTTTGCCTTGACGATGCAGAGCCAAGCCGCCGTCTGACCGGCTGGCGTGGAGCGTGGTGCAGCGACGGGTGCATTTCTTCTGCGCGTTTGCCGGTCTGCTCGAGTACAAGACGGTCTGGGGGCGACCGGTTGCTAGTGAAGCTGGCAAGCAGCAAGTAGGAGTTGCTGCTACATAATAGTCGAGATCTCATGACAGGGGGTCCGAGGCTGGCCATTTCTTCCGTTGCGCTTGCCAGGGGGCGTGAGACGAAGGTCTTTTCGATGCCCTTTTGACGCTCGAGCAACAACAACGAATCGTGCATTTCGAAACAAGAGAGAGCCCCAGCGCCAGGTGATGACTTGCGCTTCGTATGCCTGATGGACGCGAGGACAGATCTCTGCACCTCTTTTCCGAGCCCAAGTGGATGTTCGATCCCGTTATACTGCGAGTGAGACAAGACCGCCCGTCGATTGATGCGAGGATCAACTCTCAGGTGATGGAGGCAGATCTTGCTCCAAGAATAAGCCCAAGTCCGGAGCCGAGACGGCCAGCTCAGGCACTGAGCAGGCTTTGACATGGGTAGGGCCTGTCCAACGACCCACCAATTCAGGAGAGCGCTGTCAGGAAGGGTGGAGTAGACAGCTCCTTCGCAGTCCGTAAACGCTGGCAGTGCAGCACAACATCTCTCGGCCGCAAGCCGTGTAAGCGCCGTCTGCGCCCCGCATGATCGTGTCATTCAGAGAGCTGACCGGTCAGCAGCAGACGAGCATGAAACCTCGATTCAAAGAGTCCAAGCTCTTTGATGTGGATGTTGTCTTGAGCAGACGGATCCGCCTGCCAGGATTGGCGACAGGGACTCGCGAGAGCGGTCGCCGCAATCGGAAAATGTCGGACGAAGGGACCCGCAGAGTGCGTGAGCGGAACAGCCGAGGGCAATCTGCCTGAACTGCCGTAACCACCTCCGGTCCCTCAGGGGAGGAGCCAGCGCGGGACATTTCCTCGTTCCGCGCCCCGGAGCCGCAACGGAGCCGGCGCTTGTGTGGATCTGGGAGCGTTGGTACGTTGGTGACCCTTCACGCTTGTTCCCTGGAAGCTTTGCACAAAACCATATCGACAAAATGCTGCTAATAGTGTTCAGCAACGCTGGACTGGCCTGAATCGGGTAAGCGTGCAGAGATCCGTCCATCAGCCTAAAACTTCCGCGCGGATGTGGGGGAATACGGTTTTGAGCGCGCGCCTCGGAGCGAATACGACGACCGATCACAGGTGCTCGAATGCATCTTGCTGCTGAAGAGAAGTGCTGGAAGAGGTGGGGATGACGTTGGGTCCGTCCACCGAGACAGGGAAGATCACGTGGTCTGACGCCCCAATGGACATCCGGCGGGCGCGTGGCGGGTGGCTTCCTCCTTGCTTGGCGAGCTTGAATGTCAAAACGAATTTCCAACGCAAGAAGAACGTACCAGCTTCCAGACTCAACGAAGAGCGAGGGGAGGTGAAGTTAAGAAGCCCGCCGTGGCTTTGGGGTTGCGCCGCGCGTCCCTTCCTCCATCTTTCCTTATCCACCGGCGCAGTGATGTCATTGCTGGTGGCCGGCTCACGTGGCTGCGTGTCACCGCGTCGCGCCCGTCCTTCGGCAGTTGCGTTTTGCTGGTTTGCACAGCGTCCTTGCATCCATCCCATCACTCTCCGGTCTTTGCTCCCAAAATGCCCAAGGAGAGGCCGGCGCGACGTCCAGTCCCCCCGGTCAACCCCTACACGCCGAAACAGCATCTGACGCAGCCGCCGTCAGAATCTCCTCCGCCATCCGCACAACCCTTGCCACCCCGCTCGTCAGCTTCCCCAGCAGAGCGCGCGCCCGAAAGCCAAGATATCCCACGCTCCGATCGTCCCGCAGAACCCACGCGCCAGCACTTTGATCCCTGGAACTCCTCTTCCACCGGCCACCAGCGCGCCGAAAATCGTCTGGTTGGAAGCACCTCTTGGCGCGAATCCCGCAATGCGAAGCTTGCGGCACAGTTCGCCGGCGGCGCAGGCGGTGGAGTGAGGCTTGCCGACACTGTAGGGGCCGGTAGTGTGGACTTTGGTCACGATGGCCGCAAGGCCAACGGAGGATGGGAGAGGGGCGCTTCGGGACTAAGAGGCAAAGGGCAGTTAGCTATATGGGAGTCTATGGGGGCCGCGGCGACGAAGAGGAAAGCCGTGGATGCTGGTGACTGCCATCGTGGCCAAGCAACACGCGGCAAAGGCACAGACGAGACAAGCTTTGCAAGTGACGAGGGCCGCGCCGAAGTGGCCGAGGCTTGTACAGGGGAAGCTGCAGGGAAACGCCACGACAATCCTGAGGGAAGTTCCGTTGATGTGGAGAATGCGGAGGAGGTACTGCCAACCTTGAAGCAGATCTTCCGCGGTCTTTGCTTTTATATCAATGGTTCGACGGCGCCGACAATTTCAGATCACAAGCTGAAGCAGCTGCTCGCAATGCATGGTGCAAGCACTTCAATCGCCTTGGGCCGCCGCACCGTAACGCATGTGATACTCGGCCGCAGTGGTGATGGTGGTGCTGGCGGTGGTCTTGCCGGCGGGAAGCTGCAGAAGGAGATAGCTCGCGTGGGTGGGAAAGGGCTCAGATACGTCGGCGTAGAATGGGTGGTTGAGAGCGTACGGGCAGGTAAGCGGCTGCCAGAAGCAGGCTTCTCGAATTTGAAGATTGTATCAGCGGGCCAGAGGAGTGTCTATGGCATGTTCAAGCGCGGGGAGTGTGAGGACTCGGAGAAGGCATGATGGCGCCAGGAGAGGAGGTGTGCATTTGGCTTGGCGTTGCTTCCGTTTGACAGTGCGTTTGCGCTGTACACCAAGGATTAGATATACCCACGATGGATGAAGACGGCTTCAGTTATGACCTGAACATGGCCTGTTTGACCTGCTATGTCGCGCATGAGCAGGTGACGGACTGCACTGTTAAAGTGCAGTGCAGTGCGGACGCGGCTGGAATTCGAACCGCCATGCACTCTAAAACCCTACCTGGCGGGTCTTGTGTTCTAAGTGACCGTAACGGGTGGGTTGGTGCAGTGGTTTACACACACCATTTCGCATCCTCCAGATTAGGAAGTGCCCCACAATTATTGTCTCCCGCCACCAAAGAAGCCTTTCGGCGCCTCTGGTTTATCTCCTCGCTCTCGGGCAGGTGCTGTAACCGAAACTGGCTGAGAAGGTGTTACCATGTGGCTAAAGTCAAATGGAGGCCGCACAGAGCGCACTGGATCAAGACACATCCGGGAGCGTCTAAACGGACTCCAATATAGATTTTTTTTTTTGGCTTTGTTGTTTTGGTCTCTTAATTTATTATGTGCTCTAGCGCCTCTAAATGTCCTTAATCGCGTTATCCAGAAATACAACCTGGTCATTCCTCAAGCTGTGCAAGGAAAAACAATTTGCGCTATTCCCGTTATGGGTGGATTGCGTGAACAATCACCGCGCTGTCTGGCGGGCGAGGAAGACTCATGATAGTAGAATCATAGTATACGCGCCTAATCATATCTTGAGGACATGTCCGCATTGACTTCACCTTGTTCTCAATGTTCGAGCGCGAACAGCTGCCATCGATAGCCACCGTCGGCTCTCAATGAACTTCACCTTTCATCTTCACTTCATCATGGCCGGGAGACAGGCCGTTGACATTCAACCATACAGATCTTCTCACTTTCCGGTCGTAGGAGGTGCAAATCAGGTGAGTTGGATCCTCACTCACTTCACTTAACTCACTGAGCCCAATGGACTCCTCGCTGCCCGTCGCTTATAAATATCTGGCTCTTCACCCCCCCAAACCTTTCACTCTCCAGCACCAACAACTCATTCGTCTAGCAAATTGCCAATAATGGCAGCTTTGGTGCCACACGTCGAGCGCGTCGAGGACGTTGCGGCGTTGTACGTCACAGAGTTCTGCTTCAGCCTTCCAGCAAAAGCACAAGCTAACAGCTTGCACAGCCTATGGCAGACCAGAGAATACTCCGACGTAACAATCAGCACCGGTGACCACAAGGAAATCAATGCGCACAAGGCTATGTAGGCCATTCTACCCATCATTCTCCAATGTAGTTACTAATCACCCGGTGCCGCTAGTATCTGCATCCGCAATAAGTTCTTCGAGAATTGTCTGCGGCACGGGTTCGCCGTAAGTTCACAGCCTCACTTTACAACTCAGTGTACTGACAACCTGCGAAGGAATCCTTCACCAATCGCGTAGAGCTCCCGGAGAACTTCGAGATCGTGGAGGCTCTCCTACAGAGTCTATATGGTGTAGACGTGCCGTTGCTCCATGTATCTGGCGAGGAATGCAAGATTCAGAAGTTGATCAGTCTGTACTCATCCGCCGACAAAGTATGATACTGGGGACTGTATTCCAACGATTCAGCAGCTGACAGTACTTGTAGTATGGCGTAGCTCTGCAGGAGAAGGTTTGCCAAACCTTTTCAGCTTGCCTCGAGATGGTTGAAACCCCGGAAACGATTCTCAGTATCGCGTGGGCCGTGTACGACCAAACCCCGTACTTCGACGTTCAACTTAGAAGCGCCACGATAAACCATGTTCAGGCCCATCTGGACACCATTCTTTGCACGGATGAATCTGCATCCGTTCTGATGGGAAATTCGCAGTTGGCCGTCGACATGTTGAGGCGCACAGCCCCTATGCTCCAAGAGCAGGCACAGGCTTTGAAGGCCGGATCCGTTCCTACGACGCCCAAGAAGCGCAGGTCTCCGCGGAATGCTACCCATACGCCAGGAACACACGCCTTTCGCGTTCGCATGTATTGATGGAATCTCCACAGGGATTCAGCTTCCCAGGCGTCTTTTGGAGGCCAGGGCTCACGACTTGGGACGAACTATCTCACTCTTTCTTCCCTTGTCGTTCGACATGGATCCAGGTCCGGCTCTTTTCCCAATATCCTTCTCTGAGTCGAAAAGAAGAGCCCACGATCCAGGAGTTAGCAGCATTTCCTTGATTTCTAATGGCTGCGGTTGGTTAATTGCAGTATGCTTGCGAGTGGAATTTGGACATGATGCCCTTTGCTTTTTCAAGATAAAAGTTTGATCACGATAGTTGAATTGGTCGACCCAGCTAGGCTTTGAATCAAAGTTGAATTGCGAAAAGGATGAAGTGCGGAGTTGAGGTTGACAAAGGTGAAGAAGAGGTGCAGGTTGGGAACTTGGGAACCCCGCCCGGGCGGCAGCCAGCGCACGCGTCCGCCGCACTTGGCGGCTCCGCGGCGCGACGTGCGCAACCTCACAGCAAAGAAACGCCAGGCCCCAGCCAAACACGATGTGATAGCGAACGACGGGCCTCACGTCCAACCACCGCCTCCCATGGGCCCCGAAACCGCCTCCCGCCTGGGCGCGAGCCCCAATGGTGCGCCTTCCGCCGCCGCGACTGCCTCCTCCGCCGCCCAACAGCTCGACACCACCGCAGCAGCCGCCGCCACGACCATGACGGTGCCCACGCCGACCATGGCCGCCGCCCCTTCCGCGCCACAGCCTCAATCGTCGAAGCCGGACCAGCGACAACCGCAGCCGCAGCCGCAGCCTCAGCCGCAGCCCCAAGCGCAGCAGCAGCGACCCGCCGCCATGGAGCCCAACGTGCTGAACGTCGTGCTGGGCGACCTGCTCGTCAAGCCCTGGTACCCGTCGTTCTACCCGGAGGAGCTGGTCGGCCGCCGCGTCGAGCGGCTGTACGTGTGCCAGTGGTGCTTCAAGTACTCCAAGGAGCTGATCCCCTTCCTCGGCCACACGGTCCGTCGTCCCGCCCCCTTCAATACATACATGCGTGCATACCGCGGGCTGTGAGGCTGATGCGCGTAAGCAGAAAGTGTGCAGTCTCAAGGACGCGCCGCCGCCGGGCACCAGAATCTACGCCAAGGACTGCTACTCGATACACGAGGTCGACGGCGAGGAGCACAAGGTGCGTGTGTGTGGCTGGGTGCCAGGGACAAGGCGGACATACTGCTGACACTGCGCGCCCAGCTTTATTCGCAGAATCTGTCCCTGTTCGGAAAACTCTTTCTCGATACCAAATCCGTCTTTTACGATGTCACGACCTTTCTATACTATTTGCTCGTCAACACCAATCCGGCAACTGGCTCGCGCCAGGTCATCGGCTTCTTCAGCAAGGAGAAGATGAGCTGGGACAACAACAACCTGGCCTGCATTCTGGTCTTCCCGCCGTGGCAGAGGCAAGGTCTTGGTCAGATGTTGATGGGCGTGAGCTACGAATTAAGCCGGCGAGAAGGACGCATAGGCGGTCCGGAAAAGCGTGAGTGATCTACTACATGTCCCTTTTGCACGCCCTCCTTTCCGTCCAATTCCTAGAGTTTTCTGAGTTGTGCCAAAAGTCGCTAAGATTCTAACACCTCTGGCAGCCCTATCGGAGCTCGGTCGACGTGGGTATACGGCGTACTGGTCTGCTACAACCGCACGGTACATCTTGTCCGTTCCGGTGAAGCGCACCGTCACGCTGCGTGATATCAGCGACGCGACATATATCCAGCTCGAGGATATCGTTGCCACGCTAAAGGAGATGAAGGTACTGGAGCATCGACCGAACACCAACAAGAAGTCCAGTTCCGCTCCTGATGAGCTTCCTGTCCTTAACAAGGCCAAGGTGCGGAGATGGGCGCTTGAGAATGGTGTCGGCCTGATGCCGCCTGTTGATGCCAACGCGTTAAGGGTGGAGTGGACGACGCGAGATAGGAGGGAGGATATTGGAGGTGATTAGAGAAGGGAAGCTTGCCTTATGTTTCCTTGCAACTACTTTTAGAGGGGCTTATTTGGAGTGGGAGTCTGTTTTTGAGAATATACCCCGGCCATAGAAGGTACGTCGAGCACTGCATGCGAGGGTAGACATAGCCTCGTGCACTAATATGATGGTGATGTATATAACCGTCAATCTTTGAAGAAACTTGTTACGCAGCGTGGTGATTTTGTGGAGCCACATGGCAGCAGACAGACGCCTCCTTAACGCTCTTTTTTCTTCGCCCCTTGACTACTTCTTTCGCCTATCATGACCTTCCAAACTGCTCTGCAAACAACATCCGTGGAACCTGTCTCCAGAAATATCCCAAACCTTGCTTCAACCTACTATCACTTTCCACACCCACAAATACCCTCAAGCCGCTCAACCACAACACATCTACCCACAACACTCTCACAGACTGCCCACAGCACACCCAAAAACAAACCACACATCACTCAACAAAACGCCCTCCCCCCCTCCCCCCCAGCATGCCCGACTCCCTCGCCACCCTCCTCGCCCGCCTCTCCGGCGGCCTCCTCCCACAATCCATCTCCGACCAGGCGTCCAAGATGTTCGTCAAGCGCCTCCTCAAGCACCTCTTCGACCGCCTCGAGCAGCTGTTCGTCCAGCTCGCCTGGGCCGCCCTGACGGGCTTGTTCCAGGCGTTTTGGCTGCTGGTGCTGCAGAAGGTGGCGGGCGGGGCGAGTGCTGGGTCTGTCGTTGCTTCGGCGTCGTCGTCGTCGTCGTCGTCGGCATCGTTGAGTGGCAGAGGTGAGGGGGCGGGTGGAGTGCTTGATGGTGGTGGTGGTGTTGTGGAGGCTGCTGGTGCTGGTGCTGGTGCTGGTGCTTCTGCTGCTGGTAGCGGTCCTCGCGCTCTTCCTCCTTCTCCTCCTCACGCTCTCACTCCTACCCCTGCTGCTTTATCCCCCGATTCTGAGAGCTCCGGTTGTGCTGCTCCTGCGGCTGTGTGCCCGATCACGCCGATCACGCCGAGGAGTGGTGGCGTGCGCCTCCCGCCGAATGTATATCTGAAGCGCTCTGTGCCGAGTGGTGCTGCGCTACCTGTCCACGGTGTCCGCGACGGCGAGAAGGAGAGAAGCGCTCGAATGTCCAGATCGACAATGAGCCCTAAGAGGCAGAGTGGAATGTCCCACTTTGGCTTTCGATGGCGTAAGTCTGGCAATTGAGGCGTTGGGAGGGGATGGCTTGAATCCATTGAAGACCCAGCTGGGTCAGGCTTGAGACTCGTTCGCGGCGGCTCATAGGCGAGTGATGGAGAGGGAGGCTTGTTTGCGGTTGAAGCTGGTGCTGAGAATCTTAGACGGGGAAGGAAGCTCGATAAATTGAGGGGACTGTGGGCCGAAGCATGCCACGAAGGTGCAAGCGAGATATCTGCTGTGGGGGATGGGAAGATGGCTGCCGAAGCCCTTTCAAGGACACTGAATTCCATGAGGTCAATGAGCTTCTGAAGAAGTGCAGTGTGCGGAAGGACTGGCAGAATTACAGTGTTTATTTCATATCTTACTTTTCCTCGGCTCTACTTTTCTGGGTTTATTTCTGATTTCCTTTCCGGCGCCGTACAGTGTCCGCTTCATCACTAGCCACCGCGGTCTTCTGTATAGCAACGCTCTTCTTCTCGCCACCGCCCTCAATCACCCATGTTTCGGCAACCTCCTTGATTTCTGGCTTTTTCTTCTCTTCAATCTTGGCTTCTTTTATCTTCCTGAGGTATCCCATGTAGACAGCAACCTCTGCAACCGCCACGACCGTGCTTCCTGTCATGCTCAGCGCCAGGCGGGCTGGAGTACTCCAGTATCTTGCAACCATCCATAAAGCGCAACTGCAGGCGATGATAGATACTAGCACGTTGATGATGAGGGCCAGTTGCCTGTTGATATCGGCATATGTAACTTCGTCGTCTTCATCATTACTAGCAAAGCCATCCGTTGGAGGTACGGCGAAGAGATGAGCGGCGTTCGATGCCGGAAAGCGCTGGCCGAACGTCTCTGTGGGCTGGGGTGGGTTCAGCATGCGTTCGTAGGCACGAGCTTCCTCCTCCTTGCGGAGGCGAGCCATCAGCTGTTTGTATTCATTGCTCTGCGGAGACAAGCTGTCAGCGTAGTGGGGCACGTTGGTAGCTCGGGTGCTTACGGGCTCGGGCCTTGGCGGGGGCGGTGGCACATATATTCTGGAGCCGCGAAGGAGGTGGTTGAGGCCAGAAGGTGCTGTAGCTGGTCTTTCACTGTCGCCATCGTTCAGAGCGTCGGATATGGCTATCAGCTGTGCGTGCGAGATGGGATTGCCGGACGCCGGGTCGCTGAGCTGCGGCTCTCCGTCGAGCTGCAGTGTCTGCGTCTGCTCGGGACCGGCAAGAGCTTCATATCGTTTGACTGCCGCCACGATGGACGGAGTCATTGTGAGGAGGACCATTGCGGCGGTTGGTGATGTGGAGGTGGAGCAGTGATTGCCTGCGGCTCTGCGGGCGCGGTCGGGAGCTCATCAGAGCTCAGAGCTCAAGCTCGGCCTTGGCGCAAGATCCCTGCTCGATTTTCCCGACCCGCGCCGTCCGACCCTCGCGTGCAACCGTTTTGCTTGCTGCCCGCAACACTTTACGTCTGCGACCGCACCCAACCCCTCCCGGTCCAGCGCAACCCCGGATCCTGCTCAATTCGCCTCTACAGCCCTGCGCCACCACCCACAATGGCCGCCCGCGCAGCACGTAGCCCGGCGCTTGCCCAGAGCGTCGTTGCCGCTCATCGCCCGCGGACATCGCGTTGCTCCAGATGCCTACGCTCTCCTCCCGCCATACAATCAGCCTCCGCAATGTCCATCTTCTACCACCCCTCACGGCGGCGAGAGAGCTCCAGCTGGGCCGCCGCTGCCGTTGCCGCTCAGCAGATTTTCAAGAACTCAGCTCCGGACCCATCAGCGCCCATCTCTGTGGACCCATTGCGGTCTGTTGCCAAAGAGATGAAGTTTCTTACCAAGAACATACGCCAATTGCTCGGCTCGGGACATCCTACCCTTGATACCGTGGCCAAATACTACACCCAGTCCGAGGGTAAATACGTTCGGCCCATGCTCGTGCTGCTCATGTCGCGCGCAACCGCATTAATCCCCAGCAACGACCGCCCCACCGCCCATAATGTAGACCGCTCCATTGCCCCGCCCAACATCCTCGTCGACGAGAACCCCGCCGCCCCCGAGAACACGCCCATCACCTCGCAAAACTCCATCGACAACACATACCGCCCGGACGACTCGGACATCCTGCCCTCGCAGCGCCGGTTAGCGGAGATCACGGAGCTCATCCACACGGCGTCGCTGCTGCACGACGACGTCATCGACCACTCGGAGGCGCGGCGGGGCGCGGCGTCGGCCAACGTCGAGTTCGGCAACAAGATGACGGTGCTGGCGGGCGACTTTTTGCTGGGGCGGGCGTCGGTGGCGCTGGCGCGGCTGCGCGACCCGGAGGTGACGGAGCTGCTGGCCACGGTCATCGCCAACCTGATCGAGGGCGAGTTCATGCAGCTGAAGAACACGGCGCGCGACGAGAAGGACCCCGCCTTCACCGAGGACACGGTCACGTACTACCTGCAGAAGACGTACCTCAAGAGCGCCAGCCTCATCAGCAAGAGCTGCCGCGCCGCCGCCATCCTCGGCGGCGGCGCGCCCGACGTCGTCGAGGCCGCGTACCAGTACGGCAAGAACCTCGGCATGGCGTTCCAGCTCGTCGACGACATGCTGGATTACACCATCTCTGCCGAGGAGTTGGGCAAGCCTGCCGGGGCGGACTTGGAGCTGGGGTTGGCGACCGCGCCGTTGCTTTTCGCGTGGAAGAGCAATGCGGAGCTGGGTGCTCTGGTGGGCAGGAAGTTTTCGCGGGCTGGAGATGTCCAGAAGGTGAGTTCCCCGTAGGAAGTGGTTCTTTTTTTTGCGCGGCGCTGGATGGAAGCTAATTGACTTGGTAGGCGAGAGAACTCGTGGCGCGCAGCAGCGGCCTGGAGCAGACCCGCGCGTTGGCCCAGCAGTACGTTGATAACGCGATCCAGGCCATCAGTGGCTTCCCCGCTAGCGAAGCCAAGGAAGGTCTCGTCGAGATGTGCACCAAGGTCATGAAGCGGAGGAAGTAAAGAAAAAGTACTCTGCACGTTATTGTTATTGTCGAAGCCAGATTTTCCGTTCCGTCTTCCTTATTTGTGCCATACGATCCATCATAGAGCGGCGAAAGTATGAGTCTTTGAGTCATTTTCTGCTGACAGTCAGGTCTGTGCATCCTCCTTTTTCTTCCTTTTCCATATCTCTTCTCTGGGCTGGATGCGGACTCGGGGGGCGCTGGGCTGGTAGAGAGACAAAACGAGACAGGCGCTGGTATGCTATGTTATACCACTTCACTTTCACCTCCCTTAGTATGTCATCTTCTGGTACGCTGTCTGGGTTCTCCCGTCTTGTCTCTACGTGTACATGTTCCTCTCTTCTCTCTTCTTCTAGCTTACCCGACAGGAATCCACAGCGGGAAAGTTTCCCGGTTTCTTGATGTTACTTGACTTTCTTCCCCCCTCCTGTGCTGCCTGTAGCGTGAATGCATGTTCCGCAAATGCAAGGCACCGATCGTGAACCTTGTTGCTTTATGATGATACAATGACTCTGCAATCACAACTCGGTTGGTCTCCAACACAGGATGTTGGCTCTATTGCGGAAGGCAGGAGTTGTAGCCTGGCGCTATCAGACACTGGACAGCCCAAGGAAAGGAGAAGGGGGAGGAGCGGACTGGCGGTGAGTTGCACACCTTGTTTTACCTGCCTCTCGTCCCAGAGAGGGGCCGAAGCACCTTTTGCCAAATGTGGGCTTGTCCAAGGAGAAGTGAGTTCAGCAGCGTATGCTGCCTCCATCAACTGAGCTAATAACAGGAAGCAGGCTTTGAGCTGGGGGCTTGCGTGATCTGCCAACTGCTTTTCTTGCTACCCGCAAGACAAAGAAAATGTTCACAGTAGGCAACCTAGTGTATTCCAGGGGCGGGAAAGCCTGTAGGTAGTTTCCCTACAGGGGCGTTCTCTTGTGGACTTCACTGTTTCAAGCCAGATGTTACTTTTGGTCCGAATTGATTTGTCTGCCATTGAGATAGTTTGGGCCTTCCATCGCCATGGAGCCAAATTTGATCGCAAACAGTAAAACATAACGACACGGTACATGTTTCACCAAGAGGAAGGAGAAGCCTGCTGTTACCGTCACGCACAAAGCTCCATGACGAAGCGCCACACCGCACCACGCAATCTGCAGGCCGGAAATGACTTGCGGTACACCGCACGTTCAATAAGACTGAGACCTTGTCTCTCCACCAATCCAGGGCCGAGGGGCTGGGGAGGGGAGAAAAAGCAACGAATGTAAACAAGAGGAAAAAAAAATAAGGTGGCAGGAACTGCCGGCCCATTGCGTGCATGAACCTGCAAGAGAAAAGCAAAAAAGCGAACGCCATGCAGCCATGCAATGTCGACCTCGTTCCGCTGCGGCTAGTCACAAGAAGTTCCGGCCATGCAGGCGATTGGTAACGGCTGCAGGCGGCTGTTCGTAGCGTGGTTGCCCCGCAGTTTGGGTGGTGCAAGGTTGAACAATAACAATAACAACCAGCAACAAGAGGCCAGAATCCGTGCGACGTTCGGGAGATTTGTGCCGGGGGGAGTGAGCGAGAGGTGGGATCGTACGGTACCTACTTCATGCGGGTCTCGGGCGGCTGCTGTGTTGCGTCGCCGGCGAGAACAGGAACGGAGAGAAGAAAGAGGCACGTGAAAATGCGAGACATTTGGGAGCCGATCACCGGTCGGTCAGCAGGAGGCTGAGCACGATTCGTCTCAATGGCTGACACGCCCTGGCCTATTTCCGGGGACGCTTGCGTTCCCGGGCTGGAGTAAACAAGAGGAGGGTTTTGCCTTCACTATGGGAGGGTTGTTATCGGTTGGAGGAAAGTGTGTCGCTGGCGTATCCGTACTCTCTTAATCGGAACCGCACATCCTGACAAACGCGTGGCTCTCGTTTGAATCTCGGCTTCGTCAGCTTCGCAGGTGCAAACGCGGCTCACCAGAGTCCAGGCAGCGTTGTTGCCATGCAAGCTCAGCTGAGGGGCCGTCGTCTCGTCATTGGCCTGGCGGCCTCCCGTATTCTCGGGCACACGACCACCCAGCTGCTCGGGGAATTCTGGATCGTCGACAAAACAAACGCCAAATATTTGGTGGCACGCAACGTGGACGCTACCCGAGATAAATCGACGATTGCGTGGAATGGTTAGCAACGGCGAACGAACCACGGTGAAAGGATAGACCAACCACAGGTTATGGTGCAGTCCTCCAGCTAGTCTGGAGCCAAGCAATTGTTAGCGTATATCTTTCCATGACAGCGCGAAAGCTTCGTTGTCGATGCGACAAATTGCTGCGGCGCGCTCATTCCGCATTCTTTAGACATAGGTCACAAGGCGTACCTTCGCCAATGGACCATATGCCATGAAGCAGGAAGGATGGCTGGGCGAAAAGAAACCTCATGTTCGATCCACATAGGAAAATGTAAAATCGCCATGTACTGGGATGGTCGTTTGGTCGTTACGACGCCGTACGTCAACGTTCAACTTAGTGTCCCTCACAGCCGCTGCTCACGTGCCGTATCGTGGACTGCGGCTAGAAAAGCATCGGGTGAGTTTCAATGATCATCCGGCCGGCGTCATCGAGATCCTAGTCTGATGAGCACATGCGCAGCCTTCCCGTCCGCCCTGCCGCGCTGCCTCATTCCTCCTCCTGAAGAAGACGGCGTCTGTACGGATATGGCTCGGATCGAGCCTTTGCGCAGAAGAAACGCCGCCGCCTGACAGGGCTGCATGGGCCCAACAAGTTCCCGCGTGGACAGCAAGGCTATCGCATGGGAAGCAGATGTGGTTCCTGCGCGCTGACGACCCCGACTCGGCGCTTCAGGCGGCAATGAACTGAGTGCACAACTATCGTACCATGCGTTGCATGATTCTAGGACCAGAAAGCGACGGATGACCAAGAAAAAGGCGATGGGGAAGATGGATAGGACCATTGTCTGCAGTTGCAGAAGCGAGGAGAAGCCGAGGGGAATTTACTCGAGGGGGACGGCTGGCCAGGAGGCGTCGTGACAGCTCGACATCAGCCGCTTCTTATTTTTATCGTACCAAGCCTTCACCGAACGCCACCGAAGATTGATCGCTACGGATTGTGACGGCAGAGATCTCGATGCATGCCACTGCAGGAGCGGGGGCAGCTGAGACACCGCAGCTCCGCTCCTCGCCATGATATGCTAACAACGGCCAACGTGGATCACCACGTAGGGCCCTGTCGGACGCCGCATGAGGGGAAGCTGGCGAGCTCTGGGACGTGATCGGATGCAGTGCAGGAAGCAGGAAGCAGGAAGCAGAGTGATAGCTGCACGACCACGACCGAAGCGGCGACCACGTATGTATGCATGGCACGATGCTGTGCCAACGGCGCGGGCGATGGAAGCGGAGCGATTGGGCGGCGCTCGAGTCTGCAGATGCCAGCGGCCAGCTTCGTAAGTGTCCGTGCCTCCCGTCGAGGATCTCCGGTCTGGACGGCGTGCGCTCCATGTCCGCCTGATCGGCGGCCCTGTCGCGCGCTTTGACGGCGCGCGAGGCTGGGCGGGCGAAACACTACAACGCAAGGCCTTGCATAGTGCCCAACGGCGGCGCAAGAGACAACCAGCCTGAGCACCGCCCCTTCGCAGCCGTCGCGACGCAACACGGGGCATTGGAGAGGAGCCCGTCCGTTGAGGCCGAATGACCCACCAAAACGCGTCGACGCGTCCGTCGCGCGTCAGAAGGCTAACTGTGTCGGGCTGGGCTTGTCACCGCGGCCGGGGTGGGTGGAGGCCTCCGCGCTGTGTCGCGGTGCGCGGGCAGCCAATCGCCGCCAAGGGCGTCTGGCAGGACACCCAGCGCCGCGAGGGCTCTTGATAGGCGCGCATGGCGTGGCCGTCGTCCTTCGTCGGGTGCCGCGCAGACAGACCGCCGTTTTCGGTTCCTGCGCCTGGCGGCTGCTGCTACGCTGTTGCTGCCATGCTGCTGCGTGCTGCTGCGTGCTGCGACGGCTGTTGCTACGTCGGCGGCGGATGGGTCGGTGCGGGCGTCGGCTGGGATTGCGCTGCCTAGTTTTCAGGGTCTGCTGGCGGTGTTGGAATCGGTGTGAAGCCTTCCTGTAAGCCGTGCCCGTGAGCCAGGGTGGCGCTATTGTGATGCTAGCGCCGACGGGTGCACACGGGCTGCCCGCCAGGCGCATCGCCGCTTCCACATCTTGCCCGTCGCATCAACCCTCGCCCGCCTCACCACCTCTCCGCTTTGTCGCTACTTCGCTCGACCTGCCCCCCCAGCCCGCCGTCCACCACTCTCCCCCGGCCATGCGCACTTCGCCGTGACAAGCGCCTACTCCGCGACCTTCGCCAGTAGCAACAACTCGCCTGCTCATCGCTGCGCAGCCACCCGCCCGCCCATTTGCGCCTCCCACCACGACGCTCCTTCTCCCAGCCACCGCTCGGCCGCCCGGTGTCCTTCTATCGCACACGCCTATTCACGATCTCCTAGACCGTATCTCCACTTTTTCTTCGGCGGAATAAATCCATTTGCTCCAGCGACACTGCGCGCGCTGCTGTCGCATCCACATTCATTACCACCACGCTCGCTCCACCGCCTTTCCGCGTTGATCTTTCCACCAGGCACGACTCGTGACGCCCAGCCTGGTCGAGAGACACGTGCGCCCCGTATTCGCGACAGCTTAGGACGACGCTGGTCACCAAAACAACATATCAAAACATTGCGCCTGCTAGACGATAGCTCAGTCTGATCCTCGCGCGAGCACAGAGGCATCCCCATCGGCTTCGCTAGAAAACAACAAGAGTCTCCAAGCTTTCTGGGCTTGATTGGCCGACACCGTGCCGTTGGAATTCAGCCTGCAAGGAGACCGATAACAGATACCACACGTGCTCTTCCTGTTTTGTGGACGACAATCAAGGGATAGACACAATCTCCGAAACTCGATTCCGATCAAAATGCCTCCCGTACGGCCTCATCTCTCAGTCACGCTGCCGAAGAACTTCACCTTCCACTACACGGACGGCGAACAACCGCGGACACCGGAACCTGAGTGCGCCGAGGAACCAACAGAGCCACCTCAGCTTCCTCGCCAGAACTTCCGCGTCAGACGTCGCAGGCGTGCTTTGCCAACGTACGCACCTACCAACTTCTCGAACGCGTCGAGAGACTTGCCCATCCCGACAATTGAAGCTCCTGAGCCTGGCTTCGACGCGCCTTACCCATCTTTCTCAGACACACCTTCTGAACCTGATCGAGGTTATCTTGCTCCAACTCCCAACTCATACCGTCTGTTCTCCCCACCCAAGACCCCAGTGGCCCAGATTGGGATGGAGCGAATCAGCACTGGCCAGTTCCGCGATGCGGACATTGAAAGCCAAGCTGAGAGCATCAGCCGCCCGTCGTCTGCATGCTCTGGCATTTCCGATTCCTCTGTCTCCTCCCGTGGCAGCATGGATTCATACGGCGGCAGCTGCACAAGTCCCGAGAGTGACAACTCAGACCCATTTGTCTTTCCGGAGCCCAAGCCCAGCCAATATCCCCTTTCCTCGCCTCTGCAGGCGTACAACACCGAGCGACCCGCAAAGCGTATGAGGACTCGCAAGGACACAGTTTGGACCAAAGCAATGGATGACCATCTTTGGCTGACCTACATGATGTGCCTACAAGACCCCACAGTCACCCCATTCAAGATGCTGCCTGGAACCGTTCCTCCTCTGGGGATTTGCACAAAGGTTGCACGGCAAGCCAAGAAGACTTGGAGGGGTGGTCTGGCTGCAAAGAATCAACCTACCCCATTCGCGAGGAATGGACGCAGTGGTAGCAACACACCTACAACCCACGATATTCCGAAACCTGGTATCAAATGGCCCCGTTCAGAAGCAGCTGCGCGTGGAAGACTCCGTAAGCTTAGCAAGCGTCAACCCATGCTAGCCGCCCACTATCAGCGTCTGCTGAAAACCCGGACACCCTCACCATTCCCATCTTCTTCTCCACGCTCCCAACCAAGCTCGGGAACTGCCCCAATGACCTCGCACTTTGAACCCGCCCAGCCCGCAGATCGGAACAATGCGTCCGATTCTTTCTCCACCCGCGACATGAACGTTTCCTTGACCGCGAGTACCTCTTCCATGATGCAGATGGGTAACCCTCTCCATGCATTGGCAGCTGACGAACTTCAACAAAACCCGGACGATGAGTGGCTTGGTCAGCAGAATGCTCGCTCTAATGCCCACCAAAAGAGCCAGTCGCTCCAATACGGCCTCGGCCTTGGAACCCCCGTGTCTGGACATTCGTCCAGCTCCTCTCTTGCCTCTCCGTTTGCTGCCATTCCCCAGAAGCAGCACTACGATACACAAACCATCAGGCCCGTTTCTCAGCCTCAGCCAAGGCTTGACTCTCCTGTCGAACTACATGCTCCAATTCCTATTACCCGATCATTCAAACGCAGAGCCCAGCAGTACCTGGAAGACCTGCAAAACGCCGAGAACTCACACGTGGGACAGAACATCTTGCAAGAGCTGTTTGGTGCTCCAGCTGAAATAAGTAACCGCCGTGTGCGGGCCCGCGGCTTCAGCTTGGGCGATATGAACCGTGGTGCGAGGCACCTATCCGCACTGTTCACGCCTCCATCGTCGTTTGACCAATCAAGTGGATCGCCGATGGCGGTCGAACAGGAAGATCAGCCGGAACTGGCCCCACAGCCTTCGGCAGATCCGGCGAGACGCTTGGGATCTCCATTTTGTGGGCGGCCTTCCACCAGCAGCGTCAGCAACACATTCCCCCGGATGACGTCGCCGCGCCTATTTGAGGAATCTGCAAGTTTCGAGGAGCGTATTGGCGGCTTAGGCGGCTAGTTTGACTACTTTACATGACTGGCGTTGGACTGCATAAAGAGCGTTGACTTTGCATAGCGATTGCGGCACACGACTCCCGGCGTACGGCGATGGCTATCAGCTGCTACGAGCTGCATCATTTTCGTAGAGGTGTGACCTTGCGGATGTCCTTTGTATGCACAGTGAGGACGCTGTGGGCGCAAGGTGGCGATCCGAGTTTCCTTAGATCTTTGATGACGACGAAAGCGACAACGACCTTTCTCAAGATTCTTCATTTCTCTAATTCATTTTAGTCTATTTTCGATTCTTTCCTTTTTGCGTTCTTGGCGGAGCATTCTTGCGTTTCTGATAGCAGCAGCATAAGTTGTTCCGCGCATCACAGGAATTGCATATCCCCGGCGCACATCTCGGGCCACTCGTCTCCGCTGGATACGGCTCTCTCCATTCTCATCTCCCTGCTGGCTCGGTTTTCCCAAACGTTCTTTCATTTCCTTGTAGGTGATTGCTTTAACGATATATCATGTTCACGACAAACGAAGGCGGGCCATAAGGATGCGTCTGATGCGTTCCTAATCGTCCAAACGAACGCATGATGAGTTTTCTTGTAGTAAGATCTTACAAGGAGTCAAGCGTCTATCAATGAAAAAAAAATTTCACGGATTCAAAAGAAGCCGATTGATATTTTGTGAGTGGTGCGTGCGTGTAGAGGCAACGCGTGGAGGCCAAGTGGCGGCACGTGTTGCACCGCGACGGTTAGCGGCTTGGCGCTTGTTTACCAACAGTCGTCGCTTCCATCTCCAAACATTTCTACCCAACACCTACGACAAATCTCTACTAACCACCAGCTCGCCACCACCGAATAACTTGCCAAATCTCACTAAAGCCACCTGCAAATCTATCGCCTTCTTTCCACTTTCTTTTTCCTTTCACGAGATACCCCACCCTCCGTCACTATGGCGGCCGACGACCTCATCAACTTTGACGAGATAGAGCCACATAAAGAGAACATCCAGCGCGTGCAAGGCGGTCGGTCAGCAAGAGCACTAGCGGCTGTTCTATCGCCCAAGAATGCCGACAATGCATTGAAGCCTATTCCCTCCGACCAAGAGAAGATCAACAATGTCAAGCGACAAGAATTCGAAAGAGAGCTCGAGACCATCGACGAGTCCGACGACCCACTCGACGTCTACGACCGCTACGTGAAGTGGACTTTCGACACATACCCCAACCCTACTTCCCAGCAATCGCAGCTGCTGCCACTGCTTGAGAGAGCGACCAAAGCGTTCCTCAAATCACCGCACTACAGAAACGACCCGCGCTACCTCAAGCTCTGGCTCAATTACATCAAACTGTTTTCCGATGAGCCAAGGCAGACATTCGCTTTCTTGGCTCGCCACAACATCGGCGACGGTCTCGCGCTCTTCTACGAGGAATTCGCGGCATACTTGGAGACGCAGGGGCGTTGGAACCAGGCTGAGGAGGTGTTCGCCATGGGCGTCGACAAGGAAGCACACCCGAGCGCTCGTCTGCTGCGCAAGTACGGAGAGTTCCAGCAGCGCATGGAGGCTCGCGATCAGGACAGCAACGGCCCATCGAGCCCTGCACTTCCGGTCGTAAGGGCGGCGCTGGCAGACAAGGGTGATGCTTTCGGCTCGGCTACCGATTCACCCAACCCTCAGGGCGGCTCATCTGGAGTTGCACCCAAGAAGAAGGCCAAGATGGCCATTTTCGCCGACACGAATGAGCCCAAGCAGTCCGTTATGGGGGGCGCTGCCAGAAAAGGCGAGTCGATCCAGACGATGGCGGAGCGCAAGAAGGAGAACAAACAGGAAGCTCAGGCTTGGGCGGGACAGAAGTTGAATGGAGGCAAGAGGAACGTTGGCACGGAGAAGCTGATGATATTCAAGGATCAGGTAAGTTTCCGCATTGAGATGCCTCCTCCGCTTATTTCCCCATTTCTCTTCCGAAATATTTACGAAGACCAGGACTAATTTTGGACGGCGTGCTTTTACGCTATGTTATGTGTATGCAGTCCTTATCCGAATCTCTATCTGCGGAGAACAGCTCCATGCGTGAAGCTCAGCAGACCGTGAACCCGCGAACGGGAAAGATCGAACGTGTCTTCGTGAATCTAGAGGCTGTGTACCCGAATGCAGATGACCCGATGGCCGCGGAGTTCTGCTTCGAGGAGCTACGAGCGAAGCATAGGGGATGGATGCAGTACGACTGGAAAGCGATCAACCGCCAAGATGAGGAGAAGCGGAAGCAAGAACGGGCCAGAAAAGAGCAGAAGGAGAGGAACATACTGAAACCGAAAGATCCGCAGCAGTCACCGATGAAGGACCCTGTTGCCATGCTCGCTAAAGGTCTACAACAGAGCGTTGCGCTTAACGACGTTAACGATGAGAATGCACCGCCGTCGCAGGAGGAAATCCAAAGGGCCAAGATGTTGAAGAAGCAGCGCAAGGAGGAGCGGGCGAACAGGACGAGAAAAATAAAGGTGATGGAAGTTCAAAATGAGACGCAGACGAGTAAGTCATGACTATCCTCCAAACAGAATCATTCATGCTGATGTTTCCAGTCCGAGCAAACCTTGGATCCCCGACAGGTCATAAACCTGTCAGGAGGAAGAAGACCGCGGAACCGACAATGACTATCAACACCAAGGAAGCCATGGATGAGATCTATGGCATTTTCAATCAGCCTCTAAAGGAAACGAAGGAGGAGTCTGATGAGGATCAAAGTGAGGAAGAGAGCGATGACGATGACACCTACACCAGTGCGGGGGATAGCACCTGTACTGGTAGAATGTCCGGCACGGAGAGCGAATATGGAGACGAGACGACACAGGGCGACTTTACGATGAAGAGCGCGATGGCCGATGACGACGACACCAATGCCAGCCGCGCGAGTGCCTGGTCAGAGTTCACGGAAAGCAGGCATATTCCAAGAGACGACACGGAGTCGGAAGCAAGTGGATCAGAAGAAGGCGAGAGCGAGGACGAAACGACAAGAAGATCTACAACAGGAGTCCATGACGATGAAGGATACGGAGGCTCACAGGAACCTGAGGACCTCCACACGCCGACTTCACCAGATAACAAGCCCGCTGCTTTGCTCACCCGCTATGTCCCTGTCCCGCCAGAGGACGTTGAGGTTCCTAGATGGACATATCGAGACCAAGTGCAAATGGCAAACAACCGTCTACCATTCATGACACCAATTGCGGAAAATACCGAGTCGTCTCTTGGTGCCGCGACAGTGTTGGCAGAACAGAAGGACTTCTTCAACGCGAAGACGCCCAGCCGGCATTCGGGAGGCAAGACACCCACCATCTTGGAGGATCACACGGAAGACCTCAGCGGATCGTTCAACGAGATTCTGGAGGAAGCTATGAAAGAGAATGGCGGCAGGATGGTGCAGCCTGCTCTGCCGAAGTCTAAGCCCGCTCCTCTAGGAATTCCCAGACAAGCCTTCCCACAAGAAATCAAGGATGTCTTGCCCAAGGGACCCATCATCCAGGATAAGCAGTGCAATCCTGTAGATGAGCAGGTTCGCCAGACGATCTTAGAGAACGTTCACCCGCCAATTTCGAGCTACGACGGATACCATGCCGAACCTGACCGCACCTACGGTCGCCACGCGGAGATCAAAAAGTTCACCAAGGCCATTGCCAAAGCGAAGGGCGGTGGCGAGAAGAACGGAAGCACCTTCATCCCCCCGACCATCTACTTCGACGGCGGCGACCGAGAATACACAATCAAGCGTCAGCTCGGCGAAGGTGCGTTTGCTCCCGTGTACCTTGCCGAAAGCAAAACCATTGGAATGGACATCGACGAGGATGAGGGACCAGCACAGATGGGCAAGGGCGCATTCGGCTCTGTCACTCGCAAGCCGCTCGAAGCCATCAAGATGGAAGATCCGCCCTCGGCGTGGGAGTTCTACATAATCCGTCAGGCGCATCGCCGTCTGGGCGTGTCCCGCGCGGCCGAGTCCATCATTCATGCGTATGAGATGCGCATGTTCCGCGACGAGTGTTACCTGGTCCTCGAGTACCGCGACCAAGGCACTCTCTTGGATCTCGTCAACGTCGCCCGCGCCGAGGTCACCACGGGCGGCGCTGGCGTCATGGACGAGCAGCTCGCCATGTTCTTCTCCATCGAGCTGCTGCGCACGGTCGAGGCTCTGCACGCCAAGGGCATCATCCACGGCGACCTCAAGGCCGACAACGTCCTTGCCCGGCTGGACACATCGCTCCCGGACGGCCAGTGGTCGTCGCAGTACAGCGCAGACGGCTCGGGCGGATGGTCGCGCAAGGGCATCTCGCTCATCGACCTGGGGCGCGGCATCGACATGCGGGCGTTCAAGGCGGACGTGCAATTCGTCGCCGATTGGAAGACGACGGAGGCAGACTGCGCCGAGATGCGCGAGATGCGGCCGTGGACCTTTCAGGTTGACTACCACGGCCTCGCGGCCACGATCCACTCGCTGCTGTTTGGCAAATACATCGAGACGGTGGCCGAAAGAGGCGCGGTGCTGGGCGCGGGCGCGACCAAGACTTACAGGCTGAGGGAAAGCTTCAAGCGTTACTGGCAGACAGAGCTGTGGGGGGAGCTGTTCGACCTGCTGCTCAATCCGACGAAGTGGATGGAGCAGGAGGAGGGGCAGAAGTTGCCGGTGCTCAGGGGAATGAAGAGGTGTAGGGAAGGGATGGAGACGTGGCTGGAGGCAAACTGCGAGAGGGGAGTGGGCTTGAAGGGGCTGGTTAGGAGGATGGAGGAGAGAGTAGGTGGCAAGAAGGGAAGGAAGAGCTACTGAAGACGCACGTGTCGATAACGAGCAGATGGGAGGCGAGCGGTGAGAGGATGACTCGTGTGTTCATTTGGGCATGGCTTCGGTGTTTGAGGTTGGATGGCGGTATACCAATTGGTTTTGGAGGAGGAGTTTTGGCGTTTTCCCGATGGAAGCTCGAATGCAATTCTCGTTTTCTACTTCATCACCGTTCCGGAGGCGCGTGCTACAGGTGAGAAGGGCTGCTGCTGGGCACCCCCGACTTCATCCTCATGCAGCAGCGGGCCGGAGGCAGCCGAAGATGATCCGGCCGCAGCTCCCCGCCGCGGGGCAGCACCGCACGCACGGCCGCGGCGCCCTCCGCTGCGATACGACGACGACCTACATAAACCAATGCCGCTGCCCGTCACTCCAATGGCCAGTACAAGTCACTCGGAAACACGGGGTGCGGCTGCAGCTTCAGCAGCGTTTCCAATATCTGCGGTATGAGCTCCCCGCCGCCCCGTCGCCTCCGCTGTTTCGGCCATGCACATGCAAGCTGACCTGGGCGGTAAACAAACGCAGCTGTCTCAGGCCACCTTGTTGAACCTAGTTAGACGACCACCTCGTAACTCCATTATTATTACTAGAAAAGGAGCGCCCCACGCTCCACTGCTCCCGCTCGCCCGTCTCCTTTTCCTCCCCCGCTACTCCACACTACTCCTCTCTCCCATCGACATCTCCCGCCATCATCCACCCCGCCAGTCTCCAAACCCTCAGACTCGATATCGGACGACGATTTCGACCACCTCGACTATTCCACCTCACCACCCGACCCTTCCGCTCAAACCCCACCACAAACACACGCACACCACGCAACAACAACCATGGACGCCTGGCTCCCACAAGAAGTGATCCGCCGCAAGCGCGACGGCCTCACCCTCAGCACCTCGGACATCCAGCGCTTCGTCGCGGGCATCACCGCCAAGACGCTCTCGGAAGGCCAGATCGCGGCCTTCGCCATGGCCGTCTACATGAAGGGCATGACGCTGGACGAGCGCATCGCCTTCACGACGGCGGTGCGCGACTCGGGCCAGGTGCTCGCCTGGCCGCGCGACCTCGTGCCCGGCCCGGTCGTCGACAAGCACAGCACCGGCGGCGTGGGCGACTTCATCTCGCTGCCGCTGGCGCCGCTGCTCGCGGCCACGGGCTGCTTCGTGCCCATGATCAGCGGCCGCGGCCTCGGCCACACGGGCGGCACGCTCGACAAGCTCGAGAGCATCCCGGGCTACGTGGCGACGCCGGAGCCCGACACGTTCCGCCGCGTCACCGCCGACGTCGGGTGCTGCATCATCGGGCAGACGGCGGACCTCGCCCCCGCCGACAAGACGCTGTACGGCATCCGCGACGTCACCGCCACGGTCGAGAGCGTCGACCTCATCACCGCGAGCATCTTGGGGAAGAAGCTCGCGGCGGGGCTGGACGTGCTGGTCATGGACGTCAAGACGGGGAGCGGGGCGTTCATGGCGAAGGTGGAGCAGGCGGAGGAGCTGGCCGCGTCGATCGTCGCGGTGGCCAACGGCGCGGGGACGCGCACGCGCGCGCTGATCACCGACATGGAGGCGCCGCTGGCGCGGTCGGCGGGGAACGCGGTCGAGGTGGAGGAGGCGGTCGCGCTGCTGAAGGGCGAGGTGAGGAGCGAGCGGCTGTGGGAGATTACGCTCGCGCTGGCGGAGGAGACGCTGGTCGAGGCGCGGCTGGCGGAGACGAGGGCGCAGGCGCGCGAGAAGCTGCTGGCGGCGTGGGAGGGCGGGGAGGCGGCGAAGCGGTTCGGGAGGATGGTCGAGGCGTTGGGGGGCCCCGCGGACTTCATGGACGACCCGGCGAAGTATCTCCCCAAGGCGCCGGTTGTGGTGCAGGTGTTTGCTGATCAGGACGGCGTGGTGGAGGATGTGGACACGCGCTCTGTCGGCCTGGCGGTCGTCGCGCTCGGAGGCGGCAGGCGCAGGCCGCAGGACGATGTCGATCCTGCTGTGGGGTTCACGAAGCTGGCTTTCCCGGGTGAGCAGGTGGGCACGGAGAGCAAGCCGATTGGCGTTGTGCATGCGCAGAGCGAGCAGCAGGCGAAGGATGCGGCGACGGCGCTGAAGGCGGCGTATAGGATTGGGGCGAAGGCGAAGGCGGAGAGGGAGGTGGTGCTCATGAGGTTGTAGGTTCCATGGTGGGACTGGATCATGATGATGACGATGATGACGATGGTGGTGGGATAAAGGCGTAGCTCGGTTTGGATAAAAAGAAAGAAAAGAATTTGGGAGATGGCTCCTGCTTGGGTCAGAGCAGAGCAGAGCAGAGCAGGTCCCCTATATAGATGGATGGAAATAAATGGTATATCTTGCAGACCAACGGAAGTGGCTTTCAGGTTATTCCTTTCTGTTTCTTTTCCTCCAAAAGAGGTTTGACTACAGCACATGTGAAGCTGACTGCACATGCACATGCACATACACGTGGTAGATTACATGGGATTCGGTAATCTCACGCTCTTACGAAGGATGCGATAATCTATCTTCCTGAATGGAGAGCTAAAGTAGATAGCTGAATGTCGATACAAGTTCGTGGCGTCCGCAAATAGAATCAGAACCTAGGCAAGTTTGGGGCGATATCATTGGCAAGACATAATAGTCGGAGAGGCCCGCTTCTTTTGCAGCCGAGCTGCAGCCTACATACGAGCCATCGTCATCTCCATGCAAGTGCACCGCTCTCTAACTGCTGCTGCCTCGGATACGTCAAGGAAGGCCTAATGGGCTAGGCGCTGCAGGCGTGGTGGTGAGATCAAAACGCATGTGCGCTTGCTGGGCAGATGGGGCGCGTCCGGCTCCGTTGGTTGGGCAAAGATATGCGGCCGTGTAACCGGGAGGGAGGGAGACACAGGGCCAGCCACGGCCAGGCGTGCGCGCGTGCGTGCTACGAGCAAGAGCAAGGCGCCGTGTGGTCATCTGGCTCGTCGCCCTGCGCGGCCCGGCAGCGCCCATGTGCGTGGTCCCTTGCTCTGCTGGTCCCTGTCAGCCGCTGGCTTTATAGCGCCCGGCTGGCAGACGGCTGGCAGACTCGGAAAGCGTGTTTGACCTCGACACAGCCCTGCACACGCACAGCATGAACCGCGCCTTCTTCAGCTTCCCGCGCACGTTCGAGCAGCCCGTGTGCGCAGGCTGGGACCGGAGCTTTGCGGTGCCTGACGTATCCGCCCGGCTGAAGGCCGGCGCCAAATCGCCCCAAGCTCCGAGCGCAGCGCCAGCACCCGGAGCTCACCAGCACCATCACCGCCAACGCCGTCCTCAACTTCCACCCACCCATCACCCACTCCCCCCACCGCCAAACACCGCGACACCCGCTGCCCCATCTCCATCCCGCCCCGAGCCCCCCGCCGCCGTCTCCGCATCCGCCCAATCCCCGCCACCGCCCGAACCCTCGTCCTCAGCAGCACCGCCGCAACCGCCCTCCGCCTCTACCCACGCCATGGCAGACAAGGAGCTCCAGACCATAACGCAGCAGCTGCAGACGGCCCTGCGCAGCAACCCGTCGGCCGCGACGCCGCTCCTCTCGCGCGCCAAGGTGACGCTGCTCAAGCACAACGCGCTGCTGCCGACGGCGTCGTCGCCGCCGCAGCACCTGCTGGCCGCCCGCGAGATCCTCGAGCTGGGCGCCCTGCTCAGCATCAAGCAGCAGGACCCCGACGGCTTCACCCGCTACTTCCACTCGCTGCAGCCCTTCTACCAGCTGCCCGAGCGCGTGCTCCCCCGCCGCGGCAGCGGCGCCAGCAAGATCACCGGCCTCTACCTGCTGCTGCTGCTGAGCCAGGGCGACTACGCCGGCTTCCACACGCTGCTCGAGAGCCTCGAGGTCGTCGCCCAGAGCGGCGCCGCCACCGGCGCCTCGGCCTCGAGCCTCGAGGACGACCAGTTCATCCAGTACCCCGTCCGTCTGGAGCAGGCCTTGATGGAGGGCAGCTACGACCGCGTCTGGGGCGAGACCAAGGGCGAGCGGGTGCCCAGCGAAGAGTTTAGCGTCTTCTCGAATGTGAGCTGAGCCTCTCTCTCTCCCCCCCCTTTCGACGCCTTATCAGACAAAGGCGGAGACGATTCGTGATGTCGTACATGCTGACTTCTTGTAGGTCCTCGTCGCCACCATCCGCAACGAGATTGCCTCGTGCAGCGAAAAGGCCTACCCCTCCATCCCCATCACCGACGCCAAGTCGCTCCTCTTCCTCGACAGCGAGGGCGCCGTCATCGAGTTCGCCAAGAGCCGTGGCTGGTTCGGCAAGGACGGCCGCATCTACTTCCCCCAGCAGGAGCAGGAAACGCTGAGCCAGGAGAAGGACGTCATGCAGCTGAGCGGCCAGATCATCCAGAACACGCTGGGGTACGCGAGGGAGCTGGAGACGATTGTCTGAGTGCTTGGTTGTTTTTTTTCTCTCTCCCTCTCTCTTTTGGTGCTGTCCCGTCACAAGACAAGACAGATCCACCGTTGAGGAGTGGGGCGACAGGAAGAAGGAGGAGATCATTGTGGGGGATGGGAAGTAGAGCTCATTACATGGCTGGGAAAAGGGCAGAGTGCCATGGCTTCTAGCTATGTAGCATGAGCGAGAGACTACGAGATGAGGAAGCATTCCGGATACACTTTTTTTTTGTATGAAAAATCCGATTATGATGGATGGCGCCACGGGTGTTTTGTTTGGACCGGTATGACGCTTTTCCAACTCATATTTTTATCATAGGCCTGAGTGATGTTCTGTAATGTATCATCAGAGGTTAAAGGGAAAAAGATAGATGCATGCGTGCGTCCAGTGCGCGATAATCACGCCTGCCTTTTTCCATCGTCCCCATCAAGAGTGGAACTTTCCAATTGCATGCAATGTGAATGGATATACATGGTCAATTGGTATTCTTACAAATGCTTGCGACTTTTGTGTGCAGGGCTCCGCCGTTGTTTTTTGAGCAGGGGGATTTAAAACCGTTATGAAGACCTCGTCCAGGGCAATCTCTCTTCCCCTTCTCCCCCCTCCTCTCTCGAGTGTAGCAAAAGGTTTCAGAATGCCCCCCACCCCCCCTTCTCCAAGCCTGTTGTTTCCCCCGTAGACTCTTCTCTACCCGCATCACAATACTCCAGAGTCCCTTGAAATGGCTCTTTTCGTCATCTCACCCCAGTAAGTCCGAGCCGGCCGTAGCCAGACAGAGACAAAGCCACACTCTCCACCCTAGCCATCCTCAACCCAACCGGTGGCCGCCGGTGGGAGGGAGGGGGCAACAACCGTCTTCAGCTCCAACCGAACCCCCGATCCACCCATCCACCCATCCACCTCTCTCTCTCTCTCTCTCTCTCTCCCCGCCCCTCTCTCCGCCCCTCCGAAAAAAAAAAAGAAAAAGAAGCCGAAAAGAAGCCCCCCACCTACGGCACGACCACCACCCCCATACTCCCCGCCTGCGCCACCACGCTCTTCACCAACGCCCTCAGCTCCACGCCGCTCAACCGCACCTCCCCCTGCTTGATGCGCGCAATCTCATAAACGTGCTTGAGACTCACCGTCCCCACCGTGCCCGTCGCCGAGTTGCCCCTCACCTCGACGTTCTTGCCCGTGCCCGCCCGGCCGGCGGAGCCCTCGGCGTTGGATCTGGGGCCGGCGGTGTTGCCGGCGCCGCGCGGTTTGTTGTTCTTGCCCGGCTTGACGCCGGCGGCGGCGAGGAGGAGCGAGGCCGTGGGCGGGGTGCGCAGCTCGAAGTGGAAGGAGCGGTCGGGGCGGACGGTGATGCGGGCGGGGATGGGGGTGCCCGGGTTGTAGTGCGCGGTGCGGGCGTTGAATTCCTGGGGGTGAGGGGGGAGGGGGGGTTAGTTTTTTCTCTTTTTTTTTTCTTCTTGGTTTTCGTTTTGATGTTGGATGGAGTGCGGTATGGATGTGGTGGTTGGGGAGAAGCGGGGAGAGAGTGTGTGGAGCAAAGGGAATGAAGAGGTGTGTGTGTGTGTATGATTGATGGCCCTCCCCCGCCCGAGAGTGTGCCTCCGAACCAATTCACAATGCGGGAACAAGCCGAAGAAGCCCGGGGAGAACCCAGCCCTCACTTGCGGCGCAAAAAAAAAAAGAAAGAAACAGAGCAAGAAGGGCAAGAAAAAAAAAGACACGCCGCACGCTTCCGCCCAAACAAACAGCCAAACGACCACCCACCTCCCCCGCCGCCCAAAAAAAAAATCAAACTACACCCACACACACACAACCCGACAACACACATACCTTGCAAAAATCCATACTCTTCACACCCTTACTCCCCAGCGCCGGGCCCACCGGCGGCGACGGGCTGGCCTGGCCCGCCCCCACGATCAGCTTGACGATCTGGTCCTTCTGTATCGCCTTCTTCGCCATTGTGTCGCGACTCTTGCTCTTCTTTCACTATATTGTCTGATCGACGGAACGGACGGACGGACGGCCCTTGTGTGTATGTCTGTGTGTCGCGCAATCGCGGCTCGGGGGGTTTCGTTCGCTGTCGGGAAGGCTCGGAGTTCCGACGTTAGGTACTGCTGCTGCTGCTGCGTGCGTGTCTTTCTCGGGGCCCGCGGGGCCTGTTGTTGTTGAGTCTGGACGGCGGAGGTGATGGGGAGAGATCGACTCCGGGTGTGTGCGTGTGCGTGTGTATGTGCGTGGGGAGGGACGGAGTGAGTGGTGGTGGTTTCGCCCGGGAAAATGTTCGGGGAAGGTCGAGAAGCTTGCGGCGATCTTCCGCGCTGGTGCGCGCGCGGCGGTGGTGTGCGGTGCAAGGGCAAAGCTGCGCGGTTGGTCTGCGAGCGTTGCCGTATAAGATGTTGGCACGCGGCCATGATCACCGTCGTCACATTTCATTTTTGGTAATAATAGTGTCCAGTGACAGTAAGGATTGTATCAATACTAGAGGCAACGGATATGCCTTCCTCCCGTATAGCTAGAGACTTGAAAATTCCATATCTGCAACGAGCTCTGCGTAGCCAGCTGGCCAGCTTGACCCCCCAATGCATACATACAGCACAAGCGACGTCTCCGGTGAAAAACAGCCTTTGGAATCTTTCCACTTGACCGGGCCCCCTCCGCCAGAGCGACTGTACGAGCAATCTCTATCCTACACAGTAACAGTCCGTTGTCCTCATTCCCTGCTACCGTCCCGGTTTATCCCGACACGTCTTCTTCCCGCAATTCCTGGGCTGTCTCTGTCTCTGCTCATGCCTTCATCCTCCCGTTTCCCTCCCTTTCCGAGCACCCGTGATGGGCCGCGCGGCTGACATTGCAATCCGTGTCCGTGTCGTGCGCACAGTGTTGTAGCCTTTTGCTTTTTGAACACGCGAGGGGACAGAAATCTCGAGAAGATTTTGCTCCTTCCTCTCAGCCCAGCCCCGCCAAGAAAGATAACGATCCAGCAGCGAAACGACAACGCACCCCGTCGGCACCGGACTTCCAGTAGAGGTTTCTCCGAGGGTGCGTGAGAAGCGCAAGCGGCATCAAGTCCGTCAAACAAAGGAAAGGCCGAAGTTTTTGGAAAAGAAGGAAAGAAAACACCAGCGCCAAAACGAGGTCCGCAGAGAAAGTGTGCTCCCTTACTCCCCTCCCCCCCACTCTTCAAGGATTCCCCTGCAGAGATAACGCTCCACCCGCCTGTGCGATCTTGAGTTGATACTCTCTCAGATCCGCCCAGTTTTTCAGCTCCGCCTCCTCGTCCTCGGGAGCATCCTGGTTCCTTGGATCCGTGGGCCTCACGCGGTCGAGCCTCACCAGGATCTCGAGGAAGTGGTGCAGGTACTGCTCCGCCTGCAGCGCCACGCTGCTCTTGCGGTCTTGCGGCTCGTTGAGCAGCGTCGATACAATCTGCCGAACCTTGTGTGTCTGTAAAGAAAACAGAAACCAAGTCTCAGTGTCAATTGCCAAACGGAGGGGTGCAATCGCTCCGGGCTCATCTTGCACACTTACAAAACTGTCCGCATTCGGCTCCATGTGGATTTGGCTGATGCTCTGCAGCACCCGCAGCAGGTCCTTGACGATCCTGTCCTTCTCCGTCGTCATGTCGTGATCGAGCGTGTCGTAGTTTGGACTGGGCTCCTGCTGCAGCATCGAGTCAAGCCCGGCGGCCCCAACAGCAGGCGAGCTTTGCTCCTGGTTCTGCGCCTTCGTGTGGTTGTTCATATCGCGCATGTTGAAGTATCTCTCCGTGATGTACGACCGCGTAGCCAGTTGGCTGAGGTAGATGTTCGCCTTCTGGATCTCATATTGCGTCTTTCGCTTCTCCTCAGAGTTCTGCTCCGAGCCGTTCAACGCCAAAAGCATGAGTGGCTCCCTGCCCTGCATTTCTTGGCCTGGCGCAAACAGGTTTGGCACCTGGTTCTCGTGCGCTCCCTCCAGCCAGACTGACAGCTCCGGCGGCAGTTCGTCAAGGACACGCTTGGAACTCCGCAGACTTTGATCAAGAACCTTGCTTTGCCTCTCCCAGTCAAAGACCTCGTTGATGCCGTAGGTGAGCTCTGTTGTGGCGAGCGTGGTGTACGACTGGTACACCTTCACGTTGGCATTGAAGCCAACGAGCTCTGGCACGACGCCCGAGGGCTGAGCCTCGATGTGGTTGGGGTAGATGTAAAGGTCATCGACCTCCAAGGGCAGCGGTGGGTAGGGCTTCCCAGGAGTTTCCGGGAGAATCACAAGTTCGTCGTGGATGGAGCCGGATTGCGCCATCGAACTTGAACTGGGTCAATCAAAATATCTTCTTTGTACGCACATGGATCGACCACTTACCGCCAGCTTACGAATGTAGTCCAAAAGATCCTCCTTCCCATCTCGAGCGTGATATAGTCTGGCCCAAGCGGCGGCATGCCATCCCGGGATGCGTCACCGTTTGCACTATTTTGCGGCCTGTAGAACTCAGACTTCGCATCATGCAGGCCCAGTGCTCTTATGATAGACAGCGCCTCGGCAAAATAGAGGCGTGCCGGCCTCCAACGGAAGATGTAGGCGTGCGAAAGGCCGACAAGGTAGCTGGTTGCCGCATCATACACAGTCAGATCATCCCGCTCAAGCAGAGCAGGTCCTCTCGCCGCAGCACATACTTGCTGACACCGGTTAATGAGGCTCATGTGATTTGGGAAAAGACCCTGTCGGCCCTGCGCCTTCAGGACTAGGCGAGGTTTCCGGGGGAAAGACGAAACGAGCGCTGCTATCATCGATGCCAACAACGCCAGGAAGGGGCGGTTGTTGTAGTCTTCCCTTCTCCTGAAAGATTCGCGGAAGCTTGGTTCGTGAGGAAAGGGGCAAAGCGGATGGATGTAGGTGAAATAGTCATTGATGAAATGTTCAATGGTATCCAAAGGAGCAATAGACTCTGCAGATAGGGGCGGGTGAGTCGACAGGGCAGCCAGAGCATGCGCCGCATTGGTCGGGGACGACGGGGAGCCCGGAGACATGTTGTTCGGGGAGCCCTCAAGGCGGCGCTTCTTGATGGCCTCGGCATGGCGGTTCGGGGGACCTCGCCGGCGACTCGGACGGTCAAAGGTGCAGGGAATATCGAGCGCGGCGCAAGCGCGACACGGCGGACCAGACTCGTCACACTTGACCTTCCGTATGCTGCACGAGTCGCAGGCCTTCCGTAACCGATTCGCCTTTTGCGGCTGGCCATCCGGGCCAACGCTCGCTACGCCCTGGGGTGGGGGAGGCGGCGGCATGGACATGGGGTGATGCTGCTGGTCGACATGCACGCCGTTACCCGGGTACCCGCCATCGTGAGGAGGCCCCTGGTTTTGATTCGGGTCGGTGAAGCTCGGCTCGATCTTGGCGTACAGCGACTGACTTGTTGACGGGCTGAAGTTGAAGCCTTCGGTGGGCTGCGGCTGTCCTTGGGCGGCGGCCTCGATCAGCTGTGCGCTGGCGGCGGCGGGGTAGATGGGCGCATAATGCTGCTGATCGGCGGTGGGTGGCGGTGGATACTGCGACATGGCGACGGCGGGGCGGCAGGGCCAGGAGCGAAAGTTGGGGGGAGCGATCGAGGTAGAGCTGTGCTCTGCGGATGGATCGGGTGAGCTTGAGCGAGTCGCAGGCAGCACACGACGCTGCACGCGGGCGTCAATTGAGGCGACTGGGCCAGAGAAGAGACGGCCGGGAGCGTACCTTGTTGTACAATTGCTCGGACGCCTCGGCCGTGTGCTGTGGGGGCGCCGGTTCAGAAATTTAGCAGTCGAGCTGCGATGACCGAGCAGGTGGTGTTTTGCGGCGAAGGCGTCGGGGAGAGCGGCTGAGAAGGGGGGTCGAGCGCAAGGCGGGCGGGGGGCTACGGAAAGGACATGGCTAATTGCGCTCGCGACAGGTGATGTTGGTGGTGATCGGGGCAGAGCTATGCGGATGCGGATGGAGAGCGTCAGGTCTGCGTTGCTTAGGTAAGGCGCGGCTCGAGTCAGGCTGCGGTTTAGGCTCCTCACACTGCGTCACTGCCGCAGATCCTGGGCTCAGCGCGCCCACTCCACCATGGGCCGTGAAGCATCTCTAGCATTCCGTGTATCCTACGACTTCCATATCCGCCTTGCTCCAGAACTCCGGGTCCCGGTCCGCTTTCTGCCCGCCTCTCCGCCCGCGCTGCCCGCAGAACCCCCGCGCCTCGCCCAGCCGCACGCACAAGAGATAGCCGCCGTTTTCCCATCAGCCACATCCGCAAAGCCTCACAGGTACTTCTTCGGCGCACTGTCCCGCCGCCGCTTGTACACCAAATACCCGCCAAACATCAGCACTTGCGCGATGACAATCAAGAAAACAAATGTCCACATCTGGGGCGCGTGCCTCGTCACCACTGTGCCCAGAGTTAGCTGCCGTTTGATCGAGTCGCGCCGAATCCGGGAATGCTTACCATCAGAGAACGAGTCCTGCAATCCGGCGTGGGTGTCCCTCAACGTGCTCTGCAGCTTCGCGAGGTGGTCGCGGTAGTCCTTTCCTTCCAGATCCTTCTGCACGGCAATCAACATGCCCTCAATCTTGCCCACCTTGGACTCAACAGCCCCGACGTGGTCGTAGATAGGTCCACCCTTGTTGAACGCTAGCAGCTCGTTGTGAGTCTGCTCGTGCCTGGCCTTCAGTTCTTGGAGAAGGCTGTAAATTCCATCAACGCGCTTGTTGATCCCTTCTACACGGCTGTTGAGAGCATTAAACTGATCCTGTGAGATCGAGCCAGCAGCGGGCTGTTGCTGTTGTTGGATCGGCTGCTGCTGCTGTTGTTGTTGCTGTTGCTGTTGCTGTTGCTGCTGCTGCTGCTGTTGTTGTTGTTGCTGCTGCTGCTGTTCGGCCGGCGGCGGAGGCGGAGTAGCCCCATCCGCAGTGGAGACAGTGAACTTGAAGATCTCGAAGGAATCCGGGTTCTCCGCCGAAGCAGCGGAGATACCGAATTTGTAGCCTGCGGGGATGTTCACCTGCGGGATTGATTAGATATAACCACACTTCCTGGGTGGGCGTGACGTACCTTGTTGGTCGAGAAGCATGTTTTGTCATCCACCTCCACCGCAAAGTTGTTGGCGGTCTGAGTGATTCTCAGGTGGGACGGGATGCCACGGTTGCGGAAGGGATACGGGCAGTGGCCGAATGCCAAAGAATCCACGTTGTGGTGGTCCTTGAAGGATTTCGTGCCGTCGTTCAGGAACCCTCGAATCTCGCCGCCATGTCCGCCGTACTGGTCGATGCTCAGCACCAACCCGTCAAAGGGACTTGCTGTGTAGATGCTGCTGATGCCTCCCGCCGGTGTTCCGCCGTTGGTCAGCCAGATCTGTAGGTTTCCGTTGCCTCTGTCCTGGCCCGAGGCTCTGAACTCGACGTCCGCAACGAATTCGCTCTTGTCAACAGGGCTCTGAGCCCATATCTGACCGCGCTTGCTCCCTGGATATGGTGGCGTCAGGATGACACGGTCAGAGAGAATCTGCGGGTCATGGCCTTCGCCGGAAACGGTCCAGCCCGGGATGGAATTGCGGTCCTGCGAGATGACCTCTTTGTGGCCGAAACTGAGGTTGTCTATGATGGATATTGCCTGGGTGGAGGACACTGCCAGCGCGGCCCATGTCAGGGATTGGAATTGGCGTGAGATATGCATGGCGCAATGTATGTACAGAAGGCTGCGGCTGAGGTAGGTCGACTACCTGGCGAATGGGTCTGAGCGCAGAAGCTGGGTAGCGACTAGAATGACGTTAGCCGTGTCCTGGACATGCAGAGCTCGGATCGACGCACTGGGGTCTTAGGATGACGGGGAGCGACGCGCGGTGACGGACGAGACGATGCTGACGATGCTCCAGGCGACGACGGCTGAAATGACCACGTTGCGGAAGTCCTTAGCAATTGAGGCAACGGAAGGCGAAACGTCCAGGGTGTGTCGGATTACAAATTCGCCGGGGAAAGCATGCTTGACGGCGATGTCAGAGGTGAAGTCGCCCATTGGGATGGTGGTCTCCTGTGGCGCCAGCTGTCCTGGTCAGAAGGCTCGCTCCAGCGCGTATCGATAGCTCGCTCGCCCCGGGCCGTGCGCCGCTACCTACGCATGCGGGCAGCAATTGGAATCTCGCGGGTGACAACCTTCGGTCGTGCAAGAAGTCTCTCTGTGGGTCTCAATTGAGCGTCGCAGCCACCTAGGAAGGCACGACGACGCCTTTCGAACTCCTGTCGTCATGCATATTAGCCCCGAGCACGCTGCAATCCTTGCGTCCCGCCTCCACATCCATGGCTACGGGAGCCACCCCGGTGATCTGCCGTTGCATGTGCCTCTTAAAGCAACCAGCCTCGAAACGGAAACTTTGTTCAACGCCCAGCTTTCACGACCAGAGCCAGCTACATGCAGAGCCCCACCCTCAACTGCTTGCTTTCTACGGTGCCCAGCAACGTATTTTACACCCCGTCATTCCCTTTGACAGTGTTGATACAAAGAGGACAAGGAAATCAATCAAAGAAATCATTTTGAATTTGCAGTAATCTTGCGTGGGGTATTAGGAGTACCACTCAAACCTGCTCTACCACCACCAACCTGTTGTTGTCCGTCGAGCCTTTGTAAATAGAAGGGAATGACTCCTCAACAAACGGAGGAACAACGGCTCAGCTGGCCGAGTGCTTGTGACTCGTTCCGATATATGATGGCTCGGAAATAAACGAGGGGAAAAAATAAAGAAAGAGAGATAAAGAGCAAGAATAAACGTACGAGTTGCCGTCAGAACAGCACGCAAAGGTCGAGAAAATGCGCAGAAGACCCCCGAGCAAGACCGTAACTCCACCCCCAGTGACCTACAAAACGCCAGTGATTTCACCGATTTTCCATTTCGCCGCCGATTTTCTGCGCCAGCTGGCGAAGAATCATCTTGAATCGAAGAGGCAGGCAGCTTACCTCATTCTAATCCCCAAAACCCATGTTTTCCACCCCTTTCATACTCGGACTGTGGGGTTTCCGACTCTCCAGCTCATGTTGCCATGATCCCCTCACCTAAATTTTCACGCTCCTTCCTTCGACTTCCAGGTTACCTACTTCCCCTTCTCCTCAAGCCCCTCTCCTCGCCCATGATCTCTCGTATAAGCCGCATGCTGGCCTCATCCTCCCCTGGCAATACGCTCATCGCTCTTTGTTCAGGTGCATCCACGTCCTCGCTCTTGATACTCCTCTTCCCATTATTTGCCGCAGCACTCATATCGACGCTCGCGTTCGACGCTCGTCGCTGCTGGGTCGGTGTTGCTACCGAGTTCTGCTTGGCCCCTCTGGATGGATTCGGAGTGCGGCTCTTCGAGCGACCTTTGCTAGCTGAAGGCGGTTGTGACTGTCTGCCGCTGTTGCTGACCGTGGAATAGCGCTCGACTGGCCGGGAAGCGCGAGAAGAATGGCGACGCTCAGATGGTGATTCGGGGACAGGCTGGACTTCTTGATGTTGGCGAGTATGCTCCGGAGAAGTGGAATTGGCAAGGTCTGTGAGAGGAGATGAAGGTGCCACGCCATTTGCTTGCCCAGGACCAGGCGGAGGCGGTGATTGTTCGGCCACAGGGTGCTGACGATCCGTTGAGAGCACTTGTTCTGGAACGTTTTCCGTGCTAGGGAGGGCAATATCGCTCGTAAGCACGGGTTCAAGCGCGGCTTGTTGCGGTGAAGGCTCAACATGGTCGATGCCATTCGTCATAACTTCATCGACCACTTCCTCGGCCGTTGCAGAGTTTGTTGGATAGCTCTCGGGGACGATATCGATAGCATCGTTAACAGGTTGCACTGGGGGTGCGTCGGACATCTGAATATCGTCCGCGGCCTCCATCGATGCTTGCGCTTGCAGCTCTGTGTCCTGTTGATGTTGTCCATTCGGGATCATATCATGGTCGAACGGAGAAACGCCACTTGGCAAACTAAAGCTTGGTCGAGATTCTTTCTTAGGCTTCTTGATCGCGTCAGCCTCATCTCCGGCCCCGCTGACACGCCGCTTCTTGGCACTTTGAGTTCCTCGAGGGATGGGGGCTTCCTGTGCCTTTATCGGATCAATGTTTCCATGCTCATCATGGATGCAGCGACGCTGAATGCGAAGTTAGCTACAACATGCAAAGCGACGCTCAATGTCGGCTTACCTTGCTTTTACGACAGTCCAAGCAAGCCTTGCTCCGTCCACGTTTGCCGTCAGGAGTCTCTTGTTGATTTTGCCCATCGAAGGCGGTAGCAAGAACTGCCGTAAGCTGAGGGTCCACCCTCGGAGAGCCATTCAAAGGCATACCATTGGCGGAAGCGGGAATGACGACAGCGACCATCTGGGCACTCTGACGCCTCTCCCCAGGCTTGCTGGGAGTGTTGAGATTTGGAGCCGAGACCTCATCCTTGTGCTTACATCTGATCCTGCGCTTCCGGCACGCATCACAAGCTATACGCTTAGGCCCAAGAACAGAAGTCTTGGGGGTGCTCGTATGCTTGACAAGTTGACCGGAAGGACTCTCAGAAGTGCTCTCAGCTTCGGCATCCTGCGCTTTCTTTTGCTGTCTCGCAGAGACTCGTTCTGGAAGCCGGAAGGCATCGACAAAAGCCCTGCGCTCCAGCCTTTTCAATGCGGCTGCGCTCAGCTTCTTGTCACCGCCCGATTCCCCGACCTCCGGAAGTACTGCATCGGGATGGGCCCAATGAGGGATATCCTCGTTTCCACACTTCCAGGCCACCCACATAGCAAAAGTCTTGATGATTTCGAGTGGATCTCCGGCACCTTTGGGGATGGATTTGGTGACCGCATTCCGCACCTCAGCAGTAATGCCTTCCACGCGACCTTGAGAAATCATGACTGTTCGGAAGATGTAGCTTACAAGGTCAGGCAGACCTTCGAGTTCGCTGCGTGAGTAGTATCGAGCATTGTAGTTCTCCGGACCCAAGTCCGAGTTGTGTCCAAACTTATTGGGCTCCATCCAGATGGGAATTTCGCGAGAGAACTGTTTGCCCTCATAAAAGAGCTGCATGACGGATGGTGGCAGAGGGTCATGGTGAAGATACTGAAGGACTGTGTACCAGTGCACTTTCTGGAAATGCGGGTAACGGAACTTTCTGGCCACCTTGGTGTTCTTCTCGATCTCGGCGACACGAATTTGCATGCCATAGTTGAGCCGCGTAAGGAAGTTGCCGCCAATAACAAGGCTGTTCTCTGGAGTCCATACAGCGTGGATCCAGCCAGACGGGATGAGCATTGTGTCGCCCTCGGATAGATCCACTCGGTAGCACTCCTTTGTCTCGTCTGCAAGGAAAGTCCAATTCTGCGCCTGAGACAAACACCAGTCCTCGTACTTTTTCAGGTGTTGCTTCTTGGGCGGGATGAAGAAGAAAGTTTTCTTGCCTTTGATGATGTGATAGTACACCGAAGACCCTCCAAAGTCGATATGGAAGTCCGTGTAGCAATCAGCGACAGACATAAGGCAGTAGAACTGCACCTTCGGGAATATACCTCGAGCTGTTTCCTCCTCTGGCCATACCGCATCTTGGAGATCGAGTTCACGAACAATCTTCGGTCGCCGGATGAGGCGTCCCAGCTTGCTGTGTGATATTTCGAGGCTGATCACATTGCGGACAGGCTTGTCGCCTTCTTCCTCGTAATAGTCCGCCCACTTGTTCATGTTCCATCTCCTATCTTCGCCCTCTTGGGATTTGACGTCAATAACTTCGACTTTCTCCTCGGGACCGTAAAGCTCGGCAACTCTACGGACGGTCAACCCTTGAGGAATGACCATGTCAAGGGAGTCTTGGCCCTCGTCAGCGACAGTTTCATACTCAACATCCTCATGGAAGTTCTCAGAGGACTCTGTCTGTCCTTGGGGATCGGTCGAAGGGGTGGCCGTTGTTGTTGGAGCTCCAGGAAATGACGGGCGAGGGTTCCAACATGCGGGAATGACGATGGGCTCCTTGAAACCGCCACCTTTCTCGAAATTCTCGGCGGTAACAAGCTCCGGCCGCATCCGTGGGAAAGTCTCCGGCTGGAAATTGAATGCGCCATCCTTGATCAACTGGATGTAGTGATGTTCGTGTTCATCCTCGGACGTGCGGAAAACGCCTTCGTTGAGTCCAGCGTAGTCTACACGAACTCCACCTTGCGCGCGTTTCGACTTGCGAACAAATGTCGTCGGACCAAACTTTGGTCTACAAGTACGACAGAAATACTTGTCCACACTGCTCACCTCCTTAGCATTCTTGAACCCTGCACAAGCGAAATGATACCAGTTCTGGCATCCATTGCAACCAATCCACTGATCCTTCTGCCCGGTAGACGGTCCCCGAGAAAAGTTGCACCCAGCACATATCGTAGCTTCTTCCTCGCCAGGACCCGGCGGCAGTTGACTGGGATTCAATATCGGTCTGATTTCCATAGACGTCTCTGCTGGTACAGAAGATGCTCTTCCGGGGTCGGCTTTGTTCTCCTCCACGTTTGGCGGGTCATACATCCCAAATGAGCTGCGTCGCTTGGCCTGTTGGGCGTCTGACCGTGCCCGCGAGATATCATATGTAGCGTTGCGCGGAGGAGCAGCTATCGGGTGGTTTTCCGGGGCGGAAGGCTCTACAGGTTCACCGGCTAGGCTCTGGGGTGATTGCAGCTGATCTGGGCCACCCTCCCGGAGAGGGAGCAGCATGCCGTCATTGGCGCTGGCAGCGGCCTTGCCTTTCTTGCCATTCGTAGTTTTGCTTCGAGGGCCTCTTGGCTTTCCTTTCGGCCAACCTTGGTGCCCCTTCCCTTTCTTGTGTTCGACAGGGTCGGCGCGGATAGCGTGAGCGGTGGATTGGTCGTACGTTTCATCAGGCGGCGTATGCGTCTGCACTGCGGACGATCCAGACGGGCCAAATTTAGCCTCACTCACCTCTGATCCATTGAGCAGCGGTTCAGGTTTCGGCGCCGAAAACGAGTTTGCATAAGGGCGGGTCCGGTACTGGCTTTCGGCGAACCCATTGTATTGTGTCTCCCCCGGTCGATGGCCTTGTGTGGGCATCTCGTACCATGTGGACAAGCCGGTCTGGCTCAAATGAGCCTGTGGAGCCGCTATAGACCTTCGTGCGCCGCGGGAGCTGTCTACACTGCCATGTCTCAGATCCAAGAGGACTTGCGCGATGTCTATTTCATCGTTGTTCGTCGGGAACGAAGGATAAGAAACTCGGTCCGGGAATGCCGAATGCCCGTTTCTAGCAGGGTGGTCGATGTTTTGAGGCGGCTCAACGGCAGGAGCTTGAGTGTGACTCGTAACCGGCCTGGCTGTAGCTTGGTGGTACTGCTCAGAAGGCGCGACCTCTGAACGCGCGCGTTTAGAGGGGCGCTCATCGCATCCATAACCATTGTCATAACCATAGTTGTAACCTTGGCTGTAGCGGTAGCTGTGGCCATCTGAAGCAGCGTGCGAGTGCCGGGAACTCGAGCCGGTGGGGCGGGTAGACGTCCGTGGAGAGGGTTGGGAGTGAGGAAGGACGGCAGGAGAAGCAAAGAGCGGGCTCGGCGCCATAGACGAGGCAATGTCGGCCAGCGCATCTATGGGAGAGCCGTGTGAGGATGAGCGGCTGCCATGGCCGTTGGCCTGGCGCGACGACGGCGGCGCCCTTTCAGCTTTCACACTGACACTGGGCACTCGCTCGGTGCTTGCGCGCTTGCCAGCGTGGGAATTGCTGACCGACCAGCCATAGTTCTGGAGAGCCTCGACAAGGCCACCGGTACTGCTGTTCGGGAACAATGGGCCATCTTTGTATGCGGTGGGGCAGGTAGGCGTGAGAGGCTCGACGAAACGGATAATCGGAGAGGGTGTGCGCGGCGGTAGGGTGGCATCGGAGACAGGCTGCTTGAAGCTGGAGAGCTTCATTGTGGCGTGGAGAGCAGCGCGGAGGCGAGAGAGAGGGTGAGCGGGTGCGAAAGGACCTCGGAGGTCCGCAAAGAGAGAGACCGCCGGCTAGGGCGCGCCGAGGGCTGCAGTCGGTCGGTCGATGTGCTGGGAGGGCATTCCCGGAGTGCTGGGGGAAGCGGTGCGCCCGGCTTGCAGCGACGCGCGGGGGTCGGCGGTGGTGGAAAGTCGCTGGACGAGGGGAGGTCGGCGGAAGTGGTGGTGTAAGAGAGGCAGCGCGGCTTGCGGAGGATTGATGGCACCGCACCGCAGGACCAGCAGAGGCGCATCAACAAGCGCACCACCAACCCACGCTCTGCGCCCACCCGCGCCGCCTGATCGCAGCGCCGGCAGCGGTTCAAGACTTCTCGAGTCACGTCACACACGTACATCACGGGGGTCTGCAGGTCTATGTCCTGTCTCCTGCTCGCATCGTTGCTGGGGGCGCCGCGCAGCAGCACCGCCGCGGGCGCCGTCGCAGACGGCTGCGACATTACTTCTGCTGGCAGAACAGCTTCTATCTACACGCCAACGCTCCAAGCTCCAATTTGGCAGCGATGCTCAGCATCAGCACCCATTGTCCACTCGTTCCAGCCAGAACCGCCGCCGCCGTGCCTCCGTTGTTGCGCCTCCCGTTTCAAGCCGTGCCAACTGCGAGCGATGTCCTAAGAGCGCAGCGCGGGGCGCGGCTGGCGGGTGGCGGGGCTGCTGTCGTCCTGGAACTCCTGCGGTACTTGGAGACGAGTATGGGCGCGCACACAGTGTACCGATGGCGGAGCGACTTGAGTGATTGCAGCGCTCGCGCGAACCTCGAGAGTGAGGCGGCCAAGGGCGCGCGTGCCCTGCTCTATTCGTGAAGCTCTTAACACCCCCGGCGCGTATCGCGGGTTTAATTAATTGAATACGCCCCCTTATGCTCCCCGATCCGCACCGCGCTCAACAATCAAGATCCACAATCAAGTTTTGGCAGCGGTAGATGCACGCTTCTGTGAAACTTGGGGCTCATAGGTACCGTAAGTGCTGTCTTTTCGGGCAATTGCGAATATAGGATCGGTGAAGTCATCACCTATGTTGACCACATGCAAGGCCGCGCGGGGCGAGGGGTTGTTACTACCGCAACGGATGAAAATTAGGTAATCGCTTGGCTGCGCTTGGCGTTCGCCGGGCATCGACATGCGCCAACGCCTCCCCGCCAGAGCCTCCTCCATACACCACCTTACTCTTCGGAGTCCCACAATCTCCCGCCCATATCCCGGAACTTAATCGACACCTGCTAGCCAAGCTATGAGTCGGCCTGGAAAGCTTGCCCCAGAAGTCAACCGGTGAGCCACCTCACCGCTCGACGTGACGCATTTGGCGCGCCACGAAGCTGTACATGGCATGCATGCTGACGCGATATCTACCCAGAGCTCTCTTCGTAAAGAACCTGAGGTATGTCTGGCCTCGTCGCCATACCCGCCCGACCCCATCGCCGTGCTGATTGCCCTCCCAGCTACAACGTATCCCCGGAAGAGCTCTTCGACCTGTTCGGCAAGTTCGGTCCTGTTCGGTATGTCGCAGTCTCAATCCCGACCGACGTGACGAGTCGCACGCCCCAGCAACCCTCGCTCGCTGACATGTACATCATAGCCAAATCCGACAGGGCATTGCGAACAACACCAAGGGCACTGCATTCGTCGTCTATGAAGACGTGATGGACGCCAAGCAAGCCTGCGACAAGCTCAACGGCTTCAACTTCCAGAACCGCTACCTCGTCGGTATGTGCTCCACTATGTTTCGTCTATACCATCCCCTTGCAAGCGCCATCTGACCTCCCGTGCCAGTACTATACCACCAGCCCGAGAAGATGGCGAGGTCGAAAGATGACAGCAGCCGCCGCTCGTCCGACTTAGAAACCGGCAAGACCAGTAATGGCGTTGAATAGCATGAGGCGAGATCTGCGGGAGACAACTCCAGTGAAAGCCAGGCACCCCAGGCACTGGCTGTCCCGGAGCCCGTGGGTCTCAAGACGACAACGAGGAAATCCAGGACGACGACTGTACGTTTCAGCATGGATACCAAGCCGGCGGCGTCGACTGCCAGCAGCTTCAATTCTTCTTCATCTTCAACTTCTTCCGCTTCTACCAACAAGCGGGATTCTGGGGATTCAACTTCAGGCCGTAACATGCAGCAGCAGCGGCCGAAACTTTCTATGCGGGGTTCAGGTTGGGATTCTGCTCATAAGCTTATTACACGATTCACTTGGCCGGCGTTGAAGGGTTCTCAGGCTCAGGCGGTTCGCGGATGAACGAGCTCAGCCAGCAGCTTTGATCCGGGCATTTCCGAACTTGCTTAATTGGGTATTCCCCAATTCTTTGCAAATTAAGAGAGCTGCTTAATTTATGCAGCTCTTCGCAAGCAGATTGAGTAGGGCAGACAAATCAAGGCTCGCCCAATGGTGCCATTGCAAAGTTAAAAGATTCTTATACATCTCGTACACAAGTGAGCACATGCACGACCTAATATTTACAAGATGCAGCATCGCAGTTTCACGACAGTGCAGTACGAGGTCTGCGCATCTGGGGCGGGAATGTCTGTAAAGGTTGCTGTCCTATCACTTGAGACATGTTTACCCAAATAGGCATTTCGACTACACATCACCTGGCTCGCGTGAGAGCTTGCTTTGGGCGATCCTTTTCCGCAAGACTCATGCACATTCGATGTGCAACATTCAGTCAAACACAGCCATCAACATCTTATCAAATTTAAAACCAAAAGCGACATCTTGTAGGTACGCCAATTATCAACTGTCACCCGAGGATCATCCCGCAACCAACTACACGGATCAGCCAGCACAATACTCACATCTCTGGACGAGATCAACTCCCGTAGCCAACGTAGAAGCCTCATAAGAAACACGCCGCTGGCCTTCGATGATAGATGAAGGGTGGGGACGGAGGGTATACCGCCGTCGAAACACTAACGGGCACGTCGTGCGTCAATCTTCGAGCTAAAAGTAATAGGCCTAAATATCGGGCTCCGGTCGGAGCTTCAGAAGCTGTGGTAAGCGTAGTAGGTAATTATATAGATGGCGTACTGGCAGCAAGAAGTGATGATTTAGCGCGTAGTCATCAAAGATATTAATTTCGCCGGCACGTAGAACATAGTCAAGAGTATTTAATAGCACATTCCTTCTCGAAGCTACGTACTCTAGAGAAGTATCACTTTAGCTAACTAGATCGGAAGTTCCTAATAGTGTTTATATTAGGTGTTGTCAGGTATAAGGCTGGCTAAGGGTCTTATCTCTAATAGGTGTGAACTTGCTAAATACAGTTAGTTTCATATGTCACACCTTATTGATATATTTACCCCTAATCATGTTAAGTCAGCCTCGTCTAGCCTATAATAATATTCGTCGTTATTAGTTTGCCTTTTCCTTCCTATTTATCGAGGCGCCGGTGTATACTCTTCTGCTTGCTGAGACACGACTCGAAATAGTCCGGTAGATGTCGAGGTACTGCTTTAGCTAATAGCGCTACTGGACGATGTCCGTGAGGCAGGATTAAATTAAAATTCCTCGCGTTTACACCGTAAACTCGATATCTAGGTCTCTGTGGACGATCTTAGAGCTGACTCACTAATTGTGCTTCGCAATCCGTTTATGCTCGGTCATTGTTATCAACCGCCAAGCGCCTCTGGGTTAAGCCAACCGTTGAAAACAGGTCTGTTACATGGAGATGATAGAGCTGATACACGCGCATTAAAGGTCGGGGACTTCCACATAAAGCTCTTTGACATGCTTCTAGGCCGACACTAGATCGGAGAACGCAAGCATGAAGATATCGAGGTTGCGGGTCTCGGTAATAGCGGAGACCATACTAAGCATTCCACACTTGCCAATCTTACTCTACTGGACAGGCACTGTCTGGACGTCTCATGTCTACGACGGGATACTTAGTTGAACTACCCCCTCTGTCGGAGCTCGTACCGGTTTCGTACGGAAATAAGCAGCGCGACCATAAGCTGACCCTTTGCAACCCGTTCTGGAAAATATTTCTCATTCGACTTATACCCACTGTTGAAATGGGGACTGAATTTGCTCATTTCGATGACGCGGGCGAACTGTTTGGCAACCTGCGTGTACTTTGGAGCAAATGTATTTGACGAGAACCACGAACGAGAGTAGGTTGGAATATTCTAGTACTGATCGTCGGGGTCGCCAGTTGTGAAGAGCACTGAGCTCTTTGCCGCAGCTGAGTTATCATTACGGTATCCAGATGATCAACAGAGGGGCTCTTCAAAATCCACTCGGATGAATATATTCAACCTGTTTGAACAATGCCATGGCTCAGCTGCCCACCACCTTCCAAGAAAGCGTCACTACTCCAATGTGCTCCAACGCCATTTTCCACCACATGAATTTCCTAAGCTCGTTCAGGAACAACTCCTTTAGTAAGGGATATGAAATACGCCATGAATGAACAAATCTATCATCATCATCACCTTTACACCCATTCTCCATAAAACCAACTCGGACCAAGCACAATCCTTCCCATAACCACCACCATGTGTATCGCCAGCCCTCCGCCCAAAAATAAGGCCGTTGTGAAGGGCTCCCCGCCTAAAGACCAGGCCAGCATCAAGTGCTGCAACTGCGGTGCCGACAACTCCTCCGACACGTACTACAGCTGCAGAAACTGCAGCCACAGCAACAGCAGTTGCTGCACTTGGATCGGTTAATTGATTGACTGGCAAAGGGTGAAAAGCAAACTTCGAGTGAAAGTTCAAAAGTTCAAAACATCAACAGACAGACGTGTATGCTGGGGTATTGTGAGACCACACAGCAGAAAGTATTAGCGGAACCGGCCTCTGGTAGAGACTATAACTTAACATTTTTTTCTTCGCCTGCATGATGTATACATCCCGGCCCCTTCCCATCATCCCTTAAACAAAACCGAACATGTTCCTGAACTTAATAATATTTATACAATATATTCATGCGTGCAAAACAACCCCCAAACCCCACCCAACGCCTTCTTTCACAGCCGGATCTTCCCTCCCTGATCCCCTCCCTTCATCCTCCTCCTCCTCCCCCTCCTCCTCCCTTAATCCCTCACGGAACCCCAGCATGCCCACCCCTCCTCCACCTAAACGGATGCGCCTTCGTATTGAACACCCACTCATCCAAACTCAGCACCCCCGGCTCCTCAAACATCAGATAAAAATACTTCAGCGTCTCGGCCAACCAAAAACTCTCCATCCGATCCGCCTGCCTGGTGCGGCCCTCGACGACGCAGTCCTCCAACCCCGCATGGCCGTACCGCGTCTTCGTGTTGCGCACAATCTTCTCGAAGATGCGCCACGCGCGCTCGGGCAGGCGCGCGTCGCCCGTGACGCGATACAGCACGAAGACGCTCTCGACGGCCTCGGGCCGCAGCGCGTAGCGGGGGTCGGCGACGCGAGCGACGCCCTTGCGCAGGTGGTGGCGCTGGATGAGCTCCTCGGGCGGCTGCGCGACGACGACGCCGTCGTCGTCCGTGTTGGCGCCGTCCATCGAGTGCGCGGCCTCGACGGCGCCGAACCACGCGTCCTCCTGCCACTCGCAGCCGTCGCCGGAAAAGGGCCCGCTCAGCGGGCACGGCAGCGTGAACATGGTCTCGGGCATGATGCCGTGCGGGCCGCCCGCCTCGTAGCCCCACAGGCAGCCGTCGGCGAGGCGGCGGCCGACGTCGATGTCGTCGGGGACGCCGAAGACGCGGCCGGCGAGGGCGAAGGCGCCGCCGGCGAAGCAGGAGAGGTGCTGGTTCTTGGGCTCGAGGAGGAGGGATTTGGGGGCGAAGGCCGGGGGGTCGCCGCCCGAGACGTGGGCGTCGCCGACGAGGAGGACGTCCTTGTTGCCGGGCGTCATGGGGCGGTAGAGGAGGTGGTTCTTGATGGGGGCGGCGGCGCGCAGCCAGAGGCGGCGGTACTGGGTGCGGTCGGCGCCGTGGAGCAGCAGGTGCTGCTTGGGGAGGTACTCGTACAGCGAGTCGGCCATGCCGCCGATGGTGAAGGGCATGAGGCGGTCCGGGTCGGCGTCGCTCTCCCAGAAGTTCTGCACGCGCGCGTTGATGACGGTCGGGAACAGGCCCGGCAGCTTGGTGTACATCTGCTGGGCCTCGAAGACGGCCATGATGCGCTGCACCGCGTCGAACCAGCGCGGGTCGCCCGTGAGCTGCGAGAGGCGGGTGAACTCCATGGTCAGCGAGCCCAGCTCGACCACCAGCACGGCCATGTCGGCCTCCTGCGGGACGTCGTCCATGGCGGCGCGGAAGTTCCAGCGGGTGATGGGCATGTGGTTGGGCGTGTCGAACGCCTTGTACAGCATGTGGCCCAGCTCGGTGGCCTTGGTCAGCAGGGACGGATAGTCGCCGTCGGTCAGGTCGTAGGCCGAGAGCAGGCCGCCCAGGTAGCGGATGGTGGTTTCGAAGACGTTGATCTCGTCGAGAGAGCACGTGCTGAAGTCGATCCGGTTGACGGCGGCGACGGCCTCGTCGAACTCGGCCGTCAGGTTCATGATCCAGAGCGTGTCCAGCGAGTCTACAAGGGTGGCGGCCCAGCCGCCAAAGGGATCGCGTGCGCCGCCGGAGATGGGGAGAAGCTCGTCATGCAGCCAGGCATACTTCTTGTACCCGCGCCAGGCGTGGAGGAATTCCTGCTTGACCTTGGCCTGGCGTGTCAAACGCACTTTGCGGTCGTCGGGATCCTCGTCGCCAAACTGGTGCTGGATTGCGGGGAGGTGGGCTACCGAGGTCGGCAACGAGGCCATGTGCGGGACGGGGTAGCGATGAGAGACATTGGCCCAGTCAAAGACGGGGGCGGCTGGCCGTGAACCTTTTCCAGAAGATGCATAGGGCAGGCGGTAGGGCGAGGCGGAGCCGCGGAAGCAGTAGAACAGGAAAGCGAAGGCGGCGAAGACGAAGAGGGACTTGCGCCTAGTGATTAGTGACGGCATGGCGGCTCAGCGGCATAACGCTCCTCGAGCGCAACGGACACTTTGCTGGAATTTTGGCGACAGAGAAATCATGGCGCCGGCGGGTGGTGGTGGGCGAGCAGCAGCAGCGCCCCTGAGACGCGCAATGCTGAGGGTCTGGCGCGCAAAAAGCCACTGGGGGCCGGGCATGACGCGTATGCCTGGCAGCACCGCCGGCCCTCCCAGCACCAACCCCGCCGTGCAGCCCGCCGGCGGCTTCTACGTGAGACAGCAGAGCCGGGGCGAGGCGCATGGCTGCCGTTCAGCCACCGCAGCGCCCGCCGACAAGGGCTGGCGGCCGACAAGGGCTGCGGGCTTGCTGTCGAGACGGCGACGATCGGGCGGCTGGCTGCACGCCTTGCGCCTCTCCCGCCGCGCCCGCCATCCCTGTCCGCACCACGAATGCTCCGCATCACCATGGCCGAGTGCGTGTCTCGGGAGCACCGATGCCATCTGCGATCCGAGTCGGAAGCTTGATCAGTCTCCGGATCGGCCGGGCGGGAGCCCAGGCAATCCCGCCCCGCATTCCAGCCCGCCGGCAGCCAAGCTGAGACCCCCGCCTTTATTAGCCCACTCCGGCCTGACCTCAACCTCAAACACCGCAGCGTCACTTGGCCTTCACAGCCCTTGGCCTGTCCCCACATTGTCGCCATCTCGCGCCTCCCGGAGCCTGAGCAGCGTGCCATGGCGGCGGCGTCTGCCGTAGTGAGCCGTTGCTGACAAATGCACCGTGCAGAGCCTGATTGCTACTCCAGCAACCGAAGACAGTCGAATAGCAAAGCGCCTGAGGCGGACCAGCAGATTATCACGGTACGCCAAAAGCTTTCTGGGTCTGGTGGGGCCCGTCTGACGCTATGCCCCGCACAGGACTGCCGCTCCAAAAACCTTCCATGACACAGTAAATAGTAATACACGTTAAAGCAGCGAAAGTCTCAGTCTTGGCCTTAGAATATAAAGAGCCGGCGGCCCTTCAAAGCTAAAACTCCAACCACCATCACATCTCACATCCGCACTTCCTCCTCCAGTTAGCAGCCATGTCCTCCCTCAAGCCCATTGTCCTCTACAGCCACGCCACGGGCCCCAACCCGTGGAAGGTCGCCATCATCCTCGAGGAACTCCAGATTCCCTACGAGACCAAGTTCCTCGAGTTCCCAGAAATGAAGCAAGAACCCTACGAGTCCATCAACCCCAACGGCCGCGTGCCCGCCATCGAAGACCCCAACACCGGCATCAAGCTCTTCGAGGTTCGTCCATCTCCTTCCACAGTCCCACCCGTTGTGAAAAAGAAGAAAAAGAGGGGGGGAGAAAAAAAAAAGAGAGACACAGATAGAGAAAGAGCAACAAACAAACCCAACTAACTCCCCCTCCCCCCCACCACCCCCAGTCCGGCGCCATAATCCAATACCTCATCGACCAATACGACCCCACCAACCTCCTGCACTCCCCCACCGCCCCCGCCAAATACCTCGAACAATCCTGGCTGCACTTCCAAACCTCGGGCCAAGGCCCCTACTACGGCCAAAAAGCGTGGTTCACCTACTTCCACCCCGAACGCGACCTCGCCTCGGCCATCGACCGCTACGCCAACGAGATCCGCCGCGTCGTCGGCGTCATCGACCGGCACCTGCGCAAGCAAGGCACCGCCTACCTCGTCGGCGACGCCGCGCCGTCGTACGCCGACCTCGCGTTCGTGCCGTGGCACATGGCCCTCGGCTTCCTCGTGCCCGGGTGGGACTACGCCAAGGATTTTCCGGTCTTCGCGGCGTGGAATGCGCGGCTGATGGAGCGACCGGCGGTGAGGAAGGTGGCGGAGGATAAGGCGAGGGCGGCGGCGGCGGCGCAGGCGAAGCGTTGATTAAGTGGGTGGGAGGGGAAGATGAGAATGTGGTGGGTGGGGGGGAGGGGGAGTCTCATTTGAATGGCACTTTTGCGGAAGTGACGAGAGAGGCGAAGATTCATGTTAACCTCACCTTCACCAAAGGTTGATGATCAAGAGGGGGAAAGAACGGTGGCGTGGCAATTCATCGCACCGAGCTGAGACAGTCTGAAATGATCAACTGCTCAGGGATTCCAAGGCCAAGGGCAAGAGAAAGCACGGCATGGGACAGATGGGTTCAAAATCATTTCTCTTCAGTGAGCCTCCTCCATTAACAGTCTTGATATATACAAGAATTTATACGTCTCCTCCCCATGTCCTACATTCCTATCAACAGCAGTGATGATCCGTGGTATCAAACATCTCTAGGTAACAGTCGTGAAAACGAGCGTGACGAATGGCGTTAAGCGGTGTTGGCCCTCCAAACGGGACCAACGCAAAATATTAAACGGGCAAAAGAAAAAATTTCCTTTCCTCCCCACTTCCGAAGTGTCCGCCCCTCCCCTCCCATTTTCATGCAGACCAAACAAATAAAAAAAACAAAAGCGAGATAGCAACCAGCGGGGGTGTGCATAGGAAAAAAAAGGTAGGTATCGGTTCTTTTCTTTTTTGTTTCTTTCTTCTCTCCTCTTTCAGTGACCAAGTCCCAAGAAGAGAGCCTCGATGCACCGATCCCACACATCCATCCCGCTGCCTCCAGCTCCGCAGGCCGAAGTAGGTCCCTTTCCTCGTCCGGTTGGGGTAGGCGCAGGTGTTGACGCGGTGGTTGCGGCGACAGGCGGTGTCGGGATAGTCAGGAATGTTGAGTGAAGCTCATCACCTGTTCAAGAAAGACGCAGAGAAAAACGAATCAACAACCTGACCACCCCGTAGCAGCAGCGAAGAGTTGGACGAAGACAAGCAGAACGAACAAGCCAAAGAAGGAATCTGATCTCGTCCCGGCAGCGGCCGCGACTGCAGCGCTCTTTTTGCCACTGCTGCCGTCGCCACCGCCGCCGGGACCGTTGCGATCTAGTAGGCGTTGCGATGTTCGTCGTCCATGGATTTAGGCCTGGAAGGGCGTACCGGTGCCGAAAGACCGCTTGACGAAGCCGGTCGGGCTGGCCTCTCGCTTGATGATGCCAGTGGGAGCCGCGACGCCCTCGACGACGGGGAGCTCGCGCTTGTCGAAGATTCCCTCGGTGGTGTTCTTGTCGAGGGCCAGGCGGGGGAAGACGGTGCTGTTCCAGTTGCGAGGAAGGATGGGCTTGCCGGTGAAGTTGAGGCTGCGGGGGACAACGGCCTCGGTGATGTTGGTCAGGGAGCCGCGGGTCTCGAGGTGGGCGGCGGTGCTGTTGACGGCGGCGACGCCGACGTGGTGCGGGGGCAGGGCCGCGGCGCTGGAGGCCAGCAGGAGGGTGGTGATTGCCGAGGTGAAGAGCATTTTTTCGGTGTTTGTGGGTGCTGTCAGACGATAAAGACCGGTTTCTCTGTAAGTGACGACGGAAGCCTTGTCCAAGGAGTTTAGATCACGAGTTGGCAGGAAAGTAGTGAGTATATTCCAGTCCCCGGACACAGGCGAGAAAAAGATTGACGGTAACGGTAACACAAACCAAGCCAGGCACCGCAGGACGTCTCCTTTATAAGAGGTAGAGCAGCATCTGGCCCTCCGGGCGCGGAGGGCGGTCGCGGCAGGCTGGGGGGCGGGCTGGGGCTAGCCCACCACACCACTGACTGGCTATCTCTTCCCTGCACAGTACCTAGCGCGGCGCCATGGGTGACGGGGACATGGCATCCGCGCATGGGGCAGTGACACCAAGACGGCGCGCCCGGTAGTGCGGGTGCCAGGCCGATGACAGCATGCTGGCGCGATAGACACCCAAGCGGAGCCTCTTAGGATATGCGGTATGGGCCATGCAGGGTGGGCGAGCGGCCTGACAAAGAAAGATCGACAAGAAAGAATTCGCTCATAGGGTGGGTTCGGTGGGCTTGAGCGGGCGGAAGAGCCAAGAGAACGTGCGCTGAGATAGCGACTGGGGCTGTCCATGCCCGTTTGGGACGGGTGGTGAATGGTGTGCAGCTCTGTCGTGCTTGCCGCTCTGCACGCTCTCTATCTGCGTCGCCCAGAGCCAGATTCATGCGCGCCGCCGGGCCGCTGAGAGGAAGCCGCTGTATCTCTGGCTCCGGGCAGCCAGTGCTGGGATAGGCAGGCTGCCCTGCCGATCTCGCTTTCTGCCTGCCTTGTCGCGCCCGTGTTGTTTTAAGACTTAGCCACAGCCGGCAGTTGCAGTAGCAGGATCCCTGCAGGCCACGGATGAGGATGTTCAGTGGTCGAGGTCCCTGGGTGGGCGTGAGGCTGTTCGGATAAGCTTATTGGACTGTCTCGGGGACTGGGCTGCTTTCGGCGGCGGTCGCGCTGAGGTGCAAGAAAAAAGAGAACCCACTCCGAGCGCTGGCGTCAATGGGCAGGGGCCCAGGTGAGGCCTGGCGCTAGCAAGATTCCTGCGCTTGTTGGGGAAATACATGGCGGTGATCGTCCCAGGGTGGGTGCTGGAGGCTTGTTTAGAGTCGTTCTTCGGCTCCGGCGCCCCCTTCAGCTAGAGCCGCACCAACGGTGCCAACACTGCTCGTCGGTGAGCGATGCACGGTTCTTTGGACCACAACGCATCCTGCGTGGCTGCCGGGGCGATTCAGGCGCGGCGGCGCGGCGGGCGTGCGGCATGGCGGCCCTCTGCAGCGTGACGGGCGGTGCAGCGGTGCAGCGGATAATACGAAGCGCATCGCCTTCAGGCTCAGGCAGGCAGGCAGGCAGGTAGGCAGGCAGGAGCAGCCGCGGCGGCAATGCTGTCACTCTTGCCAAGGACAGCGTGTAAGCCCTGCCGGCGCCCCACCCGACGCAGGTACCAGCTGTGGCTCTTCCGTCCCAACGATGGCGGCCATGAGCGGCGCGTCGGCGGTTTGGCAGAAAATGAAAGAGTCGGTGATGGTCCTGAGTCAACAGGCCCATCGCCGATGTGCTCCGTGCCACTGCCGAGCCGCCCATGGATGTCTTCTGCGCCAGCCTTATCGCCGCCCTTTCCGTGCCTCCCTGCTGCAGGTGTGCGCTGCGTGTTGCGGCTGCCTCTTTGGCTCGGCCAACTGCCCTCGCGCCGGTTGCGGGGGCGCGGCTTCCCCAGGCCTTTCGTTCTTTTGCTCCGCCCGCGCCAAAAACAATCCACCACTGTCTTTTCATAACCTTAAATTGACCCTCCCGAACGTCGCGTGTCGGGCTGAGTGCTTCGGTCCGGATGGCTTCGCTAGCCCCTTGGTGTGCTTGGGGCAGATGAGATCGTCAACGCCTCACGGATGGCTGACGCCCGCTGGCAGGCCTTACCTGGCTCCCGCGCACCGTTTTGCCTCCTGAACCTCACTGACGCCTCCTTATTCTCCATGACACAAGCAACTCCCAAGGGCGCACCTTCTCAAATTTCAACACCCAAATTGCTCCGTCGTCTTCCTACAGGTTCGCACGCGACGATCGGCTCGCGAATGACGGGCTGTTACGAGGAATGATGGGCTGTTACGAGCCCGTCGCCAGTCGCCAGTCGCCAGCCGCGCGATCTGCGGTTCAGCACGCACAAACCGGCATGCTCGGATGGAGAGCGAGAGCGAAGCGGCCGATCTGGAAGCAGTTGTGCAAGAGTGGATGTGACTTGAGCAATCGCAGACCCGAATCATCCATGCGTCATGGCAGGTCCCCGGAACGAGAGTGGACACCCATCTACTCGTGCTTTTGCCATAATGGGCAGGCGGCGGCGATTCGAGAGGCGCAGCGCAAGGCTGGAAGATCGACGAGACTCCAGAACCGCGAGGCACACCATCGCGGCAAGGCGCCTGCATAGTCTGAGACGAATGTCGCACCAGCGACGGCATATCGCCATGTTGCCGCCCATCTGCCCTCCACCATGGCGAATCACGTCGATGCCGTGCCTGCTGGTGTTTACACATCCTGGACGAACACGGGAACAATTGATAGCCTTCCTTGTCGTCGCGTTCAGGACAAAGGCTGATTGGTGAGGACCCGAGCTTCCGTTGTAGGAAATGATTGCTGGTTGAGCTTTTGATAAGTTCAAGCCCGCCGGGTTATCTGTTCCGCGACGGAAGTGGAACCACACCATTGGCCTTGGGTGTTTGAAATAACGACACCGTGGAGTTTTGCGGACCGCGGCCCCGGGCGCGGCGAAGCGCCCGCGGAGGTGTGCGGCGTCCTACTCGGTCATGCCCGTCGACCAGAGGGAACAAAGGTAGTAGACGCTCGGCAATAGCCGCGGACACGATGTGATGAATCTCACAACGACAGCTTGCCTGAAGGCGCCGGATGGAGACAGTCCGAAACAACTTGTTTGATGAGTGAGTGGTACAATGATAGGTCAGGCCTGCTGCACGTGTCTCATGTCCACTGCTCTTTCGAAGATCAGATTTTTCGCGGATTGCCGTCCAAGACACTAAGAGGCGTTGAGACGAGCCAAGAAACAACAAGTCAGTCAAGTATTTGGACGCCTTTATTCTGTCATTGACTGAGTCGTGCGGATGTTTCGATGTCATTGAAACGGAGAGATCCATGAGATACTGGCATCTCTATCAATAGGTATGAGATGCGGAGAACTCCCTGGGGCTGACGGCGATGTGGCAGACTGGCTTAATTCAGAAGGGCTGAATCGTGTCTCGAAAGCGGTCGAGTAATGATGGGGCGGCCTCAATACCTAATCCCGAGAAGTCGATTTTTAATGTGGTCGTAGCGAAACGAGGGCTCGCATCGAGCGAATACAGTTCGGTCCGAGCGCGTTGCGTCTGAGGGCGAGTGGGTGCGCGCGGGGAGGATGGTGGAGGCGGGGATGAGGAAAACACGGGGCAGGGGCGTTCGTGCCTCGACGCGTCCGCGTCGCGTAGGTCACGGGATCAGGTCTGGAAAGGGGATGAAACGGATCGGACGGAGCATCACCAGCTTCCGACGCGCTCGTGCGGAGCTTCCGTTCGTGCCACCCGTCAACTTTCCTCCACTTTGTCGACGCCAACGTCCAATCGCCTCCTTTACCACCTATCCCCGCTCATCCTTCGGCCATAGTAACATGTGAGCCATCGTCTGTGGGATTGCGCGTCTGCGCCACATTCATCTCAACACCAACATTGCTAGCGCATGTGATTCGTCGGAGAGCACCATGTTTCTGCAGCTGGTCGTTCGATGACAACGGCTTGGGCGTCTGGACCCGAATCTCCTCCTGGATCTAGCAGGCCACAGGAAGGATGCATGCACTCTCAGGCAGGAGCGTGCATGCCGCCTGTGCAGCTTCTCTTTTAAAACTGGACATACAACTGTGATCCCCTTGAGTTTTGTGCCTCGTACCTACAAACCACGGTCTTTGGTGGCTCGCGTTTGGAGCTAGCGAGATTGCCGAAAGGATTCAGACCTTGATTACCTCCATCCCACATCCATCTTACAGCTTACTCCATCCCACGCCCATCTTACATCCTGCTCCATCCCAAACCCATTCTCGACTCACTCCAAAATGGCCGATAACAACGAACAACAGCCGCAAGTGGCCGCCAACATCGCCTCCAGCAAAGCCTCTCCGTGGTATTTCAATGATATTGACACCCTGACCCCGCAGTCAAGGGACCTCTTGGAGACGTACAGCGGCATTCCACCGGAGGAGGTTGAGGCTCATGTGAAGGAAGTGGTCAGTCCAAGAACTCGACAGCCATTCTCACCACATTCTGGCTGACTTCATCATAGAGAGACAAAGCCTGGGAGATCGTATGACAGCCTCAATCCTACTATTCGAGAAACAGCTCAGTAACCTCAGCCTTGGCAGTTTCCTTACCCATGCATTGGAACGTTCCGCTTCCTCGATCTCGCCATGTACAAAGAGCCCTACTACCCGGAGGTCCTCTCGCGCGTCAAGAACGGCGAAAAGTTGCTCGACCTAGGTTGCTGCTTCGGGCAAGAACTCCGCAAACTCGTAAGCCCGCCCCTTCCCATCCTCAGCCTCATCATAATCATCATCATCTCACGCCTCCCCACCCACAGATCCACGACGGCGCCCCGCCCACCTCCCTCTACGGCAGCGACCTCCGCCCGGAATTCCTCTCCCTCGGCCACGCCCTCTTCCTCGACTCCTCCTCGCTCCCCACCTCCCCGCACTTCATCGCCGCCGACATCTTCGCCGACCCCGACCCTTCCACCTCGCCGCTCCACCAGCAGCTCGCGGGGACCCTCTCCATCATCCACGCCTCGGCCTTCTTCCACCTCTTCTCGCGCGCCGACCAGCTGCGCGCCGCCGAACGCGCCGTCGCGCTCCTCAAGCCCGAGCCCGGCGTCGTCGTCGTCGGCGCGCAGATCGGCTCGCCGACGCCGGGCGTGGCGAGGAGCTGGGTGAGGAGAGGGGGGGATGAAGGGAAGCGGACGGAGAGGTTCGAGCACGATGCGAGGAGTTGGGGGGAGTTGTGGGAGGAGGTGGGGGCGAGGACGGGGACGAGGTGGGAGGTGGTGGAGGCGAGGCTGACGAAGGTGGAGGAGAGGAATGTTAGTCCGGAGCTGTTGAAGATGGTGGGGGAGAAGGGCCTGCATTGGCTTAGCTTCTGGGTTAAGAGGGTTGAGTGAGTGGGAGGGTGGGAGGGGGGTTTGGTTTGGTTTGGCTGATGGAGAACTTGTGTCGGTGGTGTTGATTGGGGGACTGGCTTGGGGTTGTTGGCCCGTGTTCCTAGTGGTAGTTTGTGGGGTTACTTCGATGTGTGGTTTCGGTTTCGTTTTATCATAGTGGTACCGGTATTATGATTCTCCTGGCCTTTTCATGAATAGAACGCTGATTTACCAGAACATGGAGTAAGCTTGTCTATTAGTTGCCGATGCTCTATATACCATCAGGCATTCATGTTCAGGTGCACTCAATACAGCGAGGTGAGAAATTCAGGTAAATGGGATACAACGGCTACTTCCCATAGAAGGGAAATCCCACTATTGTTTCGAACTTCCCTACTCAACTTCGACCGATTCTCCTGCTTTATAGTCATCAGTTTAAGTCCTATCGGAAATAATTCTCAGTTCGACCATAAGAAGAGGTGTTGCTGGCATTATTACATGAATCGATTCTGTTTGGGGTGTGGCTTGGGGTAATGGCTACACCACCACAGTAACGTTATTTTTAACGGATGATAATACATTCTTTTAGACTCTACTCGAGAAACTTATAGAACCACTACCAGTCTTCGTTTGCAGTTCCCAACCCGCGTTCTACACTAAAAAAAAAAAATCCCACTTTTCGGCATTCCATGCCACTTTTAAACTAAGAGCCGATAAATGTTGAACCAGTACTGTTTGATTCAAGCACCTTGTAGCGACCAAGAGGAGACGATAGATCACGAGGTAGCTGTTGTCCAAGAGAAGTAGATAGTATGTATGTATGGTCTACTCGGAGTTCACGACGTTGTCGCAAATCCGCGCATTGTGGCTCACTTAAGACCGGGGAAATGCCTGGTTTGGACACCATCCAAGTCCATTTCTTGTGCATACAAACGCGGTATTTAATCACTATTCCCCGCCAAATACCCGTGAGATAGTCATCTAGCGTGACGTGCTGTTTTTGCTGTGCCATGTTAGAGAAATTTTGAAGCTTGCCGCTCTCGAAGGTGAGATCACAGGTAGTGTCCCAATGAACAGCATCTTCTTACATCTTGCCTGTGTCATGATTCTCTTTGCAGCTACAGGGACGACTCCGATGCATTTGGTTGCCTTCTTGTAATACTTCGCCTCTTTCGGTTTCCCAAACATTCCGGGTAGCCTTCATGCTTGCAAAACATTTGGAATCAGGCGCGAAAGGATTATCTCTTGAACACCCAGCAGGCTTGGTCGGGTAACCTGGCTTCGTGTGTTTCTTTCAGGGTCACCGAGGTTTCCTGTTGCATGCAGAACTGCTTCTGCCGATAAGGGGGTCAGGAGGCAAAGCGCTACGGCTGAGTGACCAAAGCATTTCATTCCATGAAGTAGCCGCTGTGTTCATTCGGTAGATGCTGGCCGAAGTCTCTTGTTACACTTGAATGTCTCGCCCTTTTGCATGAGTGTCTTGTCGCGACGACCACAATGTGAGCTCAACAGAAGATATTCAGTGTCCTCGCGAAATCTTGTCGTCTGACTGAATCTTTCTTCCGGATAATTTTGACGGCAGTCAGCCGCGTTGGAAGCTCGTAGGAGGCGTCGTGCTGCTCTCAGTACAATTCATGTTGCTGAGCTCACTCTCGAACCCACAACGCGACTTTCGAGAACATTTCCGCAGGCGCAGTGGAAACGCGAGGCTTTGGAAGAATGTAAGTGCTGCTACAGGGTACCGTTAGCAAAGAATGTAACCATCGTCAGCCTTTTGGGATGCTCGGCCCTATACGGAAACAAACATGACCGGCTTCCAGGCTCGGCTCTCTTTTGAGCGAACGATCGGACTACATGTGGGAAATCGAGCTTTGACATCATCTCAAAGAAACCTCCAACATGTCCTTGACCGGTTGGACTCTAAATTCAATTTGATCTCGCCAATATTTGCCGGCAATATCTTTAACGCGATACCAAAAGAGTCGACACAAACGACATCCTCCCGCCGACATGCTATAGCAATCCACGAGCTTAGCTGGAGCAACGAAGGTCAAACGAATCTTAACAGGGAAACCGGTCATGCCAGATCATAATATTATCATCCTCGACAAGGCATTCGCGCGGCTGTCAACGCTTGTCTATACTATGATACACCATCATATCCGACGTAGAAGCCCGAGCGCCTTCTTGAACCCCCTCCCCAATGATATCAACCATCTTCCATCTTTTTGTCTTCCTTTATTCCAGCAGCGAAGCCTGATTGGTGTAGAGGACGTCGACGACGTTGTGCAACTTCTCGATAGTTCCAAGGGCGGCGTCGTAGGCCTGGTCGCGCTCCGTCTCCTCGAAGACGATGAGGCAGCCGGCACCCTGGTCAAGCACGCCAATGATGACCTTGTCGAGGATCATTTGGCTGAGCTTGCGCTCGACTTGAGGAGTGTCGAGACCGACGAGCTTGGCGATGTGCGAGATCTCGACGCGGCTGTACGGCTCGATGACCTTGATGAGGTTCTGCTCAAGCATGGCATCGTAGAGGCGGCGGAGGTGAGAGGCGATGAAGCGGTCCGAGCCAAGCTCGAAACGGTAGTCAGACAGAGAGCGCTCGTACTCCTCCAGACTGCGGTTGGCATGCGCGCGTGCCACGGCCTTCATTGCGTCCAGGTTCTTGCCCGCGTACTTCAGAGCGTGCTTCGAAGCCATGATGTTGTTGACGTCGTCGGTCTGGTTCAGCATGACCTTGCAGAGCAGCATGTATTGTAATGCCGAGGTGGACTTCTGCTCGTCATCCTGCGAATGGTAGCCCTCCATGGCCTCGATGAAGTAGGAGAATGCTGTGGTGAAGTCCTTGTCCTCGGCATGCAGCATGCCACTCTGCATGTCCAGGCCAGCTTGTAGCAAAGGAGGAGTGTAGACAGAGGCGGCGGAAGTACGAGCGGACGTAAGGGCGGCGCGGCCCTTGGGAACGTTGCCCAAGGCATGGTAGACACGCGACTCCAGAAGCTGGACTTCAACCAGCACCAATTTGTCATCCAAGCGCTTCAGCTCCTTGAGCAGGCTGTTGATGAGGGTAAGAGCGTCGTAGTAGGATTGTTTCTGCATGTACAGCGAGACGAGACGCGTCTCGAGGTTCTGGCGGAGGAAGCCTCGCCTCTCCGAAACGGCCCATTCTATGCACGACTTGGTGACGGTGATCTGAGTCTCGAGGGTGTTGGGGATAGCGGCGAACATGTCAAGAAGCTGCCTCACTGCACGATGAGAGGATTAGCCCATTACGCAAACAAGGTGTAGCATTATCAAAGCTCATACCGAGCTTCGCAGTCTTGGCCCTCGCAAAGGATGACAGCACTGATCTTGTCTGGCGGATAAGCTCTCCGAGCTCGTTCGTCTTCCGGTGGTCGCGGTACAGCTCGCCCAGAGACACCAACGCGTTCTCGAAGTTCTTGATGGCGGCATCGTTGGAGCCAGGGTCCTGGGACAGCACGTCGCGCAATGTCTGCTCTGCCTTTGCCGGGTCCGTCTTAGCCACCTTCTGAGCCTCCTCTATCCGCTTCGCATCTTCCGGAGCGGAGGCAGCCATGGTCAACGAGGGCAACAGCGGATCGGGGGGTAGAGATGGAGTAGGCGAGGAGTGGGCGGGTCGGGGGCGGGTTGCGGATGGGCGATGTGGTGTTGAGAGCAGCGCGGCGGGCTGGAGCTGTGATGTCGGAGCTCCACAGAGCGCCTCGCCGCGCGCTACGACGGATGCGGCTAGCCCGACATCATCCTCTCCAAAAGTTCTCGACACTGCGGCGAACGCTTGCTCCTCCGCCCAGAAGCCAAAATGGTATGTTGACTACCCCACCCGCCGACTGCTGGCTCTCGCCGCTGACACGGTGCGCAGAAAATCAAAGCCCTCTCCCGCTCTGCGAGCGACTACCAGGCTGCGGGCACGAACGTGTCCCGCACGCCGAGGAATCTTGACCCGGCCCTGCACCCGTTCGAACGTGCCCGCGAATACACGCGCGCCCTCAATGCCACCAAGATGGAGCGCATGTTCGCTCAGCCGTTCCTTGCGCAGCTCGGGAAAGGTCATGTCGATGGAGTCTACTCCATTGCGAAGGATCCCGAATCTCTCCAGCACTTTGCCAGCGGTAGTGGTGATGGTGTCGTGAAGGTCTGGGACTTGACAAGCCAGGAGGAGATATGGCAGGGCTCCGCGCATCAGAACATGGTCCGCGGGCTTACCTGGTCGCGCGACAAGAAGGTCTTGTCCTGTGGCGCGGACAAGACAGTCAAGATGTTCGATCCGTACAAGACTACCAGCGGCAGCCCTCCAGTAGCAACCTGGCTCGGACAAGGCGCCTTCACGAGCATCACCCACCACCGCTCCGATCCTGCTGTCGCCGTATCTTCGTCCAGCCAGATATCCATCTACGATACCACGCGTCCTGCCTCGAACCCTTCGCAAACACTCGCCTGGCCCACCGCAATCGACACCATCAACGCCGTCTCCTTCAACCAGACAGAGACCTCAATCCTTGCGTCTGCAGCCTCGGACCGCAGCATCGTCATGTACGACCTCCGAACCTCGTCGCCGCTGCACAAGACGGTGCTCACGCTCGCGGGCAACTGCATTTCCTGGAATCCCATGGAAGCCTTCAACTTCGCGTGCGGCAGCGAAGACCACAACGTCTACATCTTCGACATGCGCAACATGAAGCGCGCCCTCAACGTCCTCAAAGACCACGTCGCCGCCGTCATGGACGTCGACTGGTCGCCGACGGGCGAGGAGCTCGTCTCGGCGTCGTACGACCGCAGCATCCGCCTCTGGACCCGCGGCCAGGGCCACTCGCGCGACATCTACCACACCAAGCGCATGCAGCGCGTCTTCTCGTGCGCCTGGTCCCCCGACAACAACTACGTCCTCTCCGGCTCCGACGACGGCAACGTCCGCCTCTGGCGCGCCAAGGCGTCGGCCCGCCAGGGCGTCAAGTCCGCCGCCGAGCGCCAGAAGCTCGAGTACGACCAGGCGCTCAAGGATCGCTACAAGCACATGCCCGAGATCAGGCGCATCGCCCGCCACCGCCACGTGCCCAAGGTGGTCAGGAAGGCGGGCCAGATCAAGGCGGAGGAGATCAAGTCGATCAAGAGGAAGGAGGAGAACGAGAGGAGGCACTCGAGGAAGGGCGAGGTGCGCCGGAGGAGCGAGAGGGAGAAGATGGTCATGGCTACGGAGCAGTGAAGAAATCATTTTTGTCCGTCCCAATGGCTACCAAGGGAGCTTCTGGGCTCGTTTGAGGAGGAGGGGGGGTTTGGCTTGGTTGCAGTCTCGTCGCTGCTTTCTTTTGCTTGTGTAGCACAGCGCCGGCGTTTTGAGGGCACGGTGGTTTACGATTCGTACCTAGGGTCAGCGGCGTTTTCGGAGGAAAGATTGCCCATGAAGCATCTTCAAAAGTACACCTAGTATGAAAAGGGATATGGAGGGATTTGGTGGTAGTTTATCAAATGAAATAGCATAGAAATCAGAATACCCGACCTTTGCGCATCAGCTTTTCAAGCTTTCAGATGGTGGGCTTCCCGCGCTGTACGTCGGAGTGACTATATGGATGGGCGAACAACTAACAAGCAGTTGTAGAAACGCCCAGCTTGTAGAGCGAAAAGCCGTATAGCGGCTGCCTAGTTCGTAGATATCGAAAGTGCACAGGGAGTTGTGGCTTGTAGAGCTACAACGTACTTACATCGGACTGACCGATGACCTACCACACCTCGTTACGAAGGGCCACGCCTAACGTGAACGGGACCGTATAATCTGGTCCAGCACCATGACGATTGACGACACGTTCTTTTGCTATAGCACAGCGCAACGTCAATTTACCCTGTGCTCACATCCGACAGGGAACCGGCCCGATCACCGCGGAACGACGGCTAACGCGGAGCCACCCCGTCCGCAAGGCGTTGATGAACTGCCGTACCGGGAAGGTATAAGATAGTCGCTCTTCAGCCTCAACTTCGGCGCCGTCGGATAGTCGCTCCGCAACACCCAGGCTGTTCCAGTGGAGAAGTGGGAAAAAAAACAGAAACGGAAGACATACGGCGCTTCCGGCGGGCGGCAACGAAAGCGCTGATCAAAAAGGAACATCAAGCAAGAGAGAAAGGCGCAGCAGCATGAAAGATCATCGCCCCTTCTCGTGTGGTAAAGGAAGACGGAGCACTTTCATCTCGTGATGGACGAAATGGAGGGGCGAACGGGGTGGGCGAGTGGGGAGCGCCGGGCACCCCGTCAGGCCAACCTTCTCGTTGTTTCAGACAGAACGCCGAGACACCAACGCACGAACGAAGAAGAAGAAGGAAAGAGAGTCGTGGAAAAAGTTGTATCGTGTATAGGTCGTGGGCGCTGGGCTCTGGTTGGGTGGGACTGGGGCGAGTAACGGCTGCGTTTTGCCGAGCTTAGCTGCCTGTTTGGAGATGAGATGGGCGGCCCTGATGCAACTACTAAAACAAGGACATGATCTTCACTCCGACAGCCGGACGTCAAACGTCCGTAACAAAAAAAATATATATCATATGAGGCCTTTGCTGACGGCATGGGTGAGAGACATGGAAGCGGATGGCGGCACACGCCTGCCTCTTCCCGGCAAGTGATGGGCGATGACGGCCAAAAAGTGCCGATGGTGCAGCGCGTAGGTGGCGGTTCATACATGTCCCGGGTAAGTGGGAGAGAGAAATAAAAAAAAAGCTTAACCTAAAGGCACACCTTTTCATCTCGCTTGCACGAAGTAGCGTGCCCGTGTAAATGACACCGAGAGGAAGTGCTTACTCGCTAAGCGCCTTCAATGACGTGATGTGACTGCCATGGGCTGCTCTGCAGACGGGAAGAGTGGGAAAAAGAGGTGGTGGTGGAAGGCGCCTGGGCGGAGCGCTGATGGTGGTCGAGCAACCCCGGGAAGACGAAATTTCAAGAGCGCCACAAAACCAAGCGGACGGTAACAGCGACGGAAGAAGAAGGCAGCGGATAAGGCCTCGGTGGACGGTGCCCGTCGCCCCCGGTTGTCGGTCGGGGGAATCGGGGAAGGTGGCAGGTAGAGTGCACACTCTGTAGGGAGGATGCGGGTATCACGGCGGCGACGGACGGAGATGGGAAGCAGAGAGCGTTGTTACACGTGTTGCGAGCACATCTTCTGCCTGTTCGGGCTACTGGCTGGGCGGTTGATCTACCTCGCGCACACGTGTTGCATGCCGCGATTACCCTTTAATAATTGTGTTGGCTGGTTTTTCCTCCGGTATGGCGCCCTAGGCATCCCCGCCGGCGAAAGCGCGCATCATCAAAGGGGAGGGGCGGAGCGGAGACCCCTCGGAGGCCCAGCTTCTGCGCTTGTGACGGGCGAACAAACCAGCGCAGCGGGTCCGGCCGGGAAGCAGGCGTTTGCTGGCCGCGCAGCCAACCAGCGTCGAGCAGCGCCGAGCAGCGCGAAATTGCCAGCCCGCCGATCGCAGCACCGGAGGGACCCGGCGGGTTGCAGTTGTATCTCCAGTCTCTGCCTGCTCTCGCCCGGCCAGCATGTGGCAGGAACACACAAGCACACACCGTCCCCATCCCTTCTCTCCTCATCTTCCGTTCACCTGGTCACGCTGACGCCTATCACTTGTGGAGACGTCCGCGCGAGAGTCCACTCCAGCTCAGCTACCGGCTGTCGTCATGACTCTCCTCCTAGCCAGCTGGCGCTGTCGCGCGCTTGCTCGCACGTCCTGACGAGAGCATGTGGCAAAGGCCTGTTGCCTGTGGAACGCAGCCAAAAAAAAAAAAAAAAAGGCACGCAACGAATACCGTCAAAGCCGGCCTCCTTCCCCCCAGCAACACCAGATACCTAGAAGGGGAGACACAAAAAAAGCATTAGGGGACCCAGAGGAATCTATGACGCCATAGAAAGTGCTCGGGCCCAGACAAAGCGTCGTCCGTGTGCCCGAGCTAGAATCTCCATGCCCGCTCCCCGTCCGTCGACATCGGAGAGACGTTGGCCCCGGCGTCGGCCATGACTGCCTTCCATGTCACCAATCATCTTTTCGACGGCCCACGCGCAAGCCACCCAGCGACAATTGCCGACATGTCTGGGAAAGGAACGGACCGAAGGATCATGTCTTTTTTTTTTTTTTTGGCACTGCATGCATTTGGTCCTGATCGAGCCAAGTTCTCTTTTATACTCAGGTTAGGGTTGAAGAGATGGAAAGGGGGCAGGGCGGCGGTTGGCTGGCTGGCTGACTGGCTGGTTAGCGGGCGGGCGGGCGCGGCGCGGCGGGCAAAAATGCGCAAAGGGCTTTCGCATGGAAGGCTTATGGAACGCCCCCAATAATCGTAGCCCGCCTTCTCCCTAAAACGCCTCTTCGACGCCACTCGCCCTCCGGCCCTGGCTCTCCCTCCGCCAAGCTGGGAGCCAAGCTCAAAGCGGCCGGTGGGTTTGGACTGCCTTCGCTGCGTGCCGAGAACTAGCGGTCTTTGGGCGCTGTTAACGGCCTGCGTTCTCGACCCCAAGGCTTGTTGATGCCGGCAGAGTAGCGCGTGCGGCTGGTGCTGCTATGGGAAAAAGGAGGATTAGCATAGCCAGAGGGCGCGGCGCAGCTTACAACCGTGACCGCAGGACGGGGGGGCACGAGCAGGGAACAAGACAGGGTGGAGGCTCAGCGTCCATGCTATGCTATCTAAAATACCAGCATGCAGACTTCGGTGGCTCATGCCGGCTTGCTTAGTTTTGTCTGCTCGTTGGTTGGTCAGTACCGAGCTGGCCAGGAGCGCCCGTCAGCCGGCCGTGCAGACACCGCGAGAATAAGCTTCTCCTACGAGGGATAAGGAACGTTAAGGTAGCGGCTGAATGTAAACTAGTGAGGCTGAAGTCAACATGATGAGCAGACGCGCAGTCTGTCAGCCTCCAAGACGCCTCGCCCCTGTCATCAGCGTGCCATCATGGTCCCGCTTCCTGCGGCAAGCCGAGGACGATATACGGGGTTGCAGTGGGCAGCATGCACACAGTTAGCGTTACGAAGTAGCGGGTTGATAATCAAGCTACTGCAAGAACGCGCAATACAGTGTGGCTGGTTAGGTCGCTTGCAACCGGTGACCACACTTTCGCTTCTATTTCCATCGCTTTGGGGTGTTGGTTGGTTGTTGGGAACCAGCCATACCCCTTTTCGCCTCTCTCTTTTGGCTTACCTGCATCTTGCATGAGCGCGATCGCGGCGTATGCAAGATCCCTGACTCGGCGTGCAGCATGACTCCTTTGCAAGCTCTTGGCTTCGTCAACACATCAGGTCTCATGCACTTGTACATCTGGCGGCATGGCAGTTTTTCATACTTTTTTTTTTTCGTATGTTGTTGATTTAGAGTACATCCATATTCCGAATGCTTTTGGATCAGGTAGTCGTCATCCGTGTGCGGTCTTCCGCATCACTTATCCATCATCCGCGTTCCAACGTTGCTGACACAAGGTGAAAAAGGCGGCACAAACAGAGTGAAAAAAAAAGACTTCGTGCTTGTGAACGCTGCCGAGCCATCTCCCAGAGAAAAGACTGTGCACCAATCTCAACGCACACAAGTCGAGGAAGGCAAATCAAGGAAAGGGCGTGCAGAGCCGAATTTTGGTGTGAGCAGACTTGATACGAATTTGCGCCCTAAACCCCATCTATAACACTGGTCCTGTGTGACCGGTCCCAAATGTTATCCCTAGAACCCCGACGAGAGAAAGGAACTCCTGGGCCAATACCGACGGTATTTCCAAGGCCTATTAAAAAGATTGTCTCTAAAGGTTTCGTTAAGACACGGACGTTGAACTCGTTTTCGGGAGGGAGGAGACTGAGTTTCGAGTCGCCTGGTCGCGTCTGGGTGCGTTGGAGCGGCATGTGACCGACACAGCCAAATCGACAGTCTCACTTAGGCAGCGCCGTTCGGAACGGCGGGGACGGTACCAGCACCCTCGCCCAGAAGGCCCGTAACCTTGTCCTTAGCGTACTGGTTGTACTCGGGGGCGAAGCGAGGAGCAAGACCGCCGAGAAGGACGAAAACGATGAAGATAACGAGGCCGAAGACGATAAGCTTGCGCAGAGCGGGGTGGCGGGAGCCGTATTCAGCCCAGGCACGGCCACCCTGACCGAGGTACTCCTTGAGCTTATCGGCCCCAAGCTTGTAGTAAACAAGACCGCTGAGGGCAATGCTGTATCCAAAGGCCTGGAGACCGGAGACGGGGTCCTGGAAGATGATCATGGAGGCGAAAACGAGCAGGATATCCTTCAGCACACCGGAGAGGGTGAGAACAAGGGAAGAGGTCTTGCCGATCTGTGGGTCTGTTAGCGCCAATTATGCGGACAAATGCGATAGATCGACAACTCACCAGGAAGACAACGGAAACGTTGAGGAGGAAAGCGACCAGCGCGTTGCACATCAGAGTGAACATGCCGAGGTTGTAAATGTCGCTCATGCCCAGGCGGGGAAGCTCCCAGAACATGCAAACGACACCGTTCATGATGGCGCAAGCAGGAGCGTAGTAGTAGAGCGAAACGAGCGGGTCCATTTTGAACTCAGCGGAGCTGAGCAGGCGCTGGACCATGACAAGGCGCACAGCCTCGAAGACGATGCCACCGGCCTGGTACAGGAAACCGACCATGTTGAACTTGATTTCACCGAAAGAGGCAATGACGACACCAATGACGATGAACGAGACATTGCCGAGGGTCTTCATGTTCGGTGGAGCAACACCGAGGGACCAAGTTGCGAGCAGCACGGCGACCGGGGTAGTGGCCTAGTTTGGCGGTCAGCATTCGAGTTGTCCAGAGTGGAGCTCGGAGACCCACCTTGAGCATCTGAATGAAAGCGACAGAGAGGTACAGGTAGGCCTGGTTACCGCAGATCAAGGACAAGCTGAAGAAGATACCAATGGGGACGATGGCGCGCAGGTAGACACGGCCGTTCATCGGGACCTTTTTCCTCGAGTCCAGGACATTGGTGAAGCGGGCCAGACCCTGCGTCATCAAAGTCGCGAAGGTCAAGTGCCATGTGGTCAGGAAGATAGCTGGATTGTAGTCAGAATAACCGCTGCGAGCGAGGCAAGGTTCGGGATCACGTACGGAAGCCTGGTGTCTCAAGTCAGCATTCCAGCTCGGAAATGGTCGAGCTGGCGGGGTCAACTTACGGAAGCCCGCGGTGTCTAGAATCCATTTGTTGAAGACGATGACGCTGGAGCTCAACGAGATCCAGACGCTGGAGGGTGTCAGCAGCTGCCGGGCGCCAGCGGTCGCGCGATTCAAACTCACGCAATGTAGACAGCCGGGTGGAAAGCAGCCTTCGGGGGCTCAGGCTGCACGGCATCGGGGTTGACGGTAGGGAGCGACGCGTCGCGAACGCCGTCCCCGGAGGATCTCGTCTTCTCGTCGGCCATTTGTGCGGCGAATGTGGTGCAGTAGTGTGCGGGAGGGAAGGCGATGAGGCGGGAGGAGCAGCTTGAGCGGCGCAACAAGCTGGGCGGCCCTCAGTCTAGTGTATCGCGCGCGGCGGTGGGCTCGGGCGGCGGCGGCGGCAAGGGAGCACGGGAATGCTACACAAAGGTCGAACGAGTGTGAGAGAGGGGTTTTGGTGTTGTTGGAGGAAAGGGAGCGGGAATCTTCAGGAGGGAAAAGGCGTTGGCGGGTTATGAGATGGGAGACTGCGAATTATCCGGGCTTGGGGCGGCGGCGATTGGCCGGGCGGTGACGAGCGTCGATTCAGATTGCGCGTAAGCACAGGCATGCGTTTCGCGCTGGCTGGTCCTCATCAAACGGCCGCGGGACAGATAACAGCGATCAGCTAGCGCACTGCCCGGCCGGATGCAGCGACAGGGGCAGCAAAGGGCCAATTTTATGGGGTGCTGCGGCGGCCTTGCCTTGCGTGCGGCGCGGCGGCGAATCGCGGGCAGCGCAGCGCTCACGGGCGCCCGCCGGCGGGCACGGCGGGCATGGGGCGAGCGTCAGCCCCAGAGGGCCGCCGTGCAACCTGGCCTCTTCGCGCAGGAATGCAGGAAGCTTGACGGCCGCGTCGAGCGCCGCACCGCCGCCAGATAGAAGAGCTGACGCGCACTCTCGTGGCGGCGGCGCACCCACCCGCCCTCCTGAAATAGCAGCCCGCCCTGGCGATTACTTCATCGGTGGCCCAGCAGCGGGCAGGAGAATACGGGCGGGTGGGCCGCCGCTGCTGCTCAGGCGGACCGCGACAAGAAGCTGTGGCTGGCCGCCGAGCGCGCGCGCCGTCTGGGCTGGGGCGTGCGAGGAGCGGTCATCGCGAGCGCACATCGCGCCGCACATCCTCCCGCGCCGCCCGCACTGCCCAGCCGGTGCGTGGCCGGAAGCACGACCGCCAGCGTGGTATCGGGGGGCCCTGGCAGGTGGAAGGCTGGGCGCACAGCTGCGGCGGGCGGCGCTGGACGAGTTGACACTTTGCAATCAACAAGCCCGTCGATCCCCCTTTTCTGGCGGCGGGGCGAGGGTGCTCTGGACCTGAAACGCACGAATTGAGACGCAGGGCCGCGGGTGCCAGTTACGCCAGGAGCGCCCGTGCGCGCTAGCCATATCAAATTGCCTCCATACAGGCCATTACTTCTCCCCAGACAGCCCTCCCCTCCACCGCCTTCTCTGCCACCTCACTCGTTATAAGCCCGCCTCCGCAGCCTTTCGCATGCTGAACTTGGCCCGCAACACCCTCAAGCGTGTCCCGAGTTTTCAGGAAATCCTCCAGAGCGCTACCGGATTCACCATGACCAAGGAAGAGATGTCCGTCGTCCTCGCCGCCGCTCCCCCCGCTGCCATTGAAGCTGACCGCTCGTAGCAACATCGACGTTCTCGTCATTGGCGCTGGACCCACGGGTCTCGGTGCTGCGAAGCGTCTCAACCAGATCGTGAGCATTCCCCCGCCGCGAGCCTCTGCCCCGCCATCAAGGAATTCAGCTAATTGTCGCTGCAGAATGGCCCCTCGTGGATGATCATCGACTCTAACCCCGTTCCTGGTGGTCTCGCCTCGACCGACACCACCGACGAGGGCTTCGTGAGTCCCCGTTCCGCTTCCGCAGACGCGCAATTGGAACCGCCGCAGTGCTGACGAGCCCCTCACAGCTGTACGATGTCGGTGGCCACGTTATCTTCTCTCACTACAAGTACTTCGATGACTGCATCGACGAGGCTCTCCCCAACGAGGCCGACTGGTACACCCACCAGCGTATCTCCTACGTCCGTTGCCAGGGCCTCTGGGTCCCGTACCCGTTCCAGAACAACATTTCCATGCTGCCCAAGGAGGAGCAGGTGAAGTGCATGGACGGCATGATCGACGCTGCTCTTGAGGCTCGTGTTTCCGGCACCAAGCCCAAGGACTTCGACGAGTGGATTGTCCGCATGATGGGTACCGGCATTGCCGACCTCTTCATGAGGCCGTACAACTACAAGGTCTGGGCCGTGCCCACCACCAAGGTCAGTGCCACGCAGATCCCGCTCGGGACAGCTCCGATGGGACGATTATCGATCTAACGTCGTCAACAGATGCAATGCCAGTGGCTCGGCGAGCGTGTCGCTGCCCCCGATCTCAAGAACGTTACCAAGAACGTCATTCTCCAGAAGACTGCTGGTAACTGGGGTCCCAACGCCACCTTCAAGTTCCCCGCCCGTGACGGCACCGGTGGTATCTGGATCGCCGTTGCCAACACCCTCCCCAAGGAGAAGACCCGCTTCGGCGAGGACTCGACCGTCACCAAGGTCGAGGCCGCTGCCAAGAAGGTCACCCTCAAGGACGGCACCGTCGTCAAGTACAAGCAGCTCGTCAACACCATGGCCCTTGACCACCTGGCTACGGCCATGGGCGACAAGGAGCTCTACGGCCTCACCCAGCAGCTCTACTACTCCAGCACCCACGTCATTGGTGTTGGTATCCGTGGTGAGCGCCCTGAGCGCATTGGTGACAAGTGCTGGTTGTACTTCCCCGAGGACAACTGCCCCTTCTACCGTGCCACCATCTTCTCCAACTACTCCCCCTACAACCAGCCTGAGGCTTCCAAGAAGCTCCCCACCCTTTACACCGCCAGCGGTGAGAAGGGCAGCTCTGAGGCCAAGGAGGGTCCCTACTGGTCCATCATGCTGGAGGTTTCCCAGTCCGGCATGAAGCCCGTTGATGAGGCCAACCTCCTCAAGGACTGCATTCAGGGTCTTGTCAACACTGAGATGCTCAAGCCCACTGACGAGATCGTCTCTACTTACCACCGCAAGTTCGACCACGGCTACCCCACCCCCAGCCTTGAGCGTGACGGCGCGTTGAAGCAGATTCTGCCCCGTCTTCAGGCTCAGGACATCTGGTCGCGTGGTCGCTTTGGCTCCTGGAAGTACGAAGTCGGAAACCAAGATCGTAAGTAGCCTCCCTTCCCTCTGCACGTAGCTCGTTCACTAATAGGCGTACAGACTCTTTCATGCTGGGTGTCGAGGCTGCCGACAACATCGCCACCGGCGCTGTCGAGCTCACGCTCAACTACCCCGACTTCGTCAACGGCCGCCAGAACACCGAGAGGCGCCTGGAGGCCGGTCCTCAGTACTGGAATGTCATGAGCGGCGGTCGCTAAATTAGATACCCCGGTGTGACCGCTGGATCTGACGACGCAGTGTAAGATGGGATGGACACGATTGATGGCGAATTAAGACACCTTTTGGGCTTTGGGCGGGCATTGAGCGAATGACTAGACAGTTCGCGGGTTTGTGATGCATTTCGGATGCTTTCTGCTGTGTGCACGGATTTCTTCCCTTTTGGCATGCACGTGCAGCTTTAGAACTTTTAACTGAGAAAAAAAGATACACTTTGTGGAGGGTGGGGAGGTGGGATAGATGATATCAGGGCACTTCAATAGTCAGCTCTGTAGACGCTAGATCAATGCTATGCGTAAGACATCCAAGTTGCAGAAACACGGCGGTGACGAGGTTTGCACACGACGTGGACTTGAATCATCCGTACCCCCTGATCCAGACAACGACGACCACGAGAGAGAGAGAGGTGTCACCTGTCATGTAAAAAGTGTCAAATGGGTTGTTCCGGTCACCAACGTGCCTTGTGACGTGGCACGCTACGCATGTGCCGAACGTTTCATTACCAAGGGCGAGGGATGATGCAGGGTCCTGGATTAGGTACGATGCAAACGGCCAGGGGAATATCTCCGGTACCCTTTCGGTGGAGACTTCGACCAGGTGTGGGTGGAACTCATCGTTTGGACTTCACCATCCCCTTGCCAACAAGTCGTTGGTGTCCATTGTCACGGCAGACCCATAAGAAATTTTCTTCCGCCTTTGAAATTGCCGCACATGGATTGAACTCATCTCAACCCTATCTCGCAAGGAATATTCTGCCGTGCTTACGTGGAGAGCTGAAGTCAATGGCTGGATGTCTTTTTGTCGTTTTGATCCTGTACGCCCACATCTGGTCAAATGCTTCAACTACGCATGGATGAAGAATACAATTACACATCGAATACAGAATGGTCAAGTCAACGCGGCGATGATGTCACACTTGGATTTGCCTTGTCACAAGCCTTCCTGAAACGTAGCGCGGTGATGGTTCTGTCAATGCGCAGGACCTGCCGCCTGATCATTTCATGCAGTGCGTAGCAGTAGGCACCTGCTCCCCTTTCCCATTGGACTGAGCCTGCCGCGGTGATTACCGTGGTTCGGGCCTCCAACTATCCATTGCTTTCCCACCAGGGATCTTTGTCTCAGATCTCGGGTCAGATAATGAGAGGGGGTGGTCAGAGATAAAAATTAACTTAAGCGTTCCCAAGGGACCGTTCAGATGATCTCCCGGGTTTGTTTAGGTTTTGGGCTCCAAGTGACGCAATCTGATCTACAAGATACGAAATGGAAAGGAGAGGAGCGACGGGAGGGTACGTGTGCAACTCCTCCGCCATCTCTTTTTCCCTGCCCCCCTCCTCTCCCCAATGTTTCTGCGGTAGGGCTGCAGAGTGCCGCTGGCATCCGTCCACCGCCGGAAGCAACCGGGACATGCATCACACGGGACAGCAGATGGGCAATCCGCGGGAACGGCACGTTCCTCGCACAAGATGCTCCGCGAGACTGCCGGATTGGTGCTAGGTGTTGTTCGGCATCGTCCGCCGGCGCCCCCCGCGGCGGCGTCTACTCACTTGCCCGAATCGGAACCAGGGAAAATTCCAGAGGGCAAAGAACGAAACTGTTGGCAGGGAGACATGCAATTGGGCTAGTCTCGAGCACTAAATTTCCTGAACGCGGCCTCCCCTCCCCCAGCAACAGCCACGATACCCGTTGCGGGGAGAGCTTCGATTTTCTATTTTGCCTTTTTTCTTTTTGCCTTTCTAAACTGCTTATCTCTTGCCAAGAAGGAATCTTGCTTAACGGTTGCGGGTAGCTACTCCTTTGGTATGCATTGGGGGAGGAACGCAAAATTTTGACGTTGGTTGGCGTTGCATATATATGGGGGATTTCAATGCCCTTCCCGCCCACCAAACCTTGTTCGGTCTCACCATACAAACGACGCTACCTACCGTGAGAGATCTGCATTTCTCCAGTGACGAGCATCGAGATCCATCAATATGCGGTGGCGCGGTGTGTCGTCAATAGGCCCGCAGGGAGTCGTGAATTTTTTTTCGTTTCCTTCTGAACCCTTGTTCGTTGTTTGCCCGTTTACCCCGGATCGCCGGCCGCGGCTCTCGTAGGGCTGAAGTGTGGGCGGGTGCCGTCGGGGGATTGTGGAGTCTTTCTTCGTGTTCAACGGCGGGTGCGGGGCGCGAGGGGTGTGTGTGTGAGCGTGGACAAAGCGTCTGGTCTAGACATGAGCGCGAGGCGCGGGATCCTGCGGATGTGCAAGCGATTACGGGCAGGTATCTTATTCGCACCTCCACGCACGATCGCGCTTTCCCGGTCCGAGCGTCGGTGGTGTGAGACATTTCTGGGGCTGTTCTGGTTTTCCCCGAACACGAGGCTCGTTCTCGTGGATGAGGTAATATACACGAGGATGGGCAGCTGAATCCTCCGTCTGGATGCATTGTACGGTCTTAAAAAATTATACCTACGTCTAGATGCTGGCTCCTGCATCTGACCATGTAAGGGAGCTTAGAGCTTCCGCACTCGCGTCTAGGTATTGGCTTCAGATGCCCACATAGGAGAGTTTTGATAACTCACATCCACGTCTGGATATTGGCTTCATCTGCGCATGTAAAAATGCTCAGGTTGCTCACATTTATATCGGGATCCTGGCTTTAGTTGCCTAAGTACGAGGGCAAGAGCGTCGGCTGGCACTATCGTAATAGCGTCAAGCTCTACATTGCCCGAGAGGAGAAAGTTAGGATGGTTCGTGGGAAACGGTTGGTCAAGATCGCGTTACGTTGCATTGCAGACAAAGACCCACTCAGCTATAGATCATAGCTACCATCTCATCACGTAAGCCTACCTTAGCGTGAGCGGCGAGAGGTATAAGTAACCCTATCCCAGTCTCTTAGAAGGCTTACAGTACCTGCATGTGTTTGTATGTGCAACTTCGAATCCCACATGTACGTTCGGACACCTGCTTTGACTTTTTGATAGAAGAAAATAGCTAACTTGACTGGATATGCCTACTCTTACACTGCGGAAAGTTGTTAGTGGGAGTAGATGCTAAGGAATGTACTTTTTGTATCACCATTTCTACGCACCGTTATTAATATTCCTGAATGCATCACCTAACAGCAGTTGACTTTCATTGTCTTTAATGTTTGGATGTCCCTCATGACTGTTTTTTGAAACCCGTAACGGAACAGTCCATTGCGGTCTTTATACCTGACCGCCCATACGGCATACATTGTTTGGGAGCTCTCATCGATGCCCATGTCCCGCGGAAGGAAAAAGCGGTGGGACTAGGTAGTGCAGCGGCGAAATTATTCCACTTATGGCTGGCGATGCGCGAAGTTGGGTCGGCCTTGGTGTGTCTGTCGTTCACCACCTGCTAGCTTTCATCGTCCAGTCACTGAACCGTATCTGAGATGTGAGCCCTGTTGTGGTTACGAAAAATCCAGAATGCGCTAATGCAAAGATGCGATGCTTATAGTTTACACGTCTCTTTACAGCCTTGACCTATGCTGCGGATATGCCGTATAGTGTAGGTAGACCTTTGAAGAAAAAGAACTCCAGCATGAGTCCACACCTCTATGACCCCAAGGCTCAAGTTTTGGACCACAGCTCAAGTAGCTCGCCAATGCTCTGTTCTCCGCTCCATTACCACTGACTCTCACGTAATGGACGCTACGTGGGCGGGGCACCGTGCGAGGGCTTGATCAACTCTGGGTGGACGTGAATACTGGGCATGATGCCAATGCCAATCGCTCTCCGTATCGCCTTGGCTACCTTCCGATGATTCTTAGGCTTGAGACCGCTAGCATTGGAGTGCTTGATGCGGCCCATCTCAGTGATATACTCAGACATGATGGCGAAGTTCTATTTGCATGCCCGTGTTAGCACACGATACTCGCCTCTCCGCAATCACATGTTCGAACAGCCGTACCTTGTATTCATTCAGCGGATTAAGGGCCAAGGTCTCGAAAGCATCGAGACTGGGGATCCGCTTCGTGCGCCTCCACTTCTTGGCCTCGACGCCGGTCAGGTCGTGTGGCGAGTAGACGTCGCCAGCCTGCCAGCGACGCTGCATCTGGCCTTCGAGCTCGCCGCGAAGGCGCATGAAGTCGACTTCTGCTGCTGTGGACGGCATATTTTGCTGCAACATATCATGGGCGTACTGGCTGGGCGAAGGCGAGGAGCGGGGAGTGGGAGACGCCGGATCGCGGGATTGCTGCTGTGGTTGGCGGGGCTGGAAGCGGGAGTAGTTGGGTCTGTCCTGGCTCTCAATGTCCGACGTTGACATGACTGTCTTGAACAGGTCTGAAGGGCGCGGGTCAGTCGGCGCGTGGCGGCTTACGGGGAGGTGCGGATGCGGTACCTGATGTTGGATCGCGCTGGTTCCTGGCGACGGTGGTGGACAAAGCACGAACAGGCGCGCCGCGCAGGGCGGCCAATGGCCGGGTAGTGGTCAGTCGTAGCAGAGACATCTGTCGGGCGGCGGCGTTGTTGCGGAGTCGAGGGCAGGCGGGCGGTCGCGAGCAGCCGCGATGCTTGGCGCTGGAGTTTTTGCGGAACTTGACCTTCGCGTCGCCGCCCACTGGCTGTCGTCATCCGCGCCGCCAACCCACCTCTCCGCCGCAATTGCCCTGCCAGCCCAGCTCTCGCATCTCCCGCAATCCGCCTCCAGAATGCGCCATTAGGCCTCGTCGCAACTCACTTCGCGCCGCTGTTCCTCCATCCACCCGTGCCGCCGCCGAGCTCCCCGCCGCCATGCCCGCCCACCTCACCCGGCTGGTCATTCGCAGGATTCTTTCCAACGAACCCATCGTCTACCGCGATTGCCTCCACCGCCGCGCCAATGCCTGCCTGCAGCCGCGCTCCCAAACCGTCCGCCGCAATGGCTTCGCTCAGTCGCGTTCTTTCTTCGGCTTGGCGCGTGAGTCTGCGCGGAAGGTCAAAACCGCCGATCTAGCGCCAGGATTGGCGAGCTTGGTCGACCTCAACCACGCCCAAACCGGGCAAAGACGTCCGCCACATCTTAAAACCATTTGCGAGGCGTTCAACACGCTGATCAAAGCCAAAATGGACTCGCGCGGCGCCTTCACCGACGTCGAGGCTGGCCATGTGTTGAACACCCTCCGCTATCTGGACGAAAAGCGCATAGGCAACCAACTCACCGCTGAGGGAGCGGAGCTTCCGACAAAGACAACGCTGCAAGCCGCTCTGGATGTTTTGGGCAGGGCCATATCCCCCAGGAGCCCGACCCACCTCCTTCTTGCGGAAGAGCTGTTCAAATTCATGGATGCTCAATGGGCCGCCAATGCCAAAGAGACCGATTCCTACAATCCCATGTTTAAAGCTTTGTCAAAGACGGTTGTGGTCATGTCTGTTCACGGCGAGCCCTTACGCGCTCGCGATTTGCTGGTGGAGAAATACAACAAGCATAGCTGGGACCACTCGAAGGAGTATGGCGCCGCTGTGCCCTGGGCGACCATATTAGGTGAGCTTTACGCACAGGGCAACCATGCCGAAGAACAGCAGACGCTTCGGATCATGGAAGAGCTCGCCATCCCGACAGGCGTCGTGCGGAAGGTCAACGAGAAGTTGCTCGAAATTCATGCGAATCGTAACGACTTGGAGGCCACGAAGAAAGTGTATGAGGAGATCACGAAAGTCCCAGGTGGAACGCTTGATATCACCCACATGTACGGTACCATGTTCAGCTGCTGCCTTCAGCACAACGACATGGAGTGGGGCCAGTCGCTCGTGCGCTCAATGCTTGAAACTCTCGAGGTGTTTTACTCAGATCCGACCAATGATCGCCTGACAAGAGCGAAAGCGATGTGGGATGCTCTGTTTCTTTGGGCTGCTGGTTCTGGCAAAGGCGTCGATGAAGTGGATCGCATGATCAACGTCATGGTGCGGAGGACCTTCGTTGACGAGAGATCGGTACAACCAGATGTCGAAACGATTAACAAGTTGGTCGGGTGGTGCATGGCCCGGAACGAGCCGTATTTTGCAGAGAGATATATCGCGCTTGGCTTAAAATGGGGAATCCATCCGAACGCTGATACTTACTACCTCCAGGTCAAATATCGGCTTTCTGGCGGAGACATTGACGGCGCGCGGGCTGCTTATAAGCTTCTCCAAGGCGAAGACTGTTCCCAGGGCGAGAATTCCCTGGCAGCCAATAAGCTCATCCAGGCCATGTGCGCATCACGGAAATACCCTTTCAACGCTATCATGACCTTGGTGGACGATCTTAACGAGCGAAAAGCCGACTTCGAGCCCGCGACTGTTTCCGCCCTGAGCGTGCTGCACCTCCAACACAACGAGCTGCACGACGTCATTGACCTCCTCCAAACCCACTCCTTTCACTTCTCCGCAAAGGAGCGGCTCGAGATCGCCGACTCGCTCGTGGCCGTGGTCATGGACCGCAAGCGCGCATCCACCACCCGTGCCTGGGACACGTACATCATCGCGCACACCATCTTCGCAGAGCTGCCGCGCGAGACACGCACTATGATGATGCAGGAGTTCTTCGACCGCGGGCGGGCGGACATGGCGTGCCACGTCTTCGCACACATGCGCGAGCTGGAGGACAAGGCGTCGCGAGCGACGGCCGACACGTACGTGACGGCGCTGACGGGCATCGCCAAGTTCGCCGCGGCGCCGCGCGTGTCGTCGTCGTCGGCGGCGGCGTTGATGATGGAGGAAAACGACGACGACGCCGACGTCGACGCCGACGACGAGCGCAAAAGCGAGTGCCGGAGCCTGCTCGACGCCGTCCACAACGCCATGAAGCTCGACCTCGACCTCGAGCCGGACACGCGTCTGAGGAACGCCCTCATGCTGGCGTACACGGAGTGCGGCCTGCCCGCCCGCGCTTGGGGGTTCTGGGAGGACATCGTCAATTCGCGTGAGGGCCCGAGTTTCAACTCCATCCCTATCGCTTTCCGCACATGCGAGCGCATGCCGGTTGAGGGAGAGCGGCGCGCCAAGGAGCTGTGGGCGCGCCTTAGAAAGATGGATATTGAGATTAGCAAGGAGATCCAGGCGGCGTATGTGGGTGCGCTTGCGGGGAATCAGAATATCGAAGGGGCGCAGATGGTACTGCTTAGGTCTGAGAAGGAGTTTGGATGGAGGCCGGATGCTTTCTTGTGAGTATGATTTTTTCCTTTCTCGTTTTTCTTCTCCTCATTTCTATCCCCCCCTCCCCTCTCCTCCCTTCTGCTCTCCTCCCGCATCCTTCCCGGTGATTCCATTCCCCCACTTCAACGGCACTGTGACGATTTTCCATTGGAAATATTCGATTGACTAACGGGTTTTGTTAGACTGGGAACGCTGTTCAATGCCGCGTACGGCGTGACGAAACAGGAGGAGGTTGAGCGCTGGATCCAGGCCAAGTACCCGACCCGGTGGGTGGAGCTGCAGAGACTGGGTGCTAGGAAGACGGATGATGGGCCGAGGCTGTTCAACATCGATCGTTCGTTGTTGCCTTGATTTTCACTGCTTGCTCTTCTTAGTTGGAATCAGGTGGTAGATGAACGAGGGGTGGAGTGAGGTGTATACACGGGCAGGCACCGGATCGGATGGGAAAATGAAGTCGAACAGAGGTCATGGTTTGGGGATTTGGGGGTGAAGTCTGAAGATCAGGGAACCTGAACTGGTATGTTGAAAATGTAATCCATGTATCACTACGTAACGGCAGCGATGTTTATTGAAGCGTGTGGAGGATGTGGTATTATAGCTTCTGAAGGTAATGGATCTGTCCTCCTTAGCATGGCGGATGTACCCATGAGCTTAATGTGCCAGGGATGAACACTTCAACTCCTCGAGGTTGATTCTTTGAATTATACGCCCGCCATCTGCTAAGCGGATTGTGGATAGATGTGTGCAGCTTTGCAGGCTGGATGTTTCTGGAGAGGCAAAACATCTGTTTCGTCCCCGCGGATGTATGTACGGTGTCTCCGCAAGCGATACTGCCAAGACAAAGGCCCCAGTTCTCCACAACACTCATCCTTGCCGTGTCGGCACACGGCCGTACACATGCACCTTCCTCGACGCTTCAGATGCAACTCCTTGTTGGTCGTCTCTCCCACATTCGCCTATCCTTTCTTTCGTGCATCGTCACCGCAAGGAGTTGCGCAACTCATCAACTTGACACAGGAAATTAAAGAAGAGGCCGTTTTTGGCTGCCGCGATGACGGCAGCGCCTGAACCGACGACGAGTCTGCCCTTGGGTGTGAGTCGTCCACAAGCCACGAAGTTCCTTTTGCCTCTACGAGCCCTTGCCACAACGGAGCAGGAGCAGGAAACAGGAGCCAAGCGTCTTCGCGTACGATTAGTGCCGGCGCCACTACCCTGTCACTTCTCACCCTCCGCCTGTGCGCTCATCCTGCCAGGTGCCGTTATGAAGAGGTCAACCAATCGCGAATTTCTCCACCATACAAAACTATGCAAGCCCTCCCGTCCCGTTGACATGTTTTGCCCGACTTATTACAAGGGTATCGCCACACCGCCGAGCACCCTCCACCCCCCAACCTTTCCGCCCCCACCAAGCCGACCAGGGACCTGGAGCCGCGTTATTCTTGGCTGATGGCCGACTCGAGTGGATCGCCGCGGCCAATCGTATTTATTATTCGGTGCGAACGGTTTTAAAGTCCGTAAGCCCGTGGGTGCTGTTCCTTCAAGTACGGGATGCTCCGTAACTCGGAGACGAGCCAGCTGAAGCAACCTCGCCGCGCCCCATCTGAGTCTTTGGAGGGGAGGTCGAATCCTTCCGACTGACTGGGTCTTCTCCTCCTTCCTCCTTTTCGTTCCGTGTCGCGCCCTTCCAAGCTGGTGTTGCCATATCACCGTCGCTTGCGCTGCCGTTCCGCAAATGCCCGCCATCTTCGACGCCGTCGCCGCGGCGCCAACAAGCAGCGGTGGCGCGACAGCGGTCCCGACCCGCAGTCGCAGAATGCGTACCGTCTCGCTGGCGCTGCAGGCGTCCAGTTTGGTGCTGAGCGTCCTCACGATGGCGCTTATGGCCAACGTTCTGTACACTGCGCGCAATATCGAAGTCGAGGACCCCGGCTTCGTCATCCACCGTGCCAGTTCCGCGCTCGTCGTGTGGGCTGGCACCGGAGGCATTCTGAACGCCGTTGCTGCCGGCTATTTGATCTACTCCGGCCGCCCTCTGGTCTTGAACATCACGGGCACACAGGTATGTGAGAAGACGAAAAGGAGAAAAAGAACAGCAAGAAAAAGACACAACCATGAGAACACAAGCTAGCACCTATCCCGAACTTTCCATCCACTCTCCCAAAAAAAAAAAAGAAAACACCGAATCCATCCCAATTCCTTGATTTCCACCTCCACCCCTTTCTCTCCACTCATTCCCCCCTCTCTCTCTTTCTCCCCGCCACACCCTTTTCTCTGATCCACCCCCAAACCAACCTAACTAACCACTCCCCCCCCTTCCTTCCCCCCCGAAACAGCCCAACCCCCCAACCATCCGCCCCACGCCCGCCCGCCTCGCCCTCGCCCTCGTCGCCCTCGCCCGCACCCTCGCCGCCACCGCCTACGCCTTCGCCGACTTCGACCGCGCCACCGCCCTCGCCCTCCCCTGGGACGGCGTCGTGGACAGCGCTTCTTTCCCCTCCTTCTTCACCCCCGAGACGTACGCCAGCAACCAGGGCTTCGGCGACGACACCAGCCCGGACGTGGCGGCGCGCGCGGCGGGCGCGCGGGCGTGCTGCGCGGCGATGGTGGGGCTGGCGGGCGTGGGGGTGGTGGGGGGGTTGGTGGGGTGGAGGGGGGAGAGGAGGGGGAGGATGGGGAGGAGGGATGTGGGGGAGAGGTTGGGGGGCGGGGAGGGTGGGGATGAGGAGGGTAGTGGGCTTCGTGGTGATGGGGGCGTGGAGGTGGAGGGTAGGGAGGTGGTGGAGATGATGGGGGATCAGCGCGTGAGGGCCGAGCTGGGGGCCGGCGGCGGCGGCGGGGTGTTCGAGGTGCAGGGGAAGCAGATGCATGAGATGGAGGGGGCTGGGGCTGGGGCCGGGGCCCATGAGGTGCAGGGGCGGCCGATACACGAGATGGAGGCGGAAGAGGGGCATCGGCGGTGGGTTTATGAGATGGATGCGTCGGAGGAGGCAGGGTGGAAGAGGGAGAGGGAGAATGCTTGATTGGGGGTTGAGAGCGCGGTCGATAATAAGGTTTTTTTCTTCTTCGATATGCTTCTTTTTTTTTCCCTCTCTCTCTCTCTCTCTCTCTCTCTCTCTCTCTCTCTCTCTCTCTCTCTCTCTGTGTGTGTGTGTGTGTGTGTGTGTGTGTCTTCGGACTTTCTTGCGCTCTGGCCAAAAGACATCGTCGCGCCATCGGGTCGATCCGTTCAAGGCGTTGTACGACAAATCGGAACCTTTCTCCACCATAGGGCTTCGTGCAACTTTTGGAGATCTTTGCAATTGCTGTCATGGTAGGATGGCTCGTATTTCAAGGTCCTCATTTACCTTCTCAGTAAAGGCCGGTATATGTCGCCGCTCTTGGCCACTGCGATGTCTGCCTGCGTCGGCAATACGAGTATCAGTCACTTAAATTGGACGCTAGATCCTCACTCGCGTGTACGTACCCCGCGTGGACAATTTAAGCAATGGCCCCGGGCTACCACAACGCTGCTCGTTGAAGCATGTAAGCAGTGGTTTAGTAGCCATCAATACCAGGAATCCTTTCCGTTCAAATAGTCCAACCGCATATAAGGCAGCGCCTCATGAAACAACATCGTTGTTGTCTTATCCTTGTTGAATGCAGCAACAATTCCATGGGGCTTTGTGTCTCCGTGAAGGTAATTAGTTGACTCGGTTCTGGAATGCTCAGACCCATGTGTATGATGGTGGTCGTGGAGTCGATGATAATGTCGTGCTTTCATACAACACCTTGAACCGGAGGCCATCCCGTAAAAGCCATCCTACATGTACTATTTTGAAACGGTGAGTTCTATCTTTGGGAGCCACTATTTTTTCTATGAGCGAATAATGGAAATCCGTAGACGTTGTACATGCGCAGGACGTGACGTCAGCCGAACATGCACAGCGCATGGAGTCGGCTACCATGGGCCTGCACAACTTCTGTTAGGCGGTTCTGCGAGGATGTGCGCATAGCATTCTTCTCTGACTCGACTCTGCGACGGTGGTTTGTTGAGGTATTGGGGCTGAGGTGGAGACAAAAGGTTTGGGCGTGGGCAGGTGCGTGTGGGTCGGACCAAGAGCGCGGACAGGGACCGATCCTCCGCAGAAGCCTATTCCGAAGTTTCAATCAACATCCAGCCTCACATCTTAACACCACGTACAGATCCTCACCCTTGCACCGGGCCTTCCCCGCAGCATTACCGCCTCATCTTTCGCGGGTCGCCGGTGTTGAGCCATCACCCTCGCGCACCCCCTCCGCAGACCCGCAACCGCCGCCGACGCCAGCGCCGACGCCAGCGCCGACGCGCGCACGCGTATCCCAAGAGCTTCACCACCCCACCCAACAGCTCACAGCGCGTCATCCCGCCCCCTCGCCACCATGAGTGCTCAACAACCCCGTCCTCTTCCGCCGGGCATCCGCGTCAACCAAATCCAGACACTTCCGCACTTGACCGATCAGCAGAAGGCCACATACACCCGCGGCGTCGCAGGCCTATACGAAGCCTTCCAGAAACATGACAAAGATAGCACCGAGTACAAGACGGCCGCCGCCAAGCTGCTGGAGTTTACGAAGAAAATGGGCAGGGAGATGAACGAGTGGAAGGCAGCCCAGGCAGCCGGTGCGGGCGACGGACAGCAGGCCCAGCCCGCCCAACAGCAGCAACCCCAAGCCGACAGACCCCAAAGCCAGGGCCAACAGGGCCAGCCCGCACAACCGCCGACCCAGCAAGCCCCAGGACAGGCCATGCATCCCACCGGCCAGCAGCCTCTTCCACCTCAAATCGTACAGCACATCAACAGCTTCCCGTTCCAGCTGCCGCCCAACATCCCTGCCGGATCGCCCGAGGCGGAAGCCAAGTTGAGGGATGTCAAGAATCACTATGCTTCGATGCTTCACAGGCAGGAACAACTCGCGCAAAACTTAAAGAGGATAGGAGCTATGATAGCCGAACGCCAGAACAGCGGACAGGAGATTCCGCAGAACTGGATCGCCCAGAAACCGCAGATGGAGACGCAGTTTACACAGGTCAAGAGATCGGTCCAAGAGTTTAGGAAGACCCAGGAGCAGCTCAAGCAGCAGGCGGCCCAACAGAACGCGCAAAATCAACAGGCCCAGCAGCAGCCGCAGCAACAACAGCAGCCGCAACAACCTCCCCAGCAACAGCAGAAGCCACCGGTTCAGCAGCAACCTGCGGTCCAGCAGACCCCGCAGCCACAGCCGCAGCAGGCTCCCCAGCCGCCAGCTGCACAGCATATAAAGTCCGAGACTCCCGTGGCCCCTCCCACGCCGGTTCAATCGCAGCAGCCAATGCCGATGGGTGGCCAGGCCGGCCATGCGCCACAGCAGCCACAGCAGGCCGGGCAGGTTGGGAACAACCAGTCCATTGCCACCAACCCGGCAGTGCAAGCGGCCCGGCAGCAACAGTCACCGATGAGCCCGGGGGTTCCGGGGTCGCAGCAGCCAGGCCAACCTGCTTTCAGCGGACAGATGCAACCGCAAGGCGCGCAAACGCCGCAACAACAACAACCCATGAACCCGCAGCGACCTCCACTCAACCCACAACAAGCGTCGCAGATGAACCAGATGCAACAATCGCCTCACCCACCAAGCGCCAACCCCAACGGACCCATTCCCTTGACGCACGGCCAGGCCATGGCAACCGCCGCGCGCACGTATTCCGAAAGCCGCGGCACGCCGCAGATTCCAGCAGCTCAGGGCTACCAGCCCATCGGCAACCGTACTGATCAGATCGCCAACCCCAAAATGCCGATTCCCAAGACACTCAATGCGCCGCCACCTCACCCGGTCAACATGGGACCGGCCAGACCCACTCTCGGAGGACCTAGCAACGGCGCGCCCGGTATGATGGGACAACCCGTCATGGCGACACACCCGCAGTATCACTTGGAAGGCGACGAGAACCGAGTGCTGAGCAAGAAGAAGCTCGATGAGTTGGTGAGGCAGGTGACGGGCGTGGGTGAGCCTACGGGTGAAGCACTGTCGCCCGAGGTCGAGGAGGTAAGGCACATGCACTCTGGGCCCAGGGAGAACGAGCTAACCTCTGATTCAGGCGATGCTCCAGCTGGCGGACGATTTCCTGGACAATGTCGTGTCGTCGGCGTGCAAGCTCGCCAAGCTGCGCGAGTCGTCGCAACTGGAAATCCGCGACATCCAGAACATCCTGGAGCGCAACTACAACATCCGCATCCCGGGCTACGCATCCGACGAGATTCGCACGGTTCGCAAGTTCCAACCGGCGCCAGGCTGGACCCAGAAGATGAATGCCGTGCAAGCCGCGAAGGTCATGGGTGGGAAGACGGATTAGGCGGGCCGACAATGTCGGTGTGTGTGGACAAAAAGCTTCTTCTTCTTCTTCTTCTGGCCGGGACGCTGCGCGCGTGCCTGGCTTTTTCTTCGCGGATCCGGATGGGTTAGGGTAGCATTCTTTGGCGCAACGGGCGTGCAACGGGAGATGGTCATAGGATGCGGCACGGATTACGGGAGGCAGCAGCTTACATGCGAGGGTCCAAGGCAGCAGGAATGGCGGGCTCTTGGCCCCCAGAGGGAGGCCGTGGTGGTGTGCACAGGTGACTCGTGCATGGGAAAATCGGCATCTTGGCCCCATCGGCGCAGCAAAAGGCGGAGCACACGCGCTGACCGATCGGCCGCACTTGGCCCGGCTGTGCCTTCTTTGACCATTCCTACTGCTGCATCGGGGAAAGTTTTGGGTCAGCAGGAGCGGGTCCTCGCAACTCAGCCGCGCTCGGCGCCTGTCACCTGCAGCGCGCGCCACGGGGAAGAGACGCTGCGGCTCTGACAGCCCTACGGGTAGAAATAATATACTCTTCATGATTCAGACACGCTCGGCCGTCTCCTTTTCCGCCTTCGGTCGCATATACATTCGTGCCTTCTCCGCAGCTACCAGGCGCAGTTGAGCGCGACCATCGTACCGCGTACAAGCTGCCCGAGCCATCCCGCACTCCCGTATGGCGACGCCGCCGCTAGAACCTCGGCGGACCTTCTCCGCACCCTCCATCTCCGTCGAAGACACAAGCTACGAGGAGCCGCTAGAGAGCGTGCAATCAGGTATGTTCCCTGCACACCGAGGCAATGGCCCGCGGACAACATGCTAATGGGATTTTCTAGACGACCCTCCAACCCCCGAGCAGACGTTGCCCAAACGCAGAACGGAACCCCCGCCAGAACAGCCGCGCTACGGACGCACCCATCGCAGACGCAGCCCCGGTCCGGACTGGAACACAGCATGGGACCCATCCGATTGGAAAGATGGCCGAGTGCTGGTCGTCGACTACCTGGGCCGAAGTGCGTCCATTTCTCCCTCTGTTTAGACAACTCTCAGCTCACGCCTAGGACGCACCAGGTGACGAAGACGGCAAGCGACGCATCTCGGCGCAGGAGATACGCAGCCTCAAGGGCCTGCGCTCGCTGCTGGAAAACCGGGCGCTGCGGGCATCCTCGATCCTGCGGGTGGTGCACGTGCAGAACGCGTCGTGGGCGAACAACTACCTGCTGCGCAAGTTCAACATGGAGCACGACGACGACATCGTGGGCACGGCCTTCGGGCGGTGGGCGCGCTTCGAGCGCCCCCAGCAGCGGGCGGGCAAGCCCGTCCTCAACGCGCGCGCCTTCCGCCCGCAGCGCGACCCGTGGCGCGGCGTCAGCCGCTGCGCCTTCGGCCTCGACTACCTGAAGCAGTACGACGCGCGCAAGTACAACAAGGACGCCGACGACGAGAAGGTCAAGATGATGGAGCTCAACGCGTACGACGCGTTTGAGACGCCCGTGTACGGTCACGACGTCTTCGTGCAGCGCCTGTCGGTCTACGTCCAGCATCGCGAGCCGCACGAGGACCGGCCCGAGCTGCATGCCGCCGACTTTGAGATGCCGATGCGCAACCCGTACAACCAGGAGGAGTACGGCGAGTACAAGCGGCTGAAGAGGCAGTACGAGCACCGGAGCTCCCGCCACAAGGAGGCCAGTGGCAACGGCTACTTTCCGCATCTGGAAGAGTTGGATAACGGAAGCACCATCATCGTCTTCGAGAACTCCCAGTCGAACAGCCCCGAGGACACGTTGATCCAGGCGAGAAATGAGATCGAAGCGAGGTGGCGCCGGCTGCCATTCTACCTGAAAAAGGAGCAGAAGGCGACCGACGAACAGCTGGCCGTCGAGTGCATGGACTTGGTGTTGAAGGACGTCTTCAAGGCCATCACCGTGGGATGGGAGAGATTCATGCGGGCTTGCGAGACTCACGTCAGCATTTTGGAAGACAAGATCTACGAAAACCCAGCCGACGAGTCTCGCGCTCCCGAACTGTGGATCAACTCGTCTCTGTGGCTCAAGGTCGAGAAGCTGATCTACCTTCACATCGACCTCGCCAAAGACGTCCGCAACATGATGGGAGACGTCACCGGCGACGAAGGACCCGACGAATGGATCTCGCAGTCCGCCGAGGAATTCGACAAGATAGCAAACTCGGTCAACGAGGACCTCATCAAGCCCACCCAAAACCTATCCGACATGATGTACAAGTCCGTCGAGATCCGCGACTCACGCCTCGGCCTCCAACTCGACACCAGCATGTGGCGGCTGTCCTGGATCACCTTCATCTTCCTGCCGCTGACCTTCATCAGCGGCTTCTTCGGCATGAACGTCGACATCTTCTCAAAGGACGAGAACAACCCCGAGCTGAAATGGTACTTCATCGTCACCGTCCCGCTCATGGCCACCGTCGTCCTCTTCTGGCTCTTCTTCAAGCGCGCCGGGCCCGGCCTCGACAACGACCCCACCGACTCGCAGCGCGGCGTCTACGAGCACCTCTTCCACGAATTCAGCGACAACTACCCGCGCGTGTGGACGCGCGAAGGGCCGCGCCTCGACTCTCCCTCTTCTCCTTTTTCTCCCTCGTCCTCCCCATCCAACGTCTTCGCCCGCCTCAAGTGGCGCCTCGTCCGCCACTGGTTCGACCCCGACCGCACCATCCGCGCAAGGGGCTACAGCCCCGCCGACGACCTCGGCCCCTACGCCCGCTTCAAGCGCGCCGCCGCCCGCCGCTGGCTCCGCCAGCTCGAAAACGACGCCCGCGACCGCGCGGTGCGGCTGCAGGACGCGGCCGCCGAGAGGCGTCTCGACGGCTTGCAGGCTGCTGGCGACAATGGCAACGGCAACTCCACCACACCCTTCGATCTCGCTCCCGCGATGGAAGCGGGAACCGTGATCGTACCTGGCCCCGAGTCCGAGGGCCCCTTGGTCGACTGGTCGCGAAGCAGCAGCGGTCGTAACTCTCCTTCGTCGTCTTCGTCGCCAAAGCTGCGCCCAGCGCAGGAATTGGCGTACCTGGCGACGCAGGCGGCGGCCGAGGCCGAGCCGGCGGCCGTGCCGGCCATGAGGCGGATGAGGTCGTCCGGGTCGGGGTCGAGAGGTGGTTCTGATGGTGGTGGCAGGCCTGGGAGTTCGGGGTTGGGGGCGGCGATGGTGGAGGTGGAGATGGGGGAGGTTGGTGGTGGTGGTGGTGGTGGGGGTAGTACTGGTGGG